AGCCTCAAAACAGGGTTTGAAGAAAATGTGTAAAAGACCGACCATATCATGTAAAAGACCGAACATATTTGTAGCCTTAGAATATTAATAATTTGATCTTGAATGTCTATCGTTGGACTAGGCAACGTTTTTTACTGATTTTGTACCTTGCAACGAATGGCAAGCAAACAAATTGGTCATGACCGTCTCCTCTCGATTAATTGCCCTGCCTTAGGTCCTAACCTATCATTAACCAACCTATCGTTTCTACGGGAATCTATCCTAATTTTTTACTGAAATTTAACAATTTCGAAACAAAAATGATTTGTTATCGTACGTCATAGCCTACTGAATACTGAACACGATATAATGTTACATGCGTTCTCTTATCGGGATTAAAAGTGACTTACCATTTCAGTACACCATTAGAAAGCTTTTTTTGTCATATCAAATGTAGTTTTTACCAGTTGACGTTTAACAACTGAGAAATCAAACATAACGCTACGACGTCAACATCGACGATGTTTGTGTGTTTTTGTTATTGCGTTTCATATGAATGAAGAATGAACTTAATGCAATGTTACGTGCGTTTTTTTCCAAAGTGACTAACCAGGATGAAATTGGTCTTCTAACAACTGAAACATCACTTAAAAATATGACATTACACACCACGACGATGTAACGTTTTCATCGTGATTTGAAATAATTATACGTTTTTAAATCACGACCTAGTAAAGGTACTATAGTCATTGGATTCCCAGTTTTAGTTTTACTTCTAATTTTGCATTTTTTCATCTTTATGTAAAAGACCGTCAGCCGACCACCGACCACATGTACCCAACTGTGGAGAGTGACTGGTCAGTGGTCGGTGGTCGGCAGTCGGTGTTTTACGAAAACCCCTCAAATGATGTGGGTTTTGACTTAATGTATTTTACTAACATGAAAAGTAGTGGAGCAATTTTGTTCATATTTGGTATGTGAATAAAACCACTTTATATTTTCTTGATACTTTTATTTATGAAAAATAATTAAATTATATTTATTAGATTTAGACCTTTATCCCACCCTAAGTGCTTTATATGATTGTATAAAAGCATTGTATAACTGCAATATAAAACCAAGACTCATCGTATACAACTCTTGAGAACGATATACTTAAGTACAACTCCTGGATAGCGTTTACAACTCCTGGATAGCGTATACAACTCCTGGGCAGCGTATACAACTCTTCGACTTGATATACAACAGCTGAATTTAGATCAACCTTTTATTGTAGGGTGGGATAATAAGATCATATTTGAGGAGCTCCATAAACGTACCTCCACACCCAATATTTAGAGGGGGCTCATATCTGAAGAACATTTCCGAATTTTTATAAAATCACACAGATACTGCCTGGCTTCCAAGATGCAAAAATAATTTGCATGGGTAGTGTATCTTGAACACCATTTTTTATGAATGCTGGGGACGCAGTATTAAAAGGATAGTCTCAAAATATATAGGTCTGGGAAATGTTAAAGGCATACTGCGTCGCTATAAAATGAATTGCACTACTATTTTCACAATTTTATTGATATTTGGTGTCAAATATCTTGGTATGTTTGAAGTCCCAAAACGGCTTAGTTTCAGAAATATCCCAATTTTAAGTTCAAAAATGACCGTTAGCTCCGCACCCTCCGCTCATTTGCGCCGCACCCAATATTTCCCACAGGCTCTGTCTGAATAGGGTGCAAATGCTTCTATCTTAAAAAATTTGGGTTTTTTGAAATGAAATTGCTACAGATTGTAGAGGAACAATATTACAATATATCTACCAACTTTCATCACATATAGTCTTAATGTGTTTAAGTTACGGTTGTTATGGTTACGGATGTGAGGGGTATGCGAAGCAGTTTCAGAACAACGCTAAAAAGTGAAAAATTGCTAAAAGACAACCATTTGAAACAGTGTTTTTTGTTGTATTTTCTATTTATGTTTTTTTTGTTCATCTGTTTTCTATTATATAATGATGTCATTGCTACATATCAGAACTATGTTATGTCACTTACAAGTATAATGAAAGAAATATTATACAAGCGCCTAGAAGAATGGTCCCTGGCCATTAGTAGGAAAGTCAATATTGCATCTTCACAATGCACCAATTCACAAAGCAAAAAACAAATCTTACAATGGAGTGTCTTGACATTAAACCTTTCTATACAATGCCCCATATTCACCCGATAAAGCCTATTTAGACTTCTACCTTAATGACCATTTGAAAGCGATATTTGTGACAAGGTCAACATACAAATTGGACTCAGCTGGAAGTCAATGTTATCAGCAATCTGAGAGATAGGACAGCAGCGGTTTTGTCAGGTCTTTGAACCGCCGGTCAAGATGCACCAAGAATGTATAGATAATGGGGAAAATACTGAATATTCAATGATAGCAGTAATATGAAATGATCAAATAATGTTACATTACTAATCCCTATGCTGTTGTGGTACATAATTTGATATAATATAGGAATAGATGGTGGAGTGCCAAGATCATATGAGTAGGAAAGAGATTTGTAGAACACAGTTCGTGACGTTGCTCCACTTACCCTCGACTTCCGTTACCATAACAACCATAATTTTTTCATTTTGAAACTGAAAGTCATGACAGTTACAGGATACATTGTTATAATGTCATTCTACATGCTGGAGCAATTTCATTTCAAAACAGGTAAATCTCTTGAAATTAGAGCATTTGTATCTTTACTTTCCGGACACCCTGTAATTATTATTTTAGTTAAATCAATTATTTTTTTCTCAAGATCCCTACGGTGAATTTTCTCAATTATTTGTATAAATATATTTGTTGTCCTTTAGAATGATCTCAATCTTTTTAAAAAAATCTGAATCTGAAAAAAATTTCCCATTGAGAGCAATGTTAAATTAAAACATTTTTTTAGAAATAACTAAATAGTCAATCCTTCTAATTTTCACATATTTTGTCATATAGTTATCCCAACGAATGAAGTTTGGTAGGGATATAGTGAAGCCCTCCGTCCGTTCGTCAGTCAGTCCGTCCGTCCATCAGTCCAGAAGATAACTCAAATATTAGTTGACGGATTTTCTTCATATTTGGTGGAAAGATGTATATTGATGAATAGTTTTTACGCAAAAAAGATGGCCGCCGCTGTAAAAATGATGGGACTTTTTCGCAAAAATCTTAAATTTTTCATTCTAAACCAAAGTAATTAATATTATTGTTTGAAATTTTGGTAGTATATTCGCAACATCTATCTATTTCACATATATTCTGTGTTTTTCATCCTGACCCCCAGGGGCCGTGTATGGGGGGTCAGGAAAACAGAAATTTTCGCTAATTTTTAGATCTTTCTGAAGCATAGCTTTATTATACTCAAATGAAAGGCAATTAAGAGTAGATTGCAAATATTGTATCTTTTTTCTGATTCGAGCCTCGTAAAATTCAAAATGGCCGTCTAATGTACGATTTCGCAATAATTTTTCGATCCCTTCAAAGTATGGCCATATAATACTCAAATTGAAGGAATTTTGGAGTAGATCACAATTATGGTATTATTTTTCAGATTTGAACCTCAGAAAATTCAAAATGGCTGCTTTGCAGGAATTCGCAATTCTAAAATCTAAGTAATGAGTATAATTGATTGGAATTCGGTAATTGATATTTTGTTCGTTGGGATTTGCTACTCCGCGGAGTTGCCATTATCTAGTTATTGAAGATATGTGAATTCATAATTAGATATAGATTTTTTCAAGAAAATCTGAATTGTAGAAAAAAGCTGATACACCTTGAAGTACTATCTTAAAAATCTATATTGAATTTAGTTTGAGGGATCTAGCCTTATACTGTAATAATAACTTTTGACTTACCAGTAGAATTCACAGGGGGGACTTGCTCTTTATTGACCTCAACATCGTTGTTATCTTTTAATTCTAAAGTATAAATAGTTTACTTTTTATACAGTGTAACTTGCACATTTAAACATAAAGCATAAAACCTAGTCATGGGCTCAGGGCCTCCTAATAGTAATGCATATTTACAAAATTAATAGGAACTTTATTGCGATTGGTACCTCCTAATAAAGTTAAGAAGTGTATAGGCCAGTACTTTATATACTTTGAATTTAGTAAGGAATTGGCTAACCTTCTTGGTCAGCTGTGTCTTTTGCAGACGTACTTAATTTCAGTGGATCTAAATAATAAAATCACTTTCAACAAAAGATTGTGTTCGACGAAATTTTTCTTTATATCAGGCAAACCATTGAAAGGCACATTTTCCACATTTTGGGTGTAAATTTTACCAGGCCTGGATTGATTAACAACCTAGAAATTTTTTGTTTGAAAATGATATAAGAAACAAAGTTGAGAACATATTCTCTATGATAAAAGTTTAAGCAGTTCTTTGGACAATTTCTTCAATGAAACAGACTTTAAAAGTTTGAACTCTAAAAATGTATATTGAGCTTATTTTTAGGGATCTAACCTTGTTAATCCTAATAATAACTTCACTTACCATTAAGGGGAAGATGCTCTTCATTAATTTTCTCAACATCGGTTTTGTCTTTCTGTTCTAAAGTATAAATAGTTTATTTGTACTTATTTATACAGTGTGACATGCACATTCAAACATTAATCAAATACTTTTTGATGAATCAACTTGAAAGATTTAAATTTTCAGATACTATATAGAATCATGGCCTTTCAACTACTCTAATTGAAAGCCCATGCTAGAATCTATTTGAGTAAATGAACAGATTGTATACCGGTCCTGTTTTCTGTTGTTTGTTTGATAGGTTTTATATGTTATGAAGATTGAATATTTGCAAATTGTTTCATGAACAATGGTGCAGTCTTCATATTTATGAGCACATTTTTGACCAAAATCCCCCATATCCCTTGTCATTCCCCGTGGGCTGTTTTATAAGCCTGCTTAATTTTGTCAACTTGTATATATTTTCTCACTTTCCTTATTTTTTACTTAAAGTCAAGAATAAGAGTGTAATATCAAACCTTTTCTTTTGAATATTGGAAGTAGGTCATCAATCTTGCGCTTGTAACACATTTGTTTAATGGTCCTGCGCAAGTCTATCATGTGAAAAATTGTAACCAGCACCGATAGGACAAACATAATACCCAGAAATGCAAGCTTCACATCTACGAGAAGGACTTCACATCTTATCTCTTCATTTGCAACTTCATTCTGACAAAGGTATTCACTGGGAATATGGAACCCATACATTATAGCCTGGACAACTATGAAGCCAACTTCGATGCATATCTGAAGTATAGTTTGCATTAGGTATCCAATAGCAACTCCTTTTCGTACTTTGGGACTCATTTCTTTATGTTCAATAATCCACCATGATGGTATATAGTAGCACATCACTGTGAAGCATGCCATTCCTAACTGAAAGTCCCAGTAGAAAGGCAGAGAAAATGGTGTAGCATAATCTTCGTAGCAACGCTTCTGGAGTCTCTCTAGGAGATGACGTTCCATAGTTTTGTTTGGTGTGCACTGAAAGTGTCCCTGCAGGAAGGGAGAGATATGGCTCGGTATCAATATGATAATCCTAATAACGTGAAACGCGTTTACAAGATACTCAAACAAAAAGAAGTACTCTGGTTTCAATTTCTCGCTGATTGATGATCCTGGTATGTTATCCATTGTTCATTTAGCAAGTGTTCAAAATCTGAAAATAGTTAGCTTTCAAACAGTAAATTCAAATGGTAGAATTTTCATTTTTCTTTTGAGTCTTGCTTGACAAAAATCGATAATCACTATCAACAAAAGACATTTAGGTTAAGCAAACAATGAACTACAGATCCATAGGTTACTGTGACTTATTTTAAGCCATACATTCTCTATACCCCTAACCCCTGAATAGAAAAAATGAACATAGTTTCAACATATTTATGATCATGACATGCAATCCCATCAGTTGGTTTGTGTTCTAACCAGAAAATTCTGTTTGACAATATGTTTTTTTCTGCAGTTATATTGTTGCCTCCATGGGTAATTGATTATTTTGGCATATTGTCATCTAGTCCCTCACTAGCATGTCTATAAGTTTAATATTTAACTCTATTTCATAAACTTCAGAATCTATAAATTGTAAACAAAATGAACTGAACTTCATAAAACTACATATCAAGAAACTCGGCTTATATCTCTAAAATAACCTTACTCTATTGAAATATAGTTCCAGTATTGGATTGACAGTATACCTCCAAAGGAACACTGAACTATAGAGAAGATAAATTTGGCTGAGGTCTTATTAGCCTTCTCTGATTTTTTCGAAATGTGCATGCATTCAAAGTTTATACTATAAAACATACTTTAATATTTTATATCATCATTCATTGCAGCATTTGATCTGACTTTGCTTTATTTAGTGTACACTTTGTACACCATTGGTTTAATATCAGAAATCATGTTCTTCCACGTGCATACACCTATAAACGCATGCACGCCATATGACATCTAATATGCATAAATACGACAGTAGCCAATCACCACCCAATTGATCTTACGATGTTCCAGGTATTGAACCAATGGGACTGTTCTGGAGCCTCTCACCAATGCCAGGCCAGAGACGTGGAATTCGACTCATGAAGCGTGACGTGACAAAGCCATACAAATTCAAACTAACCCTACACCAAGGTTTTCTCACAGAGAACAAGATTTGTGCAATACTTAATAAGGCAGCTACAGACACTAGTGCGAGTGCAGCTAATATAGAGGGCACTGAACATGCAGTATTGAGTGAGATTTGGTTAAAAAGGTGGTATCTCCGTCCTGGTGTTAAAAGATTAGACATTAAAACTGGGAGAATACGTGGTGCATTGTTCGTTCCTCAAGGTTAGTTTCATTCATTGCATTATTCCAAACATTTAGATACTGATGAATGACAGGGTGTATGCTGCTTTATTATGTCACCACCAAAAGTGGTGACATATTGTTTTGGTCTCCAACCTTTTTGTTGTGGCTGGTGTTTGATGGTTGGTGTTCAATCTCTTACAGCATTTGGCATCTGTAACAGCGTTTGGTAAATGGCATCAGTTACAAATGCCATGTGGTGATATTTTGTATATAATGGCGTTTTGGCCTGCTGTAATCTGTTATGTTATAGTAACAGACTGTATTGAAATAAAACATTGAACTGAAGAAATGATTTTGACCTTGAATGATATAGTATTGCGGCTTTCAAATGCTTTCAGGAGTAGACAAAATTCATGTATGACCTATTAGATGACCTGAAATTGACCTTCTTTGACCTTAATATTGTTATCATCTGTGGCCGTTAATTAGTTCTTTGACGAATATACAATTCTCTATATAATTGGTGAATACACAAGGTATGCATTCATATCATGTTCAGAAAAATGATTCAGCATGTAAAAAGTGATATACATGTAATTGTAATATTACAAAATAATGTATCATAATATTTACTTTATTTTAGGGAATAACACCCATCCTGGGGTCATAGATCTATTTGGTACAGCAGGTGGATTGGTGGAGTACAGGGCAGCCATCTTAGCATCAAGGGGATTCGTCACTCTTGCATTAGCATATTTCGCCTATGATGATCTTCCTGATTCAATGGGGCATATAGATTTGGGCTATTTTGAGGTAATAAAAATATTAAGGTCACAAGGCTCAAAATTTTTGAATGTAAAATTGTTTTGTTGAATTACTAGTTATCATACAATAGGTTGAACTGATCAGATCATTTAGATTAAATGGAATTCTTATTGATATAAAGATGGCAGTTGTGTAGTTCCTGTAAGGCAATCTTCCCCTCAATCCAAATTTTATTTTCGGAAAAAAAGAAATAAGAGATCTGATGAAATATAGATTTAGTTATTGTAGATTATTGCAGGAATGTACAAATCAATTTGTATTCCCTTTTTAATTTTTGCCTGATAATTTTAAAATCTAAGGATTATTCCGATAAAATGTTAGACTGATGACAGCAAAAAATATTATAAAATTGTGCCACCAAAAGTGTTGACATATCATTATAGTCTGCAACTTTTCATAGACGGTGTTCAGCGGTCGGCATCCGTAACAAATGGAAAGTGGTGACATTTTGCATTTTTATGTCACCACCAATAGTGGTGACATATTGTTATGGTCTCCGTTTTTTTGCGACGGCGGTTGGTGGTTGGAGGTTGGCGTCCGGCGTCTGTAACAATTTCTTACAACTATTCCTATAACTTAACAAATACTGTTTAGACTGACTTCAACTTATTTCTAAATCATCTACATGTTCTCAGAAGTTCAAATCTGACTTTAGATTTGACATTTGACCTTCAATGACCTTCTCAAGGTCAAAAAGGTCTTTTTTCAACTTGCTTCACATTGACTAAATTTTTTTTCAAAATCATCTACATGTTCTCAGATATTCAAATCTGACTTTAGATTTGACTTTAGATTTGACATTTGACCTTCAAATCTGACTTAAGATTTGACATTTGACCTTCAATGACCTTCTCAAGGTCAAAAAAGGTCAAAAAGGTCTGTTTTCAGCTTGCTTCAAATTGACTAATTTTTTTTTTCAAAATCATCTACGTGTTCTCAGAAATTCAAATCTGACTTAAGATTTGACTTAAGATTTGACATTTGACCTTCAATGACCTTCTCAAGGTCAAAAAAGTCAAAAAGGTCTGTTTTCAACTTGCTTCAAATTGACTAAAAAAAATTTTCAAAATCATCTACGTGTTCTCAGAAATTCAAATCTGACTTTAGATTTGACTTAAGATTTGACATTTGACCTTCAATGACCTTCTCAAAGTCAAAAAAGGTCAAAAAGGTCTTTTTTCAACTTGCTTCAAATTGACTAAATTTTTTTTTCAAAATCATCTACATGTTCTCAGAAATTCAAATCTGACTTTAGATTTGACATTTGACCTTCAATGACCTTCTCAAAGTCAAAAAAGGTCAAAAAGGTCTTTTTTCAACTTGCTTCAAATTGACTAAAAGAATTTTTCAAAATCATCTACATGTTCTCAGAAATTCAAATCTGACTTTAGATTTGACATTTGACCTTCAATGACCTTCTCAAGGTCAAAAAAGGTCAAAAAGGTATTTTTTCATTTTGCTTCAAATTGACTAAATTTTTTTTTCAAAATCATCTACATGTTCTCAGAAATTCAAATATGACTTTAGATTTGACATTTGACGTTCTCAAGGTCAAAAAGGTCTTTTTTCAACTTGCTTCAAATTGACTAATTTTTTTTTCAAAATCATCTACATGTTCTCAGAAACTCAAATCTGACTTTAGATTTGACATTTGAGCTTTAATGACCTTCTCAAGGTCAAAAAAGGTCAAAAAGGTCTGTTTTCAACTTGCTTCAAATTGACCAAATTTTTTTTTCAAAATCATCTACATCTTTTCAGAAGTTCAAATTTGACTTTACAAGTTCTCAGAAGTTCAAATCTGACTTTAGATTTGACTTTTGACCTTCAATGACCTTCTCAAGGTCAAAAGGTATTTTCCAACTTGCTTTAAATTGACCAAATTGTTTTAGGTGGTGACATTTTGTCATGTTAATGCCTTGTAATGCCTTGTATTATATTGTCTAAACAAACAATTGTGATTTTTAGGAAGCTGTTGATTGGTTGTTCAATCATCCTAATGTGACACCAGGGGGCATCGGCGTGTTAGGAGTCTCAAAAGGAGCTAGTATAGCTCTCCTAATGGCCTCTATATTTAGTAAGGTAAGTAATGACAATCACATATCCTATAATATTACAAAAAATTCTAACAACCTGTTAATCTAGAGGCCGTTTCACGAATCGTTAATTCAATTGTTAATAACGATTTTTCCATTTCTCGAAAATTAACAATTCGCGATAACGTCATGATTTTTAACGATATATTCATTATCCGTGATTGATTTTACGAGTACGAATGGGGGTCTCGTTATTCCATTAACAATGTGGTGTCCATAGAAACGAATCCATGATTCGCTATTAACGATTCGTTAATTACGATAAGGTTCGAGAAACGCCCCCCTGTATAATATTATTTGGATTACTTTCTATTGGAGAATACTTTCTTTGGAAGACCCATAGCATCAGACAGTTTAATTCTGGACTGAATTATAATGTAACTGTGTGTGCCATTGTAAAAAAGGATTGGAGATGCCTATTAACTATAATGCACTAATTTTCTTTAGATTAGGGCAGTTGTCAGTATTAATAGCCTGGATTATACAGATATAGCAGATATACATTATAAAGATACCATCTTTAAAGCACATGGGTAAGTTAAAGCTTTTTGTTTTTTTAATTATCCGACTAAACAAAGTTCAAGAGGGATTTAGAGAAGATGGATTAAGTTCAAATTTTACATGCTGATGCCTAGGAAACAAAGAAGCCCTGCTCAAGAAGAAATTTTCTGGATGGCAATTGAGTTTCAAAATGGTCCCATTTTTGAAAAATATATTCTTTGATAACTAAAATATCAGTGGAGGGATTTGGTTCAAATTGAACATGCTGTTGCAAGGGCCCAATGAGGTGTTTATTGAAATGTTTTATTCGGTGGGATTTGCTACTTTATAGAGTTGCTGTTCTCTATATATTCATAAGAATTGATAAACAGTTGTATAATAAATGAGTTGAAGTTAGTGCAGAGAAACAACATTACATTTTTCAGATTTATCCAAATTTTGATATAACAGAGAATTTGCAATTTTGATTTTATTTCTCTTCAAAAAGTGACCAATCATATATACATTTTAAAAATTGAATTTTAATGTACATTTGTACTACATTTTATAGTCTCTACTAAGCCGGCAACGGCTTGATGTCCAGGAGACATGTGAGACTTTAATAAACAAATATACAGGGTGTCCAATAAATAAGAAATAAGAAAGAAATATATCTTAATGAAATTTTTTATCTTCATTCTGTAAATCTTAAGCCTTCCCATTTAATTGGCCAGAGTTATGATTGCTATAGCAACCGAAACAACAAAAAGGTGGGGCACTTAATTGTAGTAGAAGTCATCTAACATTTTCCAAGATAATGATGCATTTTGAAATGCAAACCACAAATTAAATTCAACTGACACTGAATGCATGAATATGTTACCAAGGGGATATGGATGTTTCGGTGACTTCTGTGATGTCATAATGCTTCTTTGTTGTATTTTATGATGTCATTTGAGCTTTTGTCATACACCAAAAATGCATCAAGCCAAGGAGAGAAGTGTCTGCTGCATAGAAACAATGGCCTCTCACACACAGCTTTCCTCACTAGTGATACTATTAGGCAGGCCGTCCAACTGTCCCGCAATTTGTATATTTGTGTCATGCATTTGCTGGAAAATTTGAAGTCACACCATTTTTTGCGTGAGAGAATATGTCATGCAAATACACATTTTCCCTGATTATTGTCAAGCAAAAATATTTTTGTAGAAAAACTTTGGTAGCCGATACAGCAAAAAAAACGAAAGCCAAAAAATGAATGCATTTCGTTTTGGACTTTCACGCGGATACCGTATACAGTGTATGTCACACATTTTCTTCGAAATATTTCGTACCTATTTCCTGAAAAGGTTTGTTTTACACCCTGCCCAAATTTCATCAAGATTGGTGCAATATTAAGAAAGTTACAATATCTTTCATCTTATTTATTGGACACCCTGGATATGGTTGTTTGTTTGTTATTCATTTTTTATGATCATTGTCTTTTTATTTCACTTTCAAGTAGTGTTGTGTTTAATTGTCATAGCTACTGTTTTGTGATGGAGATCAGTGTCTTTGCTCAGTATTTTGAACAAATTGTTACATTTTTGGAATTGCAATCAGTTGGTGACATTTGTGATATGAAGGCTTTCTTTGTTTTTGTTTTTACGCTCTATAAACTAGAGCATCAGAGGTCACCTAAATGCCATATACTAAAGAATTATGGCTAATAAGGTTCAGGGTTCGTACACACCTGGAAATGTCAGGGAAATTGATTTATTTTTCCAGGTGCTGGAAATGTCAGGGAATTTTAAAATTGGGTCAAAAAGGGCCAAAAATGTCAGGGAATTTTGAAACAGTACATGTGTCAGGGAAATGTCAGGGAATTTTATATCAGTGTTGAAAAAACAGTGTTCCAGAAAAATACATTTTAGGGCTATGACAGGATATCATCGAAATCCAAAATCATTTAGTTGTTTCCACAAATTGCAAATCTTTTCATTAGGGTTGATTGAATGACATTAGATCTGGTATTGTCTATTTGAACAGTGTGAACATTATACTAAAACCGAACAATAAAAATAATGTATAGATGATATAACACAATTATGCTTTTCCATGTAGTAAGCTTAGTCTTAGGCCATTCAAAGTTAATTACTGGTATATATTTCATGGTTTGATGAGGGGTTAATCTGATGGGGGGGGGGCAGGAGGTGAAAAACAAAAAAAATGCTGAGAGATCTTTACAGTGTTAAATTGTATTTGTATTAAGAAGCTGTCGGTTCCACAGTCCGGCCTACGTCAGTCTTTTCAACTTTCAGGGGCTTTGCCAATTTTGAAAACCTTAGCACATGGAAGTTGGCAACCAAAATGTGTGTGGGGTACTATTAACAGATTTTGAATTTGGTCCAAATTTTTGTTCGTGTAAAGATGAACTCAGCATTTTACTTTGGCTCAAATTTTGTATGATGTAGCCTTAGGGACAAAGAACCTGCTCAAGAATAAATGTTCAAGATGATCTCTGAGTTTCATTAGGTGGGAATTGCCCCTCAAGTGAGTTGCTATTTTTCTAGTAGGATTTCGATCAAAATTTAAAAGTTTTAGTTGTCATTTTGATTCATTACAAAACATTAACAAATTATAGTTTGAAATGCTTAGAATGCACCATATACAATGTCAATTTTAAAAAATTTCCGTGGTGAAGCTCCGTAAAGTTAAGTCATGAGAAATGGTACTGAAGGAGAAACCCAAAATGTTTCATAATAAGTCTATTTGTCTTTAATAATACAGTTGTTTGAGATGCTTCCTAGTCAACTCGTACCTAAGACAACTGGGACAACTCGTAGCCAAGTTTATTTTCAGTATGTAAGGCTTATTTCCTAAAAAGAGGATCTTGTTTTTCTCAATTTAAATATCTCAAAAGTTTCTTCTACACTATATTAATAACTTCTGAAAGGGGGATGGGTATTGAAATGCGATAAAGTTAAAAACCACATTTCCCATGTTATTTTCCCATAGGGAAAACTCATGCTATCCATTGTTTTCAGCATGATTTTGGTCATCGAAAATTGATATCTTCAAAACTAGACTTTCAATACCATTCTAGTTTTGAAGATGTTTTAGACCCCTTGTTGAATAGGACTAATCTTTTCATGCAATAAAAATCAGAAAAATTAGATCCTCTTTTGAGCAAATAAGTTCAACATTTTGAAAAAATTGTTGATGTGGAGTCCCTATTTATAATTTTTCGAATTGTTCAATTGATATTTTTATCGCCATGGGGACTTCACTTAAAAGAAAACATATTGTTTTAATAAAATTCACTGTATTTATGCCCAGAGAGTACTCATGGTGAAAGATATGACTAAATCACTTGCCATACTGCACATGGACCCTTGGCCCAAGTTTTGATAAATCTTTATATTTTTAATAATACCATCTTGAAGATCTGACACTTGTTCCAAACACTCATAAACATACAAAAATACCTCTAATATTTTGAACAATGATTATGAATATGTGGAATAAACATAGGTCTCTTCCTTCAAACATCCTGAATCTGTGACCAATATAAAATAATAGTCAAAATAGATGGACACTTAATTTTTCAAACCTCAAAATGTCACAAAATTAAATAGATTTCTTCCAAAAACTCTTCTACATACTTCCAACTATTCTGAACTGTATGAAACAATTATAATATGTATTTCTATACCCATTCCCATTCCAACACTTGATTAAAAACAAAACATGAACTTGGGTACGAATTGTCTTGGGTACGGCTCGACTTGGGTACGAGTTGTCTTGTGTACGGCTCGACTTGGGTACGAATTGTCTTGTGTACGGCTCGACTTGGGTACGAGTTGTCTTGTGTACGGCTCGACTTGGGTACGAGTTGTCTTGTGTACAACTTGACCAGTTACCGTTTGAGACTTTTTAGAGGCCGTGCAAGGAAAATTAGATCTGGAAATTTCCTTTTTTGCCTGGAAATGTCAGGGAATTGTCAGGGAAATTCATTTTGAAAAAGGTGTACGAACCCTGAGGTTGCTTAGAGTACAATTGGAACTCTAGTGTTTTGGGCATTTTAATACCTTATGGCATGTATGAAATGTATATGTATAAGTCAGACCCGTAGCCCCCCCCCCCTTGGCCAAAAAATCTTTCAAAATCATGCAGTTTTTCACCATTCTGAGAACTTTTTAAGTGATTTTGGCCACTTTTGGATCAAAATTGTCACAAGTGAACCCCTCTGGAATTTTTCAAAAAGTGAACCCCCTTTGGCAAATCCTGACTTGAGCTTGTAAGTAATAACAAAATACAATTTGATCACATGATTTTTATTATATTTATTGGGGCATTATTTTCATTTTTGCAGTTTTTAAAGCAAACATTCCATTATGTGCCCCAAATTTATTTTTGGGTGTACCAGGCCATGTTCTCCATGTTAAGCCACAAAGCGATGGGCTCCTGCACATTTTGGTTGGATTATATTTTCCTGTGAGAAATCCTACAAAACATCGATTGAACCACCAACCCCCATTGAATCCCCTGGCACAGTTAAATTTTTGTAAATTACCTGGGCTCCGATAATATGTACTGAAGTTCATCCCTCTGGAACCAAAGTCAGCATCCCCTAATGCATCCCCTGCATCCCCCGAATAATCACCAATGTGCAGCTTATAGTTATTGGTCTCAGATTCAATCGAAAAGTCTAAATATTCTGCATAATGATTATTGCCATCGAAGTCAGACATTTCAATATGTAGTTTGTATTTCTTTCTTGGATTTGACGTTATCTGGTGCAGAAACTCATTCCCAACATAATGTTCTTTGTGCACATCACCAAAGCCATCTTTATAGAATCTCCAAACTTTGTTGAAGGATTGCGAGCCATCATAGCGGTTTAACATTATGGTCCATCCTGCCTCGCACTTCACTTTGTGGTTAAGGGTCCCAACAGAGATTACAGCTTCATCATTCAGGGTCTTTTTCGCAGAGCAATCTGATGAGGAAAGATATCAAATTTTAATGAAATTAACTTTCAAGTGCAAGGTTGACTTTAATTGCAGTTTTTATTAGCTCACATGGTGAGCTATTGCAATCACTCACTTGTCTGTCTGTCTGTCTGTCTGTCTGTCTGTCTGTCTGTCTGTCTGTCTGTCTGTCTGTCTGTCTGTCTGTCTGTCTGTCTGTCTGTCTGTCTGTCTGTCTGTCTGTCTGTCTGTCTGTCTGTCTGTCTGTCTGTCTGTCTGTCTGTCTGTCTGTCTGTCTGTCTGTCTGTCTGTCTGTCTGTCTGTCTGTCTGTCTGTCTGTCTGTCTGTCTGTCTGTCTGTCTGTCTGTCTGTCTGTCTGTCTGTCTGTCTGTCTGTCTGTCTGTCTGTCTGTCTGTCTGTCTGTCTGTCTGTCTGTCTGTCTGTCTGTCTGTCTGTCTGTCTGTCTGTCTGTCTGTCTGTCTGTCTGTCTGTCTGTCTGTCTGTCTGTCTGTCTGTCTGTCTGTCTGTCTGTCTGTCTGTCTGTCTGTCTGTCTGTCTGTCTGTCTGTCTGTCTGTCTGTCTGTCTGTCTGTCTGTCTGTCTGTCTGTCTGTCTGTCTGTCTGTCTGTCTGTCTGTCTGTCTGTCTGTCTGTCTGTCTGTCTGTCTGTCTGTCTGTCTGTCTGTCTGTCTGTCTGTCTGTCTGTCTGTCTGTCTGTCTGTCTGTCTGTCTGTCTGTCTGTCTGTCTGTCTGTCTGTCTGTCTGTCTGTCTGTCTGTCTGTCTGTCTGTCTGTCTGTCTGTCTGTCTGTCTGTCTGTCTGTCTGTCTGTCTGTCTGTCTGTCTGTCTGTCTGTCTGTCTGTCTGTCTGTCTGTCTGTCTGTCTGTCTGTCTGTCTGTCTGTCTGTCTGTCTGTCTGTCTGTCTGTCTGTCTGTCTGTCTGTCTGTCTGTCTGTCTGTCTGTCTGTCTGTCTGTCTGTCTGTCTGTCTGTCTGTCTGTCTGTCTGTCTGTCTGTCTGTCTGTCTGTCTGTCTGTCTGTCTGTCTGTCTGTCTGTCTGTCTGTCTGTCTGTCTGTCTGTCTGTCTGTCTGTCTGTCTGTCTGTCTGTCTGTCTGTCTGTCTGTCTGTCTGTCTGTCTGTCTGTCTGTCTGTCTGTCTGTCTGTCTGTCTGTCTGTCTGTCTGTCTGTCTGTCTGTCTGTCTGTCTGTCTGTCTGTCTGTCTGTCTGTCTGTCTGTCTGTCTGTCTGTCTGTCTGTCTGTCTGTCTGTCTGTCTGTCTGTCTGTCTGTCTGTCTGTCTGTCTGTCTGTCTGTCTGTCTGTCTGTCTGTCTGTCTGTCTGTCTGTCTGTCTGTCTGTCTGTCTGTCTGTCTGTCTGTCTGTCTGTCAACAATTGGCCCGTTTTAAAATAAAATGTCTTTCCGAACCTTGTTGGAACAAAATAGCATATACAACATTTTCTTAGATCCCCTCAATATTACAGTTATACAAAGGAAATTTTGGTTGATTTTACAAAAAGTATGCAAAAACTTAAAACAAAACCCCCCAAAATAGATAAAAATTAAGATAAACATTTTATTTCATTTAACAAGATACTTTTTTTAAATCAACCAAACTTTCCTTTGTAGAATTACAATATTGAGAGACCTAAACACATTTTGTTATGTCCCCACCACATAGTGTGGGGCCATATTGTCGGCCTAGGCGCGTCCGTCTGTCCGTTCGTCTGTCTGTCTGTCTGTCTGTCAACAATTGGCCCGTTTTAAAACCTCTGTCAATAGGATTCCCGTTAAGTTATTTTTGTTCAACATCAATATAGAAAATCCCCCTATGACTCATGGTTCAAAAGCTCGCCTATTTTTAAAATGGCTGCCATTTTTGTCTCGTGAAATTCACTTTTGGACCATTTGCTTTAAAACCCTTGTCGATAGGATTCCCATTTTAAGTTATTTTTGTTTAACATCAATACAGAAAACTCCCCTATTAGCCTATATGACTCCTGGTTCAAAAGTTCGCCTATTTTCAAAATGGTCGGCATTTTTGTCTTGCAAAATTCACTTTTGGCCCATTTCCTAGCTTCACAAATAAGTTCAGGTTTCCTATATTGTAAAAAGCCATGTCACTGTAAAGAGTAGTTGTATGAAATAATTTTGTTACAAAAATGGTGGCCATTTTAGTGCCGATTTTACAGTAATTTAGGTACAATATGTAAAACTGTAATAGCAAAAATTGTAATTTTGAAAAATGGCCACCATTTTAACGTATTTTACTATGACATGAAAAGTAGCAGAGCGATTTTGTTCATATGTGGTGTGTGAGTACTATAAGCATGGCACACTGTCTAATGACACTTTTGGTAGAAGGTGGCCATTTTGAAAAATGGCTGCCATTTTTGCTATATACTTTGTTTGTAAAAATGGCTGTTCGATGGGATTTGCTATGCTATGGCGTTGCTGTTGTCTAGTTCCCATTGGTATTAAAATCTGACCTGTGAAACTCTTTTTCATTTCAAAAAGTTGCATTTTAATTTTCTGCCATTTTAACAACAAAAATTAGATTATCTGATCATCAAATATTTCACCATAGAATATTAGATTGTAAACGTTTATTTTCTCAATTTAAATGACTAAAATTTTGTAAAAGCAACAAAAAGTAAGATTTATTCTTAGTGTAAGTATTAATTTCATTTCTCACATGCTTAAAGGATGTATACTACCTAGGCCTTAGAAAACGTTAAAAAAAGACTTTTTGAGGATAATCATCAAATTGATTCCTTTTCATTAACTGAATCTAATAAATGCACTTTAAATTTCCAATTGAATATCAAAGTACCTTTAATCTTAAGCTGTGTTAATAAAGTAAAATAATAAAACTAATATTATCTATACCTATTATGATAAGTGTGTTGTATGATACTATGGTCAATAAGAAACCAGTCATATAATGTGAAAAAAGCCTGTTGTAGCAATTTTGTTTTGACATACTTTTCCACAATGTACATTGATTTTGGAATTGCTTATGGGTATGGTATCCTGTAAAAAACGTATGGTAATCGTTTTGATCTACTTTTTCAATGTGATGAAATGTTGTTAAAGCACCTAAAAATCAGTTAGAGTTTATATTATTATTTGTGGCCTATATTTTCCAGTCACCCTGTACTGAACCTCTTTGTAGAAATATATTTATCACCTTTATGTCTTTGTGGAGAACTTGCTGCAATTTGTCAAATTCAATTTTTTACAAAATGTTCTTCAAGAACCTCTGTTTGATCATTTATTTCACATATTTATTAGGTATATTTATCCGGACAACATATGTATGTCTTTCCTTTGAGTAAATTGAAAAGATTTGAAAATGGAACAATTCTATTATTATTTTATATAATGGTTTACCTGGAAGTGTACCAAGAGATGCTGTGGTAGTTGTGGGTTTTGTTGTAGGTCTTATAGGAGGCCTTTTTGTTGTAGGAGGCTTCTTTGTTGTAGGAGGCCTCTTTGTTGTAGGAGGCTTCTTTGTTGTGGTAGGCTTCTTTGTTGTAGGAGGCTTCTTTGTTGTTGTAGGCTTTTTTGTTTCAGGATCATCTTGTGCCTTTCTTTTGCCACCAATTTGTTTGATCAGTCTGGTTATCCTTCCTAGAGATTCATCTGATATTTTAGCCCGCTCGCTTAACTTCTCGAGTAAATGTTCCAACTTGCATACTTTCTCAAGAACTTTTTCCAGCGTGCTCTGTTCTGAACACATATACTTCTTTGGGTCTTGTCTCTGGATTTTCGTGAGCTCCAATGGAACTGGGATGACTACCTGAAGGATTTTGTTTGTTGGTGTTGCCTTCAAATCGCATGTTTTTCCCTGTGTCTCTATGGCCAACACGCAGAGTGCAGCGACCAATTTGTAAAATGCCAACATCGTTTATTTGATCTCGGAAGTTGGTTATCTGCTCTCAGTGCTACCTCTGCTGTTTTGCCAACTATTTATCTTGTGCAGAAAATTCCGCTTATATCTGATAAAAGATTTAAACGAAACAATCGGGGCTTAAAAAAATGGCAGTGATAAATTGTAACATCTACTTGAACTGTTTGTTGTACTTTGTGGCCTAAATCTACAAACGATACATGGCTTTTTTAAAGGGTACATTATTATTGCTGATATGGCATAATATTAAATTGATTTCGTATTTTTTCATTTTCAATTAAATGTTGGGCTACTTAAACATATTTAGAAATATTCTGAGACGGATGTTATTCTGCTGCTTAACATGACCATGAGAGAGATCAATTTGGACTTTGTAGGAAAGAAAAAATATAGTTGTATCTTTTTCATAATTATCCTTTACATCTATCACATCTAATGGGAAGACTTAATCTTGATAATGAAAACATGAAAACATTTCACATACAGCCTTTAAATATTTCCATCAATCATTGAAAAATGTACATTCATTATCTCTTCAATGCGGATCTAGAGAACATCTAAAACCTAAAACTGGAACTAAGCTCTCCTTGTTCCTAGTTTTGTGAATAAGTATATCTATTCAAAACAAAGCTGCTGAGATTTTTTAATGTACTCTTATGTTTTGATCAAAACAGTGTAGTATATTTATCAAATGAAATATAACAATAGGGGATTAAATCAGGGTACCCTTGAGAGACAGTTTGATTAAATAGAAGGATTGACATACCCTTGAGTTAGGGACAAGGTCGGTACACAGTAAAACTTGTCTAAGGGGAACACCTTTGGAACCTCTAAAAGTGTTCCACTTGGGAGGTGTTCCACTTATATAGATTCATTCAACATTAAGTCAGTTTGTTTTTCGGACAAGTAGCTGACACAAGTATGTAGGCTCACCTCTCGCCACTGTGTGGCTAATATTGGGCATTGATTCTTTTGTATTTTGTGTTAGGTGTGATGGGGGATATTTTGCTGTAACCATACATCCATGCTGTGCCCGCCATTTGCATAACCATTGTCTATTGGGTCTTTTTTGTTTGATAGTTACTATATTGCAATTGTGATTTCCAGACCAGAGATGGAGAATCTTGTCTATGAGAACAACTTGTACAATTTCCGATATACGTACCAACTGGACGCACCTGAGGAGGCCCTTATACTGGTAACATGCAGAACTTTTAATGCTGGTTTCCATATATATAACTTTAAAGACATGAGAAAGAAATTAAGGATGATCTTTTAAAGAGAGAATCATATATAGCGAGCAGGCTAAACAAAAAATTGTTTCAATTTTTCTTTCCATGTCTATTTTCTAAAAATCACATACTTTATTCAAGAAAACTAAAGATTTTTATTACAATAATGTATTATTTTTCTTTAAGAATTCTTACCATTCTTATTATTTGGGAGAATTTAAATATTTTTCACCCATTTTTGCACTTTGAATCATTAATAACTTCACCAATTTATAACATATTGTGAATCTTTTGGGAGATATTATATTTGATATTGTAAGGAATAGATTGGAAGGTCAATTATACAAGTTGCTTGTAATTTTGTCACCCCCTGTAGATCTGATTCTGCCTTTAATAAAATGAGTTGAATCAAATTGCCAATATAAGACAGGAGACCTTTTCTGGTCTAACAACTAAAAACAAATAAAGGTGTATATGTACACACTAAGACCACCAATATACAGGGCCGGGTGTTCAAAAAAGAATCATACACTTTTGATTTACTTTCATTCAATTGTTTGTTGATAAATTTTAGTCAAACTTCAGCAAATATCATCAAAAGTGTGTAATTCTTTTTTGAATACCCTGTATATTGGTTGTATAAGCATGTACATTTACACCTTTATTTGTATTTGGTTGTTAGACAAGAACAGGTCTACTGTCTTAAATTGGCGATTTTTTTAACCTATTAAGATATTGATAAGGAAGATCGATGTATCACTGCAGAATATTACTGAACATGGAGAATGATTTGTGAATGTACTTTCAGATAGAGAATTCTTCGGCAGAGTTTCTGTTCATCCATGGTGAAGATGATTGGTTGATATATTGGCAGTGTGGAGAAAAGATGGCAAAACGGTTACGGGATCATGGCAAAACTAATTACAGACTTCACATCTACCCCGGGGCGGGGCATTTGATTGAGCCCCCTTATTCCCCACACTGCTATTCATCGTATCACAGAATGATGAGTAAGTAGATTCTCAAAGTAAATCACTCCCTTACTTTGTAGTTGGGTTCCTTGGTTTGCCATATATAAACCATATATAAAGAAAAATTTGATATCTCAATCCATAGTAAAATTGAATGATATATCCCAATGAATGAAGGAGATAGTGAAACCCTCCAACCATGCATTCATCAGTGTGTCTGACAGTCCATTTATGTACGAACTGTGGTATTATGACATCACATTGCTAAATGTCATTATTTGTACTTGGTGAACATCATGCTGAATAAATTTAACAATTTCCCAAACATTTTGATCATTTAAAAGAAAGAAATATTAATAAAATAACACTTTGGATCTTTTCATAATTAGAAAAATTGGTTATACGTGTCATGATATAGGGAGAAAATCAATAAACTCAAGTCCTGTGTTACACTTCTAACTGTATATTGAATGCTCTTACTATGCTAGAATATTTTCTCCCTATATCTTGACACTGTTAATAATTCAATTCAATTCATTTCATAATTCTTATATAATATACACTATAAAAACAAGCCGCTAGACACCCTAGTGGGTATATGTTGCGGTTTAACAGAAATCATTAAAATGACATCTAGACTACATATAAAAGAAAACACTTATATTATGTTACATGTAGGTATATAAAAATGGTATTAACAATTAATCTAAGGATGTACAATGTAAAAAATGTTACAAAAATCAGGTACCAGTATAAAATCAACAGTATAGAGCATATAGTGCATTACTTCTGGGACAACCCTCGTATTATATCTTTCCAGAGCATAACTCAGATACTAGTGTACTGGACTGAATTTTTCATATTTGGTGAAAAGGTGTATCATGTTAAATAGGTGTACACAAAAATATTTTTTCAAGAGGCTTCAAAAATGGCATTGATCATTTTGTTTTTGTGGCTAAGAAAATCCAAAATGGTCACCCAATTTTGGAAATGAGCAGAAATCATGAGATATCTACAATGCATCTTTTCATCCCTCGAGGCAAAGTTATTAGAATGTAAATTGCAAATATAATATTGTGACATCTTTCGCATACAACTCAAACCTTGATATGGATTTTAAATATCTTTTAGTACAATTTAGAACAAAATATAATTTACCGTTTTGAAAATGATACATCCTTTATTGGGATTTGCTTCTCCCAACTTTGGTAAAAATAGCTAAAATGTCTAGAGGTCGGGATGACATTGAAACAAAATTGATTTGAACATTTAAGCCTACTGGATTGAGTCTCAAAAAGTACTGCCAAGGACATTAGACCATTACTCTTTCTATGACATACTTAAAGAAAATGAATCACTCTACAGCTGGCAAATCTTGTCCTTTTCACACAAAGATATCTAAAATTTTGTTAACACAAAATAAAGAATATTCTGTATGAAAAACTGGCATATTTTTGAAGTAAATGATTTATTATGAATGCTTAAATCTCAATTTAGTACAACATGACCTGCCACTAGTCCTAGATTTTTATCTAGGTACATATGTACTTTGAATTGAAGGTAATTGTCTGTATATTTATTTGTGTTATGTTGGTATGGTATGTCTATATACGTGTGTTTTGTTTGTTGTGTACATTATATATAACTTACTTAATAGTAAACAGATATATGTATTTGTGTGATGTTGGTACTGTATATGAATGTACAGTTGTGTAATGTATGTTTATGTGTGCTGTATTTGTTGTGTACATTATATACATATCATGTGTATATTTGTGTAATGTATTTCAGATGATGAGATGCTTTGGGGAGGTAAGACAGTAGAACATGCCAGAGCACAGGACGATTCATGGAAGAAAATATTGGACTTTCTACACACCCAGCTAGACAAACAAAACAGCAAACTGTAGTATATGAAATTGATGCATATCTCTGCTATTGAGTGAAACAACAGCAAAGACAAGATGAGGCATTTGTTGCAGACACCAAATGCTGTTTCAGACACCAAACACCAGCCAAAAAAGTTGAGACTATAGCGGTATGTCACCACTTCTGGTGGTGATGAAACAAGTTGAAAATTCAGAGTCATTTTCTCAGAAGTCACACTTTTACAACATTTTCCGCATAACATTCCATGTAATTTTTGGCTCACACAGTGAGCCTATGGGATCGACCAGGCGTCCGTTCGTTGGTCCGTCCTTATTTTCGAAAATGTCTGATAATTCAAACTTACGTTTACCTTGTCATTGTTCGCAGTACTTGGCTGGGTTTTAGATGATAACATTGGACATAACCAATAATTATATTGTGCAGTATTACTGCCATGCTCCAATGGTAGAATCGTGTATTAAATTCTTTGTTCTAGGTGCCAATATGATTGGCAATGGAGTTCAATCTTTACTGTTAGTGTTTAGCAGTACATGTACGTAAAATGTACTGTGTTGTATTTTGACAATGTCATATCAGGGATAAAATATTCAACACCAATTTTTCTTTTTGTAGTTCCTTAAAGGGGCAACAAGGACTGTAGAGAAAATTTTATTTTTTTTATTTTTTTCGGAGCTATCAGGTCAATATTTGGCTTGACATCTTTTTTGACATACCTATTTTCTTAAAATGTATGGATAAACTCTCAATTTCAGCGTTAAGAAGTGTAAATTCAATTCAAGCTTCTATAAAGGGAGTCCCACTTATAGATTTTTAAGATTCACCATGTTTAAGAGGAATATCAGCTGAAATAATGTTCATCCAGGGGGTTTCTTTGAAGATGATAAAAATATATGTTAGTCTTGATGAAATATCAAAACTTAAATATATTTTGACACTGGTCGATGGCACTAATTGTTGCACCTTTAAAGTACGAGTGGTGATGGAATATAAAAAAGGCATTCATAGTGTGTAAATCAGATTGGAGTAGATTTGCTTCAAATTTCCAGTACAAGTACCTCATTTCCAAAATTTTATTTGAAAAAATGTCTTTTACTTTGTGGCTTTATCTCCTCATTGTTTTATATGTATCATATGAGTACTATTATTGTAATATTATATGTATATGATTTTACAAATTAAAGGTCCAAATGTAGAATTTCCTAAATCCTAAACCTTACTTAATGCATATTGATGTTATGTACAATTAACTCACAAAATCAGTAGAATTGGACATAAACTTTCTTTTCTAAAATAATCAGTTTGAAAAAAGTCCTCAAGTTCAAATTTGGAGAAAAAACTTTTCAATTTTAAAAGGCAATTTATTCACCTTCTACATGAATGACTTTTCTGCTTAAATACATGTAATTACAGAAAAGAAGGTTTATGACCATGCTGCTAATTGGGTAAGATATTTATCATTATAAAATTAAAAATATTATAGTGTTATTTATTTACCTCTTAAAATGTTAATTTTTCCTTTTCTGATCGCCCAAACCACATTTGCAATAAAACTATATTTTATACTAAAGTTTATTTTATTTTGATAAATAAACATATAAAAATACAATAACATAATTAAATTTTGTTGGTTGATTTTGATGTTTGCTGATATGATTTGTACTATCAGGGCTTACTGAAGGCGAGAGGTTACTCTTTTGGAAAGCAAGTATTGAAAAATTTAGAAAACGCATTAGGATTTCAGATGACTATTTAAAATTGGATAACAATATATTTGTTGATGTTTTCCATACATGCTAAAATTAGTAACTGGTCCATTTTAGATGCTAACATTCCAACTTGTTCCGGCTCTAAAGAATAGAGTGTTTGAGACTTGGGGAAATGAATGTGCTCTCAGTATTTTACAATTAAGTCCCATTTCTCCATCAATGATAAATCCAATGAACTTGGTCCTGGTGGATACATTGAATAGTTTTATATACATGTACATGCACTTATTCATCATCTATTAGGAGTAATGTTAGGTGATCTTGTAGTTGGGTCTGTTGAAGTAGACTTGATAGATGGTATGTGTAGCTGAGATTAAGTGTCCTGTGGTATAGCCTAATATAGTCCCTATCATACAACTTCGTGGCCATTCCTGAAACAGAAACAAACATTTTTCTGAATAAAACAAAAAGTCTAATAGAATTATGTATGGTACTGTTATATCATGGAACATGAGTATTTTCTGACCATTAATAAGACCTCTTTCGATAAAACAATATTTTCCTCAAAGGAAAATTCCAATTCCAAAATTCCAACCACACATGGTTTTTGGTTCGAAGATCCTCAATTCACAATAAAATTCTCTAGTCTCTATTGTGGCATTTTATTGGTCATTTGACGCCATATCAACTACTAGCATATGCCATTGTCTCCCAAAAGAGACATTGTGACATGATTTTCTTCAAACAAGTAAGGGCCCTTAGAGGGGAGATCATCTTAGAATTCATGTATACCTGCCAAGGTCTGTCCCAGTCTAGGGGTATTGGGAAGGCCCCCAACCATGCCCCTAAGAGACTACAGCATGTAGTCAGTCTGGCTAGCCCCTCCAAAGTGGCATCCGACCTAGAAATGCAATGAATACAAATTAAATTTCATCTTGATAACTTTTTATTCCATCAGATAATTAACATGCAAAATGTCACCACCTGCCACTTGTTACAGATGCCAAACACCAACTGCCAGACACCAAATGCCAAACACGAACCACCAAACACCATCCACAAAAAGTTGAAGACTATAACAACATAACTTGTAGTGATGACATAATACGATTCTAATGAAAGTGAAGATCTTTTAATCTACATTCTTTGACAAAATACAGTGCTAAAAACACTACAAAACCATTCTTTCACATAAAAATGACAAACATCAAAACCTCCCAAATAAACTGATCTGAGATACCCAAGACTGATTTGAAAGGTCATTTTTCATATAAATATATTTTAACTGAGAAAATTCAATGTAGAATCAATGAATTCCAGCCAAAATTCTGTTTTTAAATGTTCTTAGAGAGTGACCAGATCAGCTTGACCTTGGAGTTTTAACACAGGCCATCAATTTCACTCCCAAATATGGAAGGTGCAAAAATAGAGCTGTCAATCAGAACTTGAACTTTGTGAAAGATATATTTAGCTGGGATATTGACTGCTGGTCTTGAGTTTTTGTATGAAACACAAATAAACGTTTAATAACATTGCTTAAATTTTAATTTGTACAGATTTTTTGCATTTTCATGAATACAACTATGTGTGTATATAAAGGTCAATGTGACCTATTTGGAAAATCTACATTTGTATTGAAAATATGAGATTAAACCTGTGGAACAAATCAAAACTTAATGTTAATTCGATAATGTTGACAAAACAGTCAAATATAATTCATAGTTTAAAGGTTGATTAGTCAATTTAATACTAGTAATTAAATTGATAAAAGGATAATTTTTCAACCAATTTTTTAAAATTAAATTTTTTTTTTTCAGGTTTGACCTGATCTTCAATCACTTGAGTATAAATCAATTTTCTTTTTTATGTCACCATTCGACAAATTTAGATAATTTGAACAAAATATTGATGTCTAATAGTTTCTGGAGCTCTCATCGAGAGAATGATATTCTTCCAGGATTCTCGAAACTTATCGTTATTAACGAATCTTTAATAGCGAATCGTGGATTCGTTTCTATGGACACCGCATCATTAATGGAATAATGAGACCCCCATTCATACTCGTAAAATCAATCACGGATAACGAATAAATCGATAAAAATCATGACATCATTGCGAATTGTTAACTTTCGAGAAACGAAAAAAACATTATTAACAATTGAATTAACGATTCATTTATAACGAAACTTTCAAGAAACAGCCTCCAGATACAGTACAGTAAAAAAAACTACAAAACAATGCAAATGGTTACAAAAATAAACAATTTGCTACAGACTTCAAACACCGTTGCAATAATGAAAGCAACCAATAACAATATGTAACCACTTCTTTGCGGTGACATGTAAACTGTTGAAACTAAGATACTTACTTCTTAAAATTGAAAACCTGATAGATGGCATCACTGTGGCCAAAGGTGATACATAATGGTAGAGCCGTGACACAACTTAAGAGTAGCGCAAAGTGGAACGTTTCTGCTGAAGATCTATAATTACAGTATAAGATTACAGATATCTGTCATTAATTGATAAAGAAAATTACAATGTATGTTAGGCGAAATATAATTTGCAGTGATCATCATAAATTTTAGAATAACAGGTATTGTACCCTGTTGTTGATATTTTATATTCCATCCTACTGTTAAAAACATAAGACATTGTAATGTTTTGACTGGGATTGTGTAATTTACCATCCCGACCTAGGTTACGATAATCATACAAGAGAAATAAAAAAAATTAAAAATCAGACCCTGCATGGTGGGTGGGTAGGTTGAATTCCACCTTGGTAGGGGCTGTAAATTATACGACTCGTTTTGACATATAGATGTAAAATTACGATTCAGCATCTTGTTGAAAAAGTTATACTGAAAACTACTGTATTGTTCAAATCTTTTTTTAAAATTAGTTTAAAAATACAAAGAGAATATGTACTCTAGAAATGGTGCTCCATATAACACAGCTATCAGATGGTACAGTACTGTTGTAGAGAAGACTAAGCCAGCAGACTTCAATAAGCTCCAAACCTGAAATACATGTACATACAAAAATTACCATTATATCAAAATTTCAGAACTGTCAATCAGGTATTAACATGCAAAATGATACTACCTGCTATTTATTACAGATGCCAACCACCAGATACCTATCGCAGAACACTGTCTACAAAGCAATTAGAGACTATAATAGTCAATAACTTCTGGTGGTGACATAATAAAAATTCAAACCCTTAAAGTTACTAAGCTAGGGACCAGTTCAATATTTTACCCAAGGCATTATAAATTACATTTTATATCGCTCCCTGTTTTTCCCAATGGAGTAAAGAGAATTCCACATGATTCCTATTCTATAGCACCTCCATGGGTGTAAGAAAGGGGGAGGGTGTACTGGATGCACACACCCTCCGAAACTAAATTTTTTGGCTGTGAAAGAAACTTCAAAAAATGCTGTTTTTATCAAAAAACAAATATGTATATAGCTTACAAACACTCAGATTGCACCAAATAATGTCTTCAATGACTAAAATTTCCCTGGGCAGGGGCGGATCCAGGAACCAACAAGGGGGGGGGGGCCCAAATGCCCCCAAAATCCAAAAGTGGGCCCAAATTTTGAAATTTTGAGGCCCATTTTCTTCAAAATCTGGCCTGAAATTAAAAAAAAAGGCCTTAAAAGGCCCAGTAATGACCAAAAAGGCCGACTTTTTGGGGCCTGAAGGCCTTGTTTGGCCCAAAAAAAATTTTGGGCCCAACTCTGATTAGCGTGGGATCAGCTAATAATGGCCAATAATAAGCTCCCCGAAGTGTTATTTACTCAATAATAGATTTCTAAGAGGAATTGAGATGAATAATAATAAGTCATTAGAATAAACAAATATATATTGTCAATTTACCTTGAAAGTGAATTTACTCTCTAAATACAACAGAAATGGCAAACCAATGAGATTCCACACTGACAAAATTGCCACCAATATTTCACTGGCCAATAACGGTTCTTCTACAAGGTTGTAACGATCCCCAATGGAAGGCAGTATGTAAGTTGCCAAATATAATAGTAATATAGTGGCAATATTGAATATTATTCTACAATTAGAAAGAAAACTGCGATATTTTGCTTCATTCATTTTTTGAGTTTCCCAAACGGAAGTAATTTTTACGCATGCGTAATTGATTCACTTCCGGATGTCGATTTCCACTAAAAATCAGTAAAATGCCAAGTAAAAAGAAGAAATACAACGCCCGTTTCCCTCATGTAAGTATACATTTTATTTCGCCGATTCGTTATGTAATTAAGTATTATTATACAGCCGTACAAGTGTATCTGAATGTGTTCTTGTTCACAAAATAAGAATTCAAAATTATTTCTGAAATTATTTTTGAAAACTTGAAAGTTTACACATTTCCCTGATTCAACAATGACAGTAAATGAGTGATGTGTAGTTATAAACGATTCGATAGTATAAACGTTTAACATACATATATTATTGAATGTGCAAGTTATATTCAAAACGATATTCATATTGCCGTGTCTGAACAAATGTCATACATTCAAAGACATTCAAAGCTGGGCGGTACATGTATAATTATAAACTATTTCCTTGATTCATATATATTTCATTCACTGTAAAAAAAGTTTTTTTGAATTCAACAAACTATGGCTATAACAATCCTAATTCTGAAATGACAAGACCTTAGAGGCCGATTCTACTACTCAAAACTTATTTTTTATTGTATCCACGGGCCAAGGGAAAAGTACTATTGAGATCCAGGACCTAGATGCAGTTCAATAGTACCTTTCCTTGGCTCATGCTTGTATTAGACCATTCAGACCTGTGTTAGGACTTTGACTAAAATAGAGATGTTGAAATGAAATATCGAGGTCCAAGTTGTCATTTTCAAGCAAGCAGTTGTTATTGACATATAAATACAAAATGTATGTCTAAAGTGAAAACCTCTCTCCAGTGTTCTGTAATTTCTCAGAACATTCTCAACTGATATCTGTACTTATAAAAAACCCTCTCTGTAGTGAACACAGACATGTAGCGAATATTTTCTTTTACTTCAAAGGTGTACTCTATGCACATGCTTTACTTTATTTCAATTCATTACAATCCTACATGTATTATGTACAAATGCAGATTTTTATTTTGTAACCAGATTTGCATTTTAATGTTAATAGATCATTACAGATTGTTACAGATATACATTTTTATGTTACAGCTGTACATGTTATTGTTACTAATTTACATTATTATTGTGTTTCAGGCACGTATCAAGAAGATAATGCAGCAAGATGAGGAAGTTGGAAAAGTTGCTGCTGCTGTTCCTGTCATCATTTGTATCCTTAGTATTCAAGATCAAAACAATTTAAAGGAACTTATCAACATTTTCTAATATTCTAGCACAAAACAATTTAAAAGCGCATATATGAATCAGTATTTTCTAATATTCGAGAACAAAACAATTTAAAACAGTTATATTGATTTGAACCTGATAATATATAAAACTCTTGTTGAATGAAATCTACAATTGTCTTAAATTGTTCAGGTCGGGAAATTGAGTATATGCTTTCAAACAACAAGCATGTCCCTTTAAGTTTCATCAGCTTTAATCACCAAATGGATTTTTAAATGATATAACTACAAGTACTGTAAGTAAATGTAAGAATGAATTAAATAGGGATTTTGATCATCTTTTATATATGTGTTCAGGGTAGTGACATATTGTTACAGTCTCCATCTTTTTGTTGTCATTTAATATTATGCAAACGTTACAAAGAATAAATCAATATGTGAACGATTATGACGTAGTAGGCAGATATACTATATTTGCCCGCTCTTGGCAGGACGTAAAGCTATATCTGCCCGCTGATGAAAATATAAGTTTTTACAAACCGGCTTTATGTACCTGTAACAAGTATGGGATAAATATGAATACTCATTTATGAGATTTCAATTTATAAAACAATAGATGGCCGCGGTGTTTAGTATATTGAGTATTTAGATACTGAGTTCTTTATTAAGCACTATATCGGTGTTATAAATATGTTCTTACTCTACATACAGTATGTCACATTTTTAAGATTGGTGTGTTTCCCTGAGATGAAAAAATAGACAAATTGGAAGAACATAAAATATAATCTATGGATTATGACCCCATATCAACAACACAGTTACACATTCTCCTGAAAGGTTAACATGATCATTGTTTCAATATTTATTATAAAAGACATGCTCTATTTAGATTTTTTTGTGTTGAGCGTCAATGTTTCCTTCAAAACAACAGATGATGAATTGATTTTTGTGGAATGTTTTATTATGTACATATAGGCAAAGTACAATAGTCTTCCTGTTCGACCCAACACGACCCAAGTCATCTCAACCCTCGATCAACTTAACCATTTTTCCTTAAACAGCATGCTGTTCTTGTATATAATTACTTTCTGTTTGTTCTATTTGCTAAAAATATACAAAAAAATTCTAAATAATTATCCAGAGCTAAGTTGACTAAACATTGAGTTCAACAGGAGGTTGAAGTGTATCTAGTTGAAAGTCCATGAGTTGACCAAGGCTTGAGATGAGCTGAGTTGAGTTGACATGGGGTTAAGTCGACCAGTTACCATGCAAAATAACAGTTAAACATATACTTATTTTGGTTAACATTTTATGATATAGCCACCTTTATATAATTCAAGCAAACCTCCTCCCCAAATATGTTCTTACATTTTTTAGGGTAAATAATAAATCATTATATATTGATATACATAGCACAAATAAACATTATTGTCTAACAAGATTGTGTAACAAAATTATGTAACAAGAAACTGTCATGCGGAAAAGCTTCGGTAATAGATGAAAATATGTAAACATCATACATAATTTTAACATAGAGTACATCCTTGTCACGTTATTCCTGCAAATTTCCATACTTGAACCTTACTTCAACCCCTCGGGATATAAATATAGATTACCGCTGAATTCACTCATCATGTTGATGATTTAACCTGAGAATGTGAACAATGTAGAATGTCTTTAAATTGCTTTTTTTATTTATTCAGTGGCTGCTGTCAATAATGTTTCAATTTCCTTACCCTTTTCAATCTTTCGATTTTGCATCATCTTATTACATGAACTATAAACCTCCCAGCCTGAGGGTACATTTTCTGATATCCTGATAGGAAACTTATTAAAATATTTGCTCTCTGTTTTCTCATTGAAAAAGAATTTCAATTTTTTCAAGTACATAATAAAGAGAAAATTTCCTCTTGAGCAATAATATGAATTAGATTTTTCTTTCTTTATTGGAAATTATATTTATTAGTAAGAAATTGCAGAAATTTTTATCATATTTATGACATATATCTTATAGAGAGAAGCATTGTTGCTTCATCAAACCATCTTATCATCCTTTATATTCATTTCCTCAAAAAATATTTTTATGTTATGCTTATGCAAATCATATATACTGGTGCATTTGATAAAAAGTGTTCTAATGAAAGCCTATGATATGAATGATTCATTCATTTAACAATTATTTTTGTGGATAATTATTCTGGAGATGTTATGAAATATTATCAGGACTTCCTGGAGCTCTGTCTCCCTTGAGCTCTGTCATTTAGAGTTATGCACTTTTTAGTTTTAATACAACAGATAATTTATTATTTCCACATATACTTACTTTTTTTAACAGTATTCACATTAGCCCTGTTCAAGTTTCACATTAGCGAATTTGAAATATTACATTAGCGCATTTGAATATCACAGTAGAGAGACTAGATTCAATAACGCAGATGCGAGTAGGTAGTTACTAGATTCACCACCAGGTGGCTCGTTCGGGTCAGATAGCATGGCGGGTATAGTAGAAAGTTCCCTTTAACTTAAATTACATCTATTTGCGTGGTTCAATTTTCATATAAACCTAATGTATCTAATAGTTATGCAAATTAAAATATGTCCAGTAAAAGGAAATGTTATCTGTCCAATACAAGAAAAGATAATTCACTTTTTGTGATTTTGTAACATGGGGTCTATGAGGATTCAACCCGAACAAGAAGTCACATTTTCATAAAAATTAAATTTTCAAAGTTGATAGACAATTTTCGAAACCATATTTCTAGATGTACTTAAACATGTACATGTAGATTTCAAATATGACATCACTTTGACTGAATTTTGAATATTTAATGACGTAAATCAAGATTATTTGTACTCGCATAAACTTTATTAAAATCTTGGGTTCAATTTTTAAAACCTTCTCTCAATATGAGAATTTTTTACTTTATTTTCTAAACTGGCTTTATTTCTGAAAAATGTTCATTTTTAACAAAATGGGCCTTATTTGCCAAAATAGGGCCTTCCTATCACCATACATGATTTGAATAATTGAAGAGATTCATCGAGCAGGGAGGTCCCGATAGAGATAAGTTAATGTTATTGTTTGGCTATGAATAAGGTTTTCTATTGATTTTCTGTTAAAACCAATCATTACTTCAGATCTGACTTGGTGTGTTAATATTATAACACTAAGAGTTAAATAAATGATTCTATTGATTTTATATCATATACTCAACGTGGATTTATTGATGCTATGTGTCCATTTGATAGAATCAATTGATATGAGTGCAAATAGGGGAAACTGAAAATGTGTTTATATAATATATGTGCGTTTAGTACAGAAATATACAATGTACATCCTACTTTGTAGTACGGGAAATCCTCGCAAAATGAACCGGCTCAATAATTGTAACTTGAATGATATTCGTTTATCCGCTTTTAGATTAAAAAATACATTCTGTACTGTATAAATTAATTCTTACATACATGGAATCTGTAACCTGTACATTCTTTAAATGAAATGGGTATATGTATTGTATTGACCAATGCTTTTTACGACCAATGTGATTAGCTTAAAAATATAACTTTTAACAGTTTAGTTTAGTTTACTTATCTATTTATTTATAGTGGTCAGTCTTACAATTCAATAAAATATTTAATTTTTAATTAATTTAATTTAATATTTAATAGTCTATTGAATCATTTAATAATTTCTATTATTATCAGGTCATATGACATATTTTTAGAGAATACGTTTTTTGACTTTTAACTTGAATTCTTTATTACTGTTTTGGGTCACATTAAAAATAATACTGCTTTATAAGGTTTACAATCTCTATTTTAAGAGGACATTTTCAAAATGGCCTCCAAATTCAAAATGGCCACCTTTTTGTAAAACAAATTGCTTCACTTAAATATTGCTCACCTTCAATATTTTATGGATTTATGAATGCTTATAACATAAAATATTATATATGAGAATATATATTTCAAATATTTTGAAATGCTCATATTATGAAGCAGCATCTTCATAGATGGAGATATTATTCTGAATATGGCAGTTGTATGATGTATTGGCCCTTATACTATACATCTGTTACTTAACATATACCTGTGCTGTAAATCATGTGATAGCAGGCCTATAGCCGGTGGAGTTTGGGGGAGGGGTTTGAATGAACACCCCCTGGGCAAAAATTCTTTCAAAATCATGCAGTTTTTCACCATTCTGAGCATTTACAAGTGATTTTTGGTCATTTTTGGGCCAAAGTTATCAAAAAAGAACACCTGGAATTTCTCAAAAGTGAGTCCCCTTGGCAAAAGCTCCCTATATAGGTAGTGAGATAGCACCGAAAAATGTACCGGTGTCTGAACAAATTGAAATTACTTGCTTCTCATGTATTTATATGTGATACAGATAATTTTGGTCTGACAGTCGCCATATCCTGGGCGAAAGTTGTCAAAAAAAACTGCCTATAGGTTTGGATGTCATATGGCTTTGAATGATATCATTTCTTTCAATGTGCTCATATCAAGTTGATATTAATTGCACTTTGATTTACAAAATATGTAAGCACAAGGTCCAAAAAGGAAGGACCAAAAGAATATTACAAGATAGTTTTGCCATAAAATATCTTTAAATGATATTATAACGCATATGATATCATCTAATTACTCATATCGCACCCATATATATTCAATTTCCAAATATAATCCCAATACACTGATATAAGAGATATTGATATCGGCATAATCAATGATAAAATAAAAATATTAAACTAGGGAATGTTTAGTATGCAGATACCCTCATGCAGGTAGTGAACACTCATTTTATTACCAATACATGTACATTTCATAGGTTGATTTACATAATTTGTAATATTTGATATGCTACACATCTGTCTTTCCTTAACATTTAACCAGCTAAGTCCCTGGAGTTATTCATTGATGCTCTGATGTCTGAGACGAGTAAAACTACGATTGGTCGGAATGCCAAGACCCTGACAGCGTCACACATGTAAGTCTATTGTTTATTCTGAGATATCGGAACATCTTCGTCGTCGGAGACTATTATACAAAAACAGCTGTTTTGTCCTCACAGACTATCTTGATGCAAGCCGGGGGTTTCTTTTGAATATATGGCAACAGGCAAAACAAATGAAAACAACAGGCAAAACAAATGAAAACAACAGGCAAAACAAATGAAAACAACAGGCAAAATTTTTGAAATTGTGACACGGAAGCAATTGCAAAATTATTCAAAACAACAGGTGGTTTTGCCAGCATGAAGACGCTGCATTATTTCAAACAGAAAGCCCTTCACTTCTTGCGAGGCTTCCTAGTAGCTTCTATTTAGTCTCTGGGTGACTTGAGCAGATGGCCTCAAAGGAAGGGGATATCTCTTTGGGATACGATTGTAGCAATCCCATGCTAATGCCTTGGTCACATTTGCTCCGATTTTCAATACGGCACCCACCAGATTGAGTATTTTGTTCAAAATTGAATTCAATATTGAACAAAACACTCAATCGGCTGGGCGCCGGCCAATGAATCGGAGCAAATGTGACCAAGGCATTACATAGTGCTGATGGCTCCTGAATCCACATTTTCATCTTCAACTTGCAAAATCATCTGCTGACTGCTACTTATGAAATCCGTGTTCATGCATTCATCCTTGTGTGAAAAGGTATAAATAGCATTCAGCCTTGGTAAAAGGCTTATATAGAAGAACTCATGCATTAAATCCATTAACAATCCAATAATTCCTCTAGGCTTAAATCCTTATGTATTTGGTCAAAAGAAATATTTGTGGATGGAACTTAGTCATGCAAGAGCGATGTTTGACTTTGAGGAATATATACAGGGTGGTCCAAAAAAAATTGGAACATTTGATAATTGAACTCAAAATCATTATTTTTTCTCTAAAATGCACCAAAATTTCACTGAGCATAGTTCAGTCACTTATCTCTCTGATGTAAAGTTTATAGGTGCAAACAACAAAGTTAATGCATTAAACTAGAGGATGTCTGATATGACCCCTCTTCTCCTGAATTACAAGTTGAAGCCTAGGACTCAGTTTGGAAATGATTCATTCACTTTGCTGTTCGTTTGATTTTGTCCAAGCCATCTTGTTTAAAAATTCAGCTTGAACAAACTACTTATATGTTTGCCTAGAAAGATCAAATATTTTAGCATATTCAACTTTTTTTTACCCAAATTGATGGGTATCAAGCATATTTTGATGGCTATTGTTGGATATATTACTGATTGAATATTCTCCAGAAAGAGGCCAGGACAGTCTGTTTTGACTGGTAAATGAACCCCCTCCCCTTTCTTGTTTAGTATGAATAATATTCATTGAATATATCAATGCATGTATATCAATATCATAAAGGAGTTTCCCAGAACACAAATGATATATTATATTATGTGTGCTTAGAGGTGGTCTTTACTAAAGCCTTGTAAATAACTAGTCAGTTTCCCCTCTACTGAAAAGTGGAAACAATGATTTTGTCAGTTTAGTAGCTGTATGGGTTATGCAATCACTTCACTTCTGACATGTTCTTTCTTTCCTATACTCTTAAATAAAAATAATGATTTGGGGTATTCTTAACAAGTTGACAATAGTTTTCCAGTAAACCATGGATATGAATACCTCATGTCAACTAAATATGATTTTATAAAATGTGTATAGCAATCAACATGATCATTTAAGCTTTGAAATAAAGAATACTTGAAAAAGTAGCTGCAAAATTGACAAGTGTATATTTAAGAAAAGGGGGTCATATCAAGCATTGACTAGTTTAATGCATTAACTTTGTGGTTTGCACCTATAAACTTTACATCAGAGAGGAGATAAGTGACTGAACTATGCTCAGTGAAATTTTGGTGCATTTTAGAGGAAAAATAAAGGTTTTGTGTTCAATTAACAAATGTTCCAATTTTTTTGGACCACCCTGTATAGTCAAGGGAAATACAATGTACCTACATATTTGAAACAGGAACATGGCTAAAGATGTTTGATTAAGGGATATATTTGGTCATAGGAAATATTTGGTTTGAGATGAATTGAAAGAAATACTTGTTTGAAGAAAATTTAGTCAAGAGAAATTCTTGGCTAAGAAAAGTACTTGTTAAGGGAGTATGCTTGGTTGGGTGGTTTGGGGATTGGGTTGGCTCCAAGTGGGTTCACTAGATATGATTAAAATTTTGAGCTGGCTAGAAATTCTGTTTTCATTTATGACAAAGATGCTAAATCATCCAACGTTGCAGTTAATCTCTTGGGATCTGGCATTTATATTGCAATCTATTGATTCCTTTATCATGCTGCTCAAACACTCTCTTGATTGTCTACTTAAGCTGAACTGCATGTATCAACTCTTGGTTATTAAGGCTTATCCCCCATGCGATCACCTCCATTAATCTCTAGAGGTGAATAAGAGAGTTGCTATATAGCCGAATAAAGCTGAATAAATAGATGTCAGCACTTGTTGTTTTTATTTTTTGATTTGGTTGGGCCATACTGCCATAGGCTTCAATAGTAATAAGTTGCAATAGTCACTTATGTTCACGATTTGTCAAAAAGTGTTGGTTGAATCTGTCTAAAAATCAAATGGCGTACTATGGGATGACCATGTTAATATTGTGATTGATCATGAAATTTTGGGTTGTTGAATGAATAATCCAAGGGTTTAAAGAATTTTAACATTGCATCAATGGGGATTTTGCCCGATTTTTTGAAAAGTTGAAAAAGTCATGGAAAATGATTTGAATAACATAACTGTATAAATCTAGTTATTATTATAGAAAATCTTTCACTGAATTCAAATATGCTATTGAAAAGAATGAAACATTAATATCTCACGAAAATGAGAATTAGTGAGATTTTAAAGCTATACAGAGACTCCTCTATTATTGCTTTTTATCGTTAATTAAAACAGAGATAGAGAGTACTTTCTTAGGGATTTCCTGTTTTATATGATTGTGTATATTTAATTGATAAGTTGCATAGAAATGTGAAACTCGTAGATATGGCAGTGTTTCCTGATCCCTTATTCATATGAATTTTGTTTGCATTTCAGTTACGGCGGTGTATATACATCCGTGCTGCATCACATTTTTTTCCTTCTCTGACAGTGATAAGTTACATTGTACTATGTTAAGTTATGTTATGTTAGCTGTTTAAATATGATGTTTTAATCAATTTGTCCTTCAAATAATTTTTACAAAAAACTGTATTGATTTGTTGTATAGATCGATGGAAAATTTAATATATGGAAAGATAGGAGACAGAGAGGTGCCTAAATATTTTCATAGTTTAGTTTAGTTTATTTATTTATTTATTTATAGTGGTCAGTCTTACAATTCAATAAAAATATTTAAAAAATTAATTACAATTTTACCCAGCCCACCTTGTACTTATAAACTACTGTTAACAATAGGAAATACAAAATTAACACACAAAAACCTAGTTATATGTTTCTCCATCAATCAACATCTACATCAATAATCTGCAAAAGGCTAATAAGCTCATTTAAGCTGATATTAAAGTTTTTCTCAATCCCATTGGTTGATATTTTTTTGACTCATTGTCATATTATGTTTTGTCAAATTGGTACATTTAGTTATATTTAAACAGAGAAAATGTTGGAACTTAACATATATGGCAGGGCTACCTACATAACAAAATGGACATACAACCTTTTCTTCCCTTTTTGTTTGTAGAACACTTTGTAATTTATATTTTCATGAGGTTAGGAAAACTAGCAAAATATAAAAGCTGGGAAATTTCAAAAGCTGGCATTTACGAAATGTTAAGTTTATATGGATGTGGGAAAATTAATAGCCGTAAAATATCAAAAAACAGAAAATTAGCATAAATTAATAGACGCGGAATTTCAAAATCACAAAATTGCGAAATGCAATAGCCTGAAATATTAGTGGGAGTACAATATACCTAGCTACATACCATATAACAAACACTCCCTCCTTTTAAGTTTGGCAACGGGCAGTTTTCATTTGAGAGCATGTAAAAGTCTGTCAATGTTGGATTTCAATTTTGTTATCTCGAAGTGGGTCAAAGAAAAACCCTAGATGTGGGTCCATCTTTAGAGAAAAAATCCCTAGATGTAGGTGGATATTTGACCAGTACCTCCTCTCTCTCCCACCTGGGGGTTGGCAAGGGATTTAAACGGGGACTATTGGTTGCCAAAATGATGGAGGGAAGTATACATATGCCTAGCTACACACCATATAAGGAAGCACCGCTATCGATAGGGAAATGGTTAACACGACCGATTGTGTATACTAGCAGTTCATGCAGGCATAAAATCGCTAACAAAACAATGTTTATTGTCTCAATTAGTGACTAGTGGCACTTTATCACACTTAAATGTCAAATACATCAAGTTCTGTGTGATCTTTTCTGGAACAATGTATTGTCGGCATTTTATTTGCTGGTCTCATGCAATAGAGTGATTACAAAGTGTATTGTATAAATGATCGGGATTGATTCAACCTTCGGAATATTCATGAGAGTTCTTAATAATGATGAATAATTATTCAGTGCTTTTTAATCTCAAATTGAAAGTGAATTTTTCATCTTAATGACTTAAACTTTAACGGTTTCAGCTTTGATAAGATACAAGAATATAGAAGTATAGATTTGATACAATAAGATAGATAGGTATAAGATGTAGATTTGATACAGTGAATCATGGGCTTTCAATTAGAGTTGAAAGCCCATGAGTGAATTAAATGTATACATTTAATACAATAAGAAAGAAGTGTTAATTTAATACAATAAGATAGAAATATAGATTTAATACAATAAGATAAAAGTGTAGATTTGATACAATAAATTAGTGCATATTTAATACAATAAATTAGTGCATATTTAATACAATATGATTTAAGTACTCAAAGAATTAGAAGTGAACAATTGATTTATGCTAAAAATCTAAGTAGAAGCTTGGCCCCGACCATTCACTAGCAGAACATAAGCAATGATAATTGTAAAATTCTGACACATTTTATATTCTATACATGAAGACATAAAACTGTCTATTTGGGTGATGCTGTATCAATATCCATTTCTATTGCCTGTACTGTACTGTGGATGTTAAAACTTTCCTTCTTTATTTGTAGTTAGTTTAGTTTAGTTTATTTGTTTATTCATAGTGGTCAGTCTCACAATTCAATAAAATATAAAACAATTAATTACAATTTTACCCAGCCCATCTTGGGCTTATTAACCACTGTTAACAATAGGAAATACAGAATATTTATTTATATGTGTCACCACCAATTGCTCTTTTGAAAATATTTGGTGGTCCTGAAAGAACAATAGGAGCCACAGAGGCAATCAAGGAAGTTGGCAAGAGCCCCTCATGCTTTATATTTTAAGGTTTACATAGTACAAATTGTAAATTGTATGTGATAGATTGATTCATAAAACATGCAGTTCAAACAAAAAATTAGACAAATTCATCAACATTTTTAATTTTAAATATTTGGTGGTACTGAAAAGGACCGTTTGAAGCCCTTAAAAGGGCTTTCTCTTTGGACCATGGGAGTCACTTATGCAACCAAGGAAGTTGCCAATATCCCCTCATAAAACATGCAGTTCAAAGTTCAAACAAAAACTGGACAAATTCATCACTAATTTCTCTTTTGAAAGTATCTGGTGGTCCTGAAAAGGACCGTTTGTAGCCCTGAAAAGGACTTTCACCTAATATTCCATGTCTTCCTCTTCACCTTCATCATATTCTTCATCATCAATGAATGAATATTCAGACTCAGCATCAGAATCTTGGGCTTCCATCTGTTGAACTTTGGTCTTCAGTTCTTGGACCACTTCAGCCATCTCTTGAGCATAGTAGTAGAACATCATCTTCATGTTGCTGAGTGTGGATAGCTGTAGATGCAGGGAATAGCGATGAGCCTCTCTCTGGTTCTCCTTAGCTTGCGCTCGCTTGTAATGCACCTCTACCATCTTGGTCTGGTCATCAATGACAAGGAGTTGATCACATGCCTTGGTAAATTTTCTGTAGGCTGAATCAAGCTGTATGGTGGCATAGTCAAGGTCATTGTTATTCTCAAGTTCTGCCTGTCTGGAGGCTTCGAACTCTCTCATAGAATAGGAATCCATGATATCACTAGGTGCATCATCCATTATGTTGCTTTGTACATCCATTGTGTCGCTGAGTGAATCAGTGGTGTTGTTTGTCTGTCAATTTCTGATATGATCACTACAGTAATCAAATCAGTTATGATCAGTCCTTAAAAAGTTTGGTTATATATGCTTTTAATTTTTTGAATGTAATCTTTGTATTTTAAGTTTTTACCAGTTTGGTCAAGTTTGGCAGAAACACATGACAAACAAACAGGTGAATTTTATCTTCAAGAAAAAGCTTAATGTTTACAAACAAAGAATTGACACCTGTAGGTTCTAGTTATCACAAACATTGACAGGTGCATTTTATATGAAGGAAAATATCTTGTTTAATGTTTTCAAACAAACGCTATGACACCATTGGATTTAATCTTCAAAAAAAGATATTCACAAACTTCAGGCTGTCTGCCATATATGCTTTTTGAAAATTTTAAAAATAAATTGAAATCTCCAATTAATAGGCAACATTTTAATCCAAGATGACCAATTCCCAATTTGAATTATCAGCCATGGTCGAAATAACTCCATAGTCGCAGTAGTCTCATGATGAAGTAACCCCATACGTCGAAGTTCAACGAAGGACCCCTTACTTCTCAAATGAGTAATAAAACCTTAATGAATATACTGAACCATGGGGCACGTTTCACTAAAATACTCCCAACTGAATAAATTAATAATGAATGAAAAAGCTATTAAAGTGCTAAAATCTATTTCCAGCAAGCAGACAATAGAGTCTGTGAAGCAGTTTGACTTCCTCAAGGATCTGGTTGCCAACATAAAAGATGTCGCTGATAACGAGGGAGCGGAAGAAGAGGCCAGTAATAGTGGAGAGGGCACATCAGTGTCAACAAAGAGGCCCCCAAGCACGAACAAATCTCACAATTCTGGAGCTAAAAAAGGACCTGGAAGGTGAGATCTTTTGATTTTTATGTGGTGAATGAATGATTCATGAGTATTGTAAAACTTGACTCATCTGAATGCTATTGGAACGGGTGGAAAGTGATCAGATTGACAGATGATCATATATCAAGATTTATTTATCATGGAAGTCTGGCGGATTAAAGAATTGGACCGAAAAAGATGTTCATATTTAAAAGGTGTTCAGATTATGATAACAGGTTTTACTGTACATGTATACACGCGGTAGTATCTCTTCGGGACGAATCGAAACCACTCCGTCCCGAAAAAACCGTTAATTTGAATTTAAAACCTACCCCAGTGTTTGAAAATCAAGGATTGTGAGTCTCACACTTCACCGTTTTTCTTCAAACTTGTTCCGTACAAAGCTTCACAGAAATACCTTTCAGTCGATACATTGTTTTCGTGTACAAAGTACCTCGTTTTAGCGGCGTTTTGGTCCCCAGCTGCGAGATAAAGCAAATTTTCATAACTTTCAACTGTAAGTCAAGTTATCTCGCCAGTCTTTTACCCATTCTCGCTCATAATTTCAGAATGGACTCCCATTACAACCTTCCATCGCTACGTTTTGATTTTTGGGCATCAAACGCAGCAGGTTCTTAATCATCCACACATCTCTTAAAATTTGACTAATACGTCCCGTCACCTTCCACTACGCCCCGCCGAGTCTATGACTACAAACGTGGAGTTGTATTCTAAAACATTTTGTTCATCGTTGTGTAATTTAACATAGGTTTGCCTTGGTCGATTCTTAACACCAGTCTTAAGTTTAGCATACATACGGAGTATAACTATAACTGATTGCATGAAATTGATAATTTAAATGTTTGTGAAGATGTTGCTTTTTAACTTTAATTATATGTAATTGTCCTGTATTTGATTTTGTGAGGAAACCAAGTGTCTGGTTTGAAACACAATAAAATCTGGAATCTTGTTTTGCTAATGTTCAACATAAATAATTTATAAATTATCGGCCGAGGGCAGATAAGAGCGGATCAATCAATGATGTACAAAAAGTAACATGTAAAAGAAAAACGCTATACTATTGTGATGACTATTGCTCTCGACAGAAAGCTTCAATTTTCATTGCATCATATTTATTTATTTACCTGTATTTAAACAGAGTGGTTTTAAACATATGCAGTTACTACTTAAATGATAATAACACTATTTGCTTAATTCTATGAAGAATGTTTTTATAGTTTTTAATATTCTATCGTCCAGCGTATTCTCTCCGAATTATTGATCTGGCTATGAATTTTATGCACTAAACATAAACATGTAATACGTATCAGAATGATACTATTATATCACAAAGAACATTTTGTCATGACTATACATATTTTCTAAGTTCATCATCATGCCACAGTGTAAATGTACTGTATGACATCCAAGGCAAAGTACTAACAAAGCTTTACATTACATTATGAAACGTGTACCATATAAAATGATACATGTTTCTAACGTTATGCTGAAAATAATATAATTGACATCACCCATCCTTTCGCATTTTAAAATGTTTTCAAGGATAGCTAGGGCACTTAAAACGTTTCTTAAAAATATTTTCAATTGTTCAGTAATTAAAATCTTTATATTGCAATATAGGGAAATCTAAATTTTAGGGAGATTTTGGACCACCCTATTATAGGTATATTGAAAATGGACAAGAATGGGTAAATCTTAAAACACAATCCGATTGGTATTTAGAATCGACAATGGCAACCTACAAACGGACACATCGATGGACAAATTGTTTTAGAATGCAACTCTACGTGTATAGTGATAGACTCGGCGGGGCGTAGTGGAAGATGACGGGACGTATTGGTCAAATTTGAAGAGATGTGTGGATGATTTAGAAACTGCTGCGTTTGATGCCCAAAAATCAAGACGTAGCGATGGAAGGTTGTAATGGGAGTCCATTCTGAAATTATGGGCGAGAATGGGTAAAAGACTGACGAGATAACTTGACTTACAGTTGAAAGTTATGAAAATTTGCTTTATCTCACAGCTGGGGACCAAAACGCCGCTAAAACGAGGTACTTTGTACACGAAATCAATGTATCGACTGAAAGGTATTTCTGTGAAGCTTTGTACGGAGCAAGTTTGAAGAAAAACGGTGAAGTGTGAGACTCACAATCCTTGATTTTCAAACACTGGGGTAGGTTTTGAATTCAAATTAAAGGTTTTTCGGGACGGAGTGGTTTCGATACGTCCCGAAGAGATACTACCGCGTGGTATAGTATTAAATACTGCATACAGCATAATGTTAATGAATTAATCAAGAAATAGTGTGAAGAAAATGTGTAATTAAATGACAGATGAATGACATATTAGTTGAAGTAATTTATATGATATACATAATACATATGATATACATAATACATATGATAATAGAGAAAAATAAAAAGTACCCTCTAAAAACTTGTAAATGTTACTTTAAACCTAGTTTTGCTTGAGGCTTCTAGTTGAGATTTTCCTGCATTGATTGTAAGCCTTTATAAATCCTATTTCAGACCAAAAAAGATGAAGCTTGATGATAAAAGAAGTACAGAATCTGATATATCCGAGGTAAATTATTCATAAAAGTATGTTTATGTAGGAAGTGTATTATTTGCGTAGATTAATTATTTTACAGTATTGTACATTGAATTATTCATATTGATGTAATCACAAGTCATTGACGTCAGATGCTTTGTTTTGTTGGGTTTTACAAAGTATACTATTTTACTTGAATCTTTTTCTTGCTGTTTATCTATTTATTATTTCCACACTCCAAATTCTATTAAATATATAGTTATTAGCATGTTAACAGAGTACAATGTTTATTATTATGTAAAAATAGAACATGTACGTAAATATAGAAGAAATATTAGAAACAGGATGTTATTTCTTACTTCCATAAGATATCAATATGTCTGGAATAGTCCAGTATCATATATTTTAAAAGGAGAATTATATGACATTGGTGTCTTCTCCCTCTTTGTAATACGATTATATGAAAGAAAATAGCTAACCCAAAAACAAATAATGCTTACAACTTTCATTTCTTTTGATACAGATTCTATCTTTAAGAAATTAGAACCACTTTAATGATTTATCGTCTCAATAAGATGATTAGCAACTGTATTATTTTTATAACTCCAGTATTCACAATATATGAGAATTGAATGCTACACAAAAACATGAAAGTTTGCAAGAAATGACTTAAAAAAATCATTGTTCATTTTTTTTATTTCATAAATGATTTTTTTGATTGACAACACATATGCATATGTACCTATAGGCAGAAATCAGAGAAAAATTGGTGAATTTTCTGTTAATCATACATCGGACAATGAATTATGAGGAACGTGAAAATTTTTCAGGAAGAAACGGAAGATGAATCAACAGAAGATGAAATTGAAACTAAGATTGGAACACCGGCAGGTTTTTCACAACCCATGTTTCCAAACACTACAACACTACCACCAACTAGTATTGAGCAGTCCATGTCTGCTGACACAGAGAGTACACCAATGAGTAGTTTTCCACCATCCACATCTGCTAACACCTTGAGTGAACCAAATATTAGCGAGGTTAAACCCATGTTCGTAGACACCAAGTGAGTTCAGTGAGCATGCTTTATTCTCTCACATGTCTTTCAGGCCCGTAGCCAGGATTTTCCAAGGGGGGTTCAGTTTTCAAAAATTTCCAGGGGGGTTCACATTTAATAATTTTGGACCAAATATGGCTCAAATCACTCAAGAAGTGCATAAAATGGTGAAAAACTGCATGATTTATGGCCAGGGGGGTTTGCCCGAACCCTGGAACCCCCCTGGCTATGGGCCTGTCTTTATTGATGAAAAGGCAGGAGTTATATTAACTCTAATTATCATCACATTGCGAGGCCTGTTCTCATTGTATTAGTACTAGTTGACAAGGCTTATATTTTACTATTTAACTTAAGCAATAGTTACTTGGGCATAGTGCGAGCCATAGTGGTTATTATTATTCACCCTGGCCCAGGGCGAATAGCGAGTTTGTACTTAGTTACAATAGGTGGTGATAATTCTAATAACCTCATTTCAATGGGCAACGTTGTGAAATCTTGGACTAAGGGTAGATCACTATGTTGCTCTTTGAAATGATGTTATTTATATATTCAGTTTATAATTTTCTTCTCACCTCTCAAAAACTAAAGGTTTTGTTGCTTCTCATGAAGATTTTATCAGTTCATCTCTCGATGGGCTATTTCTCTCCCCTTCTACATTTTACAAATTGCTGCATGGTTTGATCATTGGGAAGTGTTGACATATTGTTATTGTCTCCAAACTTGTTATGTATAGCATTCGGTGGTTGGTGTTCGGTATTCAGTGGTTGGTTTTATGCAGACAGTGTCTGTGGCAGGTGGTGACAATTTGCATGTTAATGCCTTCTTCTAATTTATTTTTGATTTAAAATCTAACCACACAATTGCAAAGGGAATACCAAAGGGAAACCCCTTGAAATAAGAGCCATCTATTGAGCATTTCAAACAAAAATCATTAAATTGTTCTATTAAAAAAATTGTGCATAGATTTCATGGCTTCTATTGGCCAAATAATTTCTCGAATGTCATTGGACAAACCACCCTCTTTTAATCACAATCAATCAACATAATATGTTTGTAAACTCCATTATTTGAAAAACATCTCAAATATTTTAATTGTGTTTTAGGATGGATGCTGCTGGTTCTATTGCTCAGAGGCAGCCGTCTGCCTCGCCTCCAGGGACCCCTTATACGCAGTACAAACCTTTGGAGGCCTATATTCAGAACAACTCAGGACCTACAATGTTATCGCCACAATCAAAGCATAATAAAACTCTAAATGTTACATCTGTGGGCGGGTTAGAAGTGCAGCATGGGAATGCAGAGGGACCTCCTTTCCAAGGAGTGAGTGGAGGTAAAGTTTCAGACACCCTTCTCCCAGGGAGTATCCTCCCAAAGGAGGAAATCTATGGACAGAATAGGGAGCATTCTCCTATGGACTTAGATGTTTCTAGACCACCTGAAAGCACTATAGCACCTGGTATTGATTTGTCAGTAAAGTTGAAGCATGAGACACCTGAAGTTTCTAATACAAATATGCATAGTCAAGAACATTCAATAAAGAATGAAACGGAAGCATCTGATCAAAATCAAGGAGCAGGGATACCACCCCCTCTGATCCCAGACCCTAAACAAGTGAATAATGCCACCCAGTTGCCAAATCCCCCTCCCCTAGTGAAACACAGGGATTCATCAGAGATTCAAGGTACAACCCAACCTGGATTAGAAATGTTGAAAAAGAGGTTTGGACAGGTTCCTTATTCAGACAGTAATTCGAGTGATAAATTTGATCCGGAGAAACACGGTTCAACGCAGGATTCTCCCATTAATATGACAATCCGAGGCTCATCTTATGCCAAGCCAAGTCAACCCAGTGCATCCCTTGGTGGCTTCTCTGTTGCAAGTCTCATAGGGACTCCAAACATTAGTAAATCAAGTTCGCCTCCTAGGCTTGATCCCAAACCACATAATAACATCCAAGGGGAATCAAGGGTTCAGGGGTCTCCCTGTAGAGATATGGATAAGAATTTACCCACAGCTGGGATATCGAAACCTTCCCATAATCCAATGATGAATAGTGTTCATATTTTCTCTGAAGCAAATAGGGATGTTCATCACCATACAGCTCCCCCTAGGGATGATAGAGTGCCCCCTAGGGATGATAGAGTGCCCCCCAGGGATATCTATCCCTCTATTCTACCACCCAGGCCTGCCCATAGTGGAAGTCCAATGCGGTCTGACCCCAGGGAGCTGTTGTATCTCCCAAGGGATGCACCCCAGGAGAGGAAACTCCCAGGGCTACCAAGACCAGCTCATAGTGGAAGTCCTATGTCAAGTAGGGATGGCAATCCAGATATTAAGCACCCGGCATTGTGCCACCCAAGACCTGCCCATAGTGGCAGCCCGACCCTTGACCCTAGAGACAGGTTATTGCATATGAGCGAACAAGGCCGACGCCACTCAGAAGCATTTCTCTCTCGTGAATTGCCCAAAGATAGGCATTTTCCACATAATGAACCACCCCATGAAAGGAATAGGGAGTCACCCAAAGAAAAATCCTTTATCCCTAGAGAGTTACACACAAGGGATTCCCACCAGGAAAGGGGAGTTCCCCCAAGGGAACAAGCGCATCCATATTCAGCCCAAGAAAGGGGTTTCCTAACACAGGAGAGACGTCACTCAGATGCTGATATATCTAGAATGGGGCATGTTGGGAATCACATGCAAGCTCCTTTGGCTGGTCGCCCTAGCAACCCAAAATCTCCTGGAGAAGAAGTGAAGAATGGAGAGACCTCTGGTGATAAAGAGAAACCTCTCCCTAAGATGTCACTAGCAGAGGCTCAAGCTATAGCAGATGAGAGAATTGCTCAGATGATGCCCGGAGCCTTTGGATTTGGTGGCCTTCCTATGATGATGACACGACCAGGCATGCCATATCCCATGGGCCTATCACCACAAATGCCAATGCTCCCATATATGGGCCTCCCTGGTTTGAATCCTTATGGGATACCAGGTATGCCTCCTGTAAGCCACCCCGGGTTATTCCCTGGAATGCCTGCTGGGATGTTCTCTCCTTCGAGTCATTTGACCCAACCAAGGCACCCTTATGATAGCTTAGATTCACCAAAGAAGTAAACACTAGCTTGCAATATGTGCACTGTATAATCCAGTTGTGCAATGGTTTTAGAACAATAATGACATAATTCAGGTTAAATATGAACAATATACCGTAGTTTATTACTAATAACTGCTAAAACAATTAGCATACCTACTTCTGTTTGGTATATACTATGTACAGTATATGTAGTATCTTCATTACGGAGAAATTTATAATCCATTATAATAATGAAATGGCCTCAATAAAGAGGCAAAATATACTTTGTTCTGGTAATTGGACTTGTGACAAAAAGGATATTAACGATATTATTTATTCTGAATAAACTCATCAAAGCAAAATAATTTACCCTTTCCTTTCTTTGGAGCATAGCATAAAGAAACTTCATAATCCACATGTTTTGCTAGTTTAGAGAATTAAAAATGACTAGAATTTTTGTAAGCTTGTCCAAAATTTGTAACTCTGGTAACCAGAAACAATCGAGAGGTTTCACACAAAGCTTTTTGCCCAACATATCTAAATTACAGTATGTAATGCATTCACCAGATTTATGTGTAGCAGTTCAACTAAAACAAGATGCAGTTGATGATACATTTTAGCTGTAATCTGTTGTGTGAAACTTCTCTATTAATACTTTTATTTACTTCAAATTCATTAAAGGGCTAATAACTGTAATTCTCTTTCTAAATAACCCTACAAAATAAATTTACAATGATCTGTTACATAAACAATCAATAATCTGAGATAACAAACTTTCTGTTATTATTGAAGTTTACTACCAATGCCTCAGTCACATTTTCTCCGATTTATTAATTGACACCCGGCCGATTGAGTATTTTGTTCAAAACTGAATACAATTTTAAACTGATTGCTAAATCAGCCGGGTGCCAGCCGATGAGTTGGAGTTAATGTAACTCAGGCATTATTAGGTGAAATTATTTTTCAAGCATCAATATTTTCAGAAAAGGTTTATGTGTCAAAGCCTATTGATTGTGCATTGATTGATTGTCACATACGCGTATTATGAATTAAAAATATTTTAGAGTTAATAAGGATGTGGATTACAGTTAATGACCCTTAAGGTAAGCAATTTCAAACATGTTTGCATGAATACATGAAATATGTAGGCAGCTAGTAGCTACACATGTACAGTAAATCCTGTATATAGTGAACACCTATGGAGCCACAAAATAGTGTGCATTGTAGGCATATATTACTACAGAGGGTATATCATACAGGAGCCAATGTAAAATGTGTTTTGAAGTGGTGCTCACTAAGGGTGTTCAATAAGACTAAATAAGGTTTTGCTGCATAAGATAAATTACAGAGAGTTAGTGATCTTGCCTGGCCTACCTAAATATCACACTATCAATATTCTGCACAGTCAATATTAATGTAGTTTCTTAGTTGTCAATTATGAACCATGTATGGCTTTTTATTATTAATAGACCCAGTGTTAAAAAGTGATTAACCCGTGTATGTGGGACTAAGAAATGTGTTGCATCATTATTCGAATGTGTCAAACTGTAGAAAAAGTAATATTACGAAACAACGAAATTTCTTCACTGTTGTTGAAATTGCAGTATGTGGTGTTAAGTAATACAATTAAATTGTGTTCTCAAAGCTGCTGCCAAATATAGAAATTATATCCAAATAAAGCAGTCATTTTTTGTAGTTCCAGCACCGTTGTAGGATCAGGAGGGGGAAATATCCCAGAATTACCGAGGGACCAGTGGTTAGTTCCTGTTTTCACCACCAGGTGGCTAATTCAGATCAAATAACATGGCACATATAGGAAAAAGTTCCTCTAGATCAAGATCGTTTCTACTTGGATCTAGTCTATTTATAGATGAACCTTTCTCCATATGAGCATAAAGATGGTTTTCATACGTCATAAAATTTAGGATTTTTGGACTTATTTGGCAAGGTCTGAGCTATTCTAGGTCCAAAATATATGATTTTTTAAAATTTTTGAATTTTTGGGCTTATTTGGCGTGTTCTGAGCGATTCTAAGATCGATTTACACCTTTGGTCTTTACTCTCAATAGTATGCGACTGTGTATTCTGCATATGTAGCTACACCCATGCTAAGGGTTATATATTCTGAAAAAATTATTATCTTTGAATTCTGGGATATTTCCCCCTCTTGTAACATTGATGTATAAGCGTATTGTATCTATGTATATTCTAAAAGGCAGTGTCAAAATGAACATTTTATCAAGAAAACTAGTATTTAGTGGAATCTTACACAACAGTAAGAACCTTTCAAGATTGTTAGGCTAGCATACAAACATATTCATGACATACTTTATCATGACACCTAGATTTAGATGTCTTGATAAAGTATACCCAAATTGATACTTTGGACTGGTCTGAAATGCAATGTGCTAATTGTTATGTTAAATTGCATGAGTTTTAAGGTTGTTGTACAGATGTGTAATATAATCAATATTATTAGAAATATGCAGTCATAATGTAAAGATTATGTAGAACTTGAAAATGTACATAAACAATAAAGTTTTGTATAAAATCATAAATATTTATTTTCCCTTCAGTCTTCCATACAAGTAGTGTTTAAATGAAAATATATATGTACAGTTTTAATAACAAAGAGAGTGAGGTTATGAGAAAATTGAGTTTAACGAACAATACAAACCGGTGTATGGCCCATATAAACATTGCCAATTTGGTTATTCAAAGAGGGATTTATCAATTTTATTAAGACACACTACCCTACCCTATAGGGATACAGGCTACAGTGAAGTTGCAAATGGAGGACACTTGTTTATTTCCATATTTCTATAATACTAGATTTTTCATATATTCCAAGTGTTCTTAATACATTGTACATGTATCTTTTAAAGGAATACTGGCTACAGTATGGGGGTAGGGTAGTGTGTAAGAATTATTTAAATCAATGCAATACACATGCACTGGAGGACATATTACCGCTTCAATAGTATTTATATCAACTTACAACTTGGGTTACACATATAAACCCATATTAACCATGCTGTGAAATTTGAAACACTGGTCTGGATTTCTGTACATCATACAGTATATCTCATGCAATATATTGATCACAGATCAATAAAAGATCAATTGATAAAATTCATGGCATGTTCAGGAAACATTCTAGACTAAAAATGTTATTTAGGCCTAGTCATTATATCCAATACAATGTACATTTTAAACATGTACTGTCCCAAAGGCTAAATAATTAAGACACTCCAAGTCCTGAACACAATTGCACTTTCATATTTATAACATAATCCAAAGGCTTCAAGTAGAAACATGCAAAATAGTTTCTAAATTCAAGCTTTCAAAAATCAAGTCCTTTATCCATATGAACAGAACACCAAAGAACTACATTGAAACTACCACCAATTATTTGACAAGTTCAGATCATCTTCGCTTTCCTTTCTGTTGTTTTTTCTGTCCAGGTCTGAATGGTTTCTTGGATCTTTTCTTCTGCCTCCAATCAGCTCCCCTCATTTTCCTGTCTCTCTCTAGCTCCCACTTCAGTTGCTTAGCACCTGCAGACACACAGACAGACACATATTGGAATAAATCACAGACACAGGAACAGCAGTTAAAATAATATAGCCTTATGACAGGCATAGTACAGTGAATTTCAATTACTTTTCAAAATACAATATCGAACTTCGTGGATGAAACCCATTTGGGCTCTGAAGATTTTGCCCAAATGAACATGTGATAGTTTTCAATTCCATACCCACTACAGCATCTATTCTCTCCATATAGTGGTTCAGAAAATGGGATAATCAATTACTAGTAATCATCAGTGGTTTGAAGTTACATGTATAGAATGTTTCACTTTTCCTCAAAATTACACTTTCTTAATTTTCCAACTATTTTTACCAACTATTACTTATCATGTTAGTGATTGTGCGTCAGAAAATTTGGCGGGGGGAGGTCTAATCATCAACGAGTTTGGCTGAGGCTTGCTTTTCTTTACCAAAGACCAACTGGGTGAAACTCCATCTTGATCTGAGAAAATAGGAACACCCTATTCATGTATTTTGATTTTGAAACTCAAAACATTGCTTACTGGCATTGTCTTTATTGGACATGGCATCTCCACCTCCCATGTCAAACTTGGCACCAGCATTATCATCCATCATATCTGCGAATTCCTCCGCAGCAGCAAATAGTCCAGCCCCATCACTGTAAATAATTAATACATCAATTCTTTTTGAATATCTTTAAAAAAGAACAAATAGTCCAGCCCCATTACTGTAAATAATCAATTCAATTCACAATATTTTATACCTTTTTCTTTTCTTCCCTCTCATTGATTCTAAGGGGCCTTCTTGAGATCTCTTCTTTGCTTTCTTGTCCTTGCTAAAGTCAACCTCTCCGAGCTCATCTAAAATTACAATTTGGGCAGATAAGAAAGGAATTCACATAATAAAATGTCATCACCTGGACACTAACTCCTTATGCAAACATCAAACACTGATGCCTTTCACAAAAAAACAGTTGCTATAACAATAAGTTGCCAATAAGTTGCCCTTTCTTGGTGTTGACATAAAAAAAATCAAAATGGAGATTCATATGAGTAAGCCCCGTCGAGTTTGTGTAGCAATGCCACACCACTTGCATAACTTTGATACGACAATCACCACATCCTGCTCAAGCCTCCATTCTGCAATGTCTTAGGCTAATTCATTGAACAACGGACACAGAGGAGGGATTCTCATCCCCACCACTTTCTGGCCTAGGTCCGAGGACTTTCCCCAAAGCATGGAACAACTGGTGTTCTTGAGTAGCTTCGAAGCAAGTGTACATGGCTCTCCATACTAAACATATTGATGACAAGTCTTATATATGGCTCATGGATGGAAATCAATTAATATGGGTCAATAAATTTGAAAACATTACATTGTTTTCTAGGATCAGAACAAAGATTCTTGTGTTGCCTGGACAGAAAATAGCACCCCTTATGTAATATACTATATTGTTTCATTTTGCAATCATTCTTTTTCAATATGCATCACTGGAAAAATTATAAATTTGATTTCAAAAATTTACCATCATCATCGGAAAAGGCAACATCTTCCTCATCAAATTCAACATCATTTTTGCCATCCTCATCACTAGCATCTGAGGCAAATGCATCTCCAAAGTCACCATCTCCAAAGTCAGGTTCCTCCTCTGATAAATCATCATCTTCAAGGTCAGAGGCATCATCTTCATCAATCTCGTCGTCATCTTCATCACTGCTCTCATTAGCTTTACTCTTCTTTTTATTCTGCTTTTTACCCATATCACTGCAATTCCAGGTAAATGCATTCATAATACCACTTATTTGACGAGCAGAGTATGTAGATTTACAACAATTATATACATAGTTCATGGTTGTATCATGTAATGTATTTGAAAAGAAGTTTGCAGGAAACAGTTTTTTCGTGGGTTCAATCCCATTGATGAGACAGATAGATACACAGAATTTAATTTTTTCGGTTTCAAATCAAATTTACCAAAGGTAAAACATGAACAATTTAGATTTGCCATCTTGTAAGTATCAAGCACCAACAAAAATTAAATTTGCTGACCTTGCAAAATCATATCCTAGATCACCAAGCATGTCCCCTCTCTCATCAACATTCTGTTCTAGATTCCCTGAAAGAAACACATTGTACCAACTTATTAATTCGAGTACATCAATGATTACATAATAAAATTACAATTTCTGATTTTGAAATAAAAACATTTCTTGCATTCACCATACAATAGTCGAATCCCTGGTTTTGCTAATATCTTTTCAGTAGGTACTGCAAATGAGCACATAATGGGTGACACACAAATTATCATATACAAAACTGAAAAAGTTTCAGAAAACTGCAATAAGTTAATCATATTTCCACACTGAAACAACTCGTTTTTGAATAACATCATGTCCACAAGGAGGCATGTTTCACTGTATTTGTCTATTTTGATATAAATTAAGTGGTTGTATAATGTACCTAGATATTCATCAAACTCGTCGTCACTGATACTGCCAGCATCACTGTCCTCATCATCTGCCTTCTTGGACTTCTTCTTAGCAGCAACTTGACTAAAGTACCTAAAATATATAACAGTATGTGTATCTTTGCCCTATATTTGACTAAAGTACCTAAAATATATAACAGTATGTGTATCTTTGCCCTATATTTGACTAAAGTACCTGAAATATAACAGTATGTGTATCTTTGCCCTATATTTGACTAAAGTACCTGAAATATATAACAGTATGTGTATCTTTGCCCTATATTTGACTAAAGTACCTGAAATATATAACAGTATGTGTATCTTTGCCCTATTTGCATATTTTTTAGTTTATATACTGGCAATGACAAACATATGATTTTTTTATGTTTATTTACCAAAACATTTCTGATATTGAATATCATTCTTACAATATGCTAGGGAATTACACTAGTCTTGCGTCAAGCTTCATATTTGTACTCCCCCAACCCACACTCTCTATAACATAGTTAGAGGACCAAAATATTCAAATCTGGGGGAAACTGACCCAAAATTAGGAAATGTCAATAGTCCCTTCCTACCTGTGAAAGAATTTCTCATCAACTGGTATTTTTTCCTCTGTGGTCTCCAGGAATTTATCACTGTTCACTGCCAGAGCTTTAACTCCTTTAACATCTATCTCCTTACGTCTCATAACACTAACAGAGTCTGGAATTACAAATTGATTAGGATTATTAAATGTCCAAATGGTTTCAGTGATTCTAATAAAGTGAAACTGGTAGAGTGGAATATCTCTAGAAGTGAGAACACATCTGTTAGTGCAACACTTTTCAGTCCCATGACTAACTGACTAAAAGTTAAATGAGCCTCTATAAATGGAACAACTTCCAAGAAGAACACATTTTAGATGTACCAAAGGTGTTCCAGTAGACAGGTTTTACTGTAAATGTATTTGTTTAATGAGATCACCTAGTGCCAAATCACAGCCTCAAATAAATGTGTTGAACAGGATTTTAAAACCACAGGTATCCAGTTATCTTTTGAATACCAAGAACTAATGCAGACCTATTCTTACCTGCTAATTTCTTCTTAGGATTTCTATAGACAAATCTGTCAAGGAACTTAATGAGCGTAAAATCCTGTAGAGGGTCACTGGTGTATTGGATAGATTCTCCCTGGAATATAAGAGCAAAAACAACATAGAAACACATATTTATTATGTTTCTGCCTTATTTGCCCCCTAAAAGAAAAAATATTCCACCAAATAAGAAATCCAAAGGAAAAGAAGATTCAAAGAAAACAATGAATTCAAGCATGGTGGCCATTAGAAAACATTGAGGTTTAGTCTACTCTTAGAAGCGGCTTGTATAGTTAATTTGTTTTCATACCTTCATGACTGCCTGGGCAAACATGGCCACAGATGGGTGGAAATGAGTCTCCAATTTCTCCAGTTCCCAAATACATTCTCTGTCTGCAAGGCTGTACAAGGGATTCCTATGGTAAGGGTCATAGTGCTCAATCACCTTCTTCACACCACCTTAAAATATATTAACAGGTTATTTTTGGACACCACATATTCATCTTTGGGAGGGGGTTTGAATCTGATGAAAGAATACATTGCACCATTCAGTGGGCTTACATTTTGATTCCTTGTAACCATTTGCAATAAATAGTACCATGGGTACTGGGCTCAAATGGTGAAAGCGCATTCTAGACATGTTAACCTGGTAGTATATACTTAGTTGTGTAAATGTAAAACTTTTGGATTTATAACATAAATAAGGGTTATGTACTGGGAGGTTTTGGATATGGGGTTTATCCAGAGGGAGATATGCATATCTACCTGAGGTACCATAGGGACCGAAGGTAGATGTGCATATCTCACGAGGGATGAACCCAATATCCAAACCGACCGTACATAACTGCTTTATCCTATACCAAGTAGAGTTTTCTAATTTTCTTTCAATAATGCTTCAATTTTTTTATTTTTTCAATTTTTTCACATTTTTCTCAATTTTTTCAAAATTTTTTCTATTTTTTTCTTTTTTTCAATTTTTTATTTTTTCACATTTTGAACATTTTTTCTTTTTTTTAATTTTTTCTTTTTTTCAAATTTTTTTTCGAAGCGGGAAGATATTCCCTGGAGCGGGAGATATGGAGGGAGATATGGAGGTTCAGGATATGGAAACCTCAAAATCAGGATACGGGATATATCTTACCAACTTATCTCCCTAAAACTCTACTTGGCATAGGATAAAAAGTGATATTTCAACAATAAAAATGATGGCCATTTTATATATATTGTCAAAAAATTGTAAAATATGTTAGTTTTACAATTTGAAGTTATTTTACTGAATACGTTTTGAGTTATGACCAAGAAAGGCCTCATCAAATTCTCTTCAAAAGTCTTAATACATTTGGCTTCAATGTTCAATCTCAAATCATTTTCAAATCATTAACACTCTAAGCAGCTGCTGCATATAATCTTTAATATCTCATGAGATTCTACCTAATTGATTTTGACATAATGAAGTTTCAAAAGAATCTATTGAGAAGAAACAAATAAATCTACACTTCCATTTAAATCAATACACTATATGCATTTACTTCTGAATCATTCTACAAGTGACTATACTGCTATCACTGGAGAAATGACTGATCAAGCAAAGAAATGGCACAAGGAGATTCTTGGAGGAATCGATGTGATTGATGTTGGAAAAGCCGTACCAGGATCAATCTTAGTACATGGAGAAAATGCAGAGGGTATGTTACAATACATGTTATAGGATATTTAAAATAGAAAGTACTGTTTTGGTTATCTCGATGTTTCTTTTTATTTGGCAATGTATCAATTTTTGTCAGAGGTTCCCAATTTAAATAAATAAAATATTCATTCTGAATCAGTTAATGCAATATTGTTAGTTATTTCACATATGGTATATTCCTTTTTGGAAAGATCTTTTATACAGATATCAATATATTGATTTTTAGCAATCCTATCATCATGGTTTGGTGTCTCCTTTTATTTGGAAATTGGTCAATTTTGTCAAGAGCCCCCAATTTGAAATGTCCATTCCGAACAGGCTAGGAAAGTATCCATTTATGTCACTTAGGATGAGGGATAAAAAAGAATGTGTCATAGCTCTCCTCAAATCATACATAGCAAACAATGCTGCACTAAACCAACTTACAGAGTCTTACTTAATGGGTTCATTTGTTTAACTCAACAAAAATTGTTTTTAATGCAAGGTATATTAACCAGTGGGAAACAACATGAGGTGGTTATTGCAGCAAGTCAGTTTGGACGAGGAAGGATAGTTGTGATGTCACACAATACCTTTCTAGCAGGACATGATACTGATACACCTAGACACAAGCAACTGTTAGAGAATATCTACAGGTATATAACAAGATATCTGCTTTCATCTTTTTTCAATTTGTATATACTAAGGATGAGTGTCTATAAGACAAGACACTCATAAAAGATCTCAAAATGTGTGACTGTTAAATAATAAATAATTTTCTCTTTTTCATCCTTTGCCAAATCAGGGCTGTATCATTCAGAAATTATGAAATGTTTTCTGACTTATTAAGAGTAGATCTGGTGTGGACTAAATCATAATTTTACAACATCTACATCTTATCAAAGATACAGATCAGACAGAAACTGTCGGAATATAGGTCATTTTAAAGCCAATTTTATCATTGTCACAATAACTTTGCCTAAAATTGCCCCTGCACAATTCAGTAATTTTGCAAATTTCATAGAATAACCAACAAGGAAATGTGTCTGATACTTCTAGGTGGGTGAGCCAAGAGGGAACATCTTCAGAAGTGGTTAAAATAGATAAAAATACTACCACTGATGACATCAAACAGGCAGATGTTCTCATATCACAAGGTGGTGAAGTAAAGAACAATGTTCAAAATGTAATGACAGCAGTAGAGGAGCGTGTGTTTGATGAGGGAGTGGGGCTTATCATTGGGGTGTGTCCATGGGGGTGGTTACAACAGCACCTACACTCACAGCTTCAGGACATGCATGTTGCTCAAATAATTTCAAAAGCTGGTCTGAGTTTTACAAGCGATTCTGTCAAACTTCAGGATGGGAAGATTAACACTGCAGAATCGAAACATGACGAGGCCCATCTATTCCACATTTGCTTGGCTGGATTGTCGACTCCTACATGCACTTCATTCATGAAGCACGCAAATATGCTTCCGCTACATCATCAAAATACATTGAAAGAGCGCATACAACAGACAATTGTGTCACACACAGAAATGTTAGGACAAACTGGTGCAATATGTGGAAAATCTACAAAATGTCCAAAAGAAAAAGAATATCTGGAAATACTATCGTCCATTTACCAACATGCAGATTTAGAAGTGGGTCACAAATCACTGGGGGTCAAGCATTTTCCCGGAGACTTCATTTCCTGTATGTTTCCAACCCAGCAGCCAATCACAATGCAGTTTGTTGCTAGGTTCACCGAGCTCCACTCTACGGGCTTCTATCTACCAGCTGGTGGGCAGATTCAAATTACTGTCATAGGGCACAACCATCAGAGCCATCTGTGGAGTGTCCAGATTGGGGCCCACAGTGATAACATTAAAAGGAAGGATGAATGGAAAAGATACCCCATGGTTGCTATAAGTAGACCACTCAAAGGGAAAACACTGACATTTGTTTCACCATTTGGTGGTTTGGTTTATTTCCGAAGTCCAAACATAACGGGATCGAACCTAAAGGTGTCCATACAAAATGTTCTTCCTGCTCCATATTATGACATCACCAAAGCGGAGATATCAACATACGAAAGTTGGCAGTTAAGACGTCACTCCCCTGGCGTCTGGGCGGAGATTGCTGGAAAATACATCATATTCACTCTCCCGGCAGAGTCAGTTAGACACATAGATGACCCTGGTGAAGTCATAAAATACTGGGACTCGGTTGTAGAAGCTCACCATGAACTACGCACAACCAATCCTGGGGAACAACGGAGAGAGCGAGTCGTATGTGATATTCAACCTAGTGCTGGGTACATGCATGCTGGATACCCCATAGTTACCATGTTGGATGTCGGTGAGCCTAAAAGTGACAAATTCTTGTTCAACCTCCCCCAGCTGGTCACCAATGGGTCCTGGGGATTATTCCATGAGCTGGGTCATAACATGCAGAGGAAAGCATGGACTTTTGAAGGTACATGTTTTGTGTATTTTTAAGAACATTAAAGAAATCTGCGATTCAATGTCTACTATTAGAACAGCAGCTTAATTGCCTCTGTGATTTTATCATACAGGGAATCTTTAATGATTCTTATATTCATAGTTTGTTGCATTTTTAAATTCAAAAAGTTATCTTTTTCAAGGCACAGGAGAGGTGACATGCAACATATTCACAGTACACGCCATGGATAAACTATGTGGTATAAAACCTATAGACAGCGATGCAATCATAGCACACAACAGGAAACAGAAAATCAAAGCATATATTGAGAATGGCCCCGACTTTGCTGAATGGAAAAAACAACCATTCGTTGCCTTAGGTATTTACATACAACTGGCCCATCATTTTGGTTGGGGTCCCTATAGACGGGTGTTTGCAGTTTATGAGGCAATGTCTAACTCAGAGCTACCAAACACAACAGAGAGCAAGCTAGACAGATGGTACGTGGAGTTCAGTAAAGCTGTTGGTTTGGACCTCAGAGTTTTGTTTGAGTTCTGGGGGTTACCACTGAGTAATATGACGTGGGAGTGTATAAAAGGAAATCCCATGTGGTTCCCAGATGATGTACTAACAAAGTTGGTTCCAACAAGGGTGGAGAGTTTAATGGAGAAATACCCAAACTGTAGTCAAGGAGATGTCTGCACCATACAAAATAGCACAATATGAACAAAGAACAGTACAATTAATGTGTAAATGAACTGCATATTTTGTCTTTGAAGAACTAAGGGACAATAATGTATATTGATTTATGCCTATAAACATCATTTCTAGTTATATTTGGGGAGAGGGTAAAAGTCTATTATATTTCAAGGGCAAAGAGATTGAACTGAAAAAATGCATTATTAATTATATTATAGTATGTGTTATGGGACAACATTGAAACATTGTCCCTGATACACTTAACAAACTCATTTGGGTTAGTCTAGGTATGGAACAATTTTTATTGCATTGACCTACATAAAATTTATCTTACCTGCATAATTATTTCTGTGTACCCATGAAGGTGTATGTTGACTGACACCCCCAGTGATGTCAGGTTTGATGTCAGGTTTGACATCATCATCACTATCACTGTTGTATTTAGTGTCATCTGGAGCATCATGGAAATGTTCTTCCTCGTCAGACTCCTGAAGCAAAAATGACATCAAATGAAGGGCATCAAAATAGCATGTCAACAAAGGGTATCAAAATAGGATGTCACTGAAGGGCATGAAAATGTAAACAAAAAAGGCTTCAAAATTTCATGTAAACTGAATTCAAAACTTCATGTAAACTGAATTCAAAATTTTTTGTAAACTGAATTCAAAATTTCATGTAAACTGAATTCAAAATTTCAAGTATCTCAATGTTCTATGTACTTTTATCATCTGGATGTTAGTCATCGCTTTAATTCAATTCAATTTATTCATTCAACCTTCATAGATATACAAGTTGTAATGTCAAGTGCCTACCTCCCCCACTTGTTCAACAGAGACTATGCCTTTCTTGCTGGTTAGCACCTCAGAGAGTAGAAGTAATGCCCCACATATGAATGATGGGGTCTGGATTGCACACACTTGCAGCAAGCGCTTGATAAATGCCTGAAAGAAACACACACTTAAAGTAAACTGCATCAAGTACCTGCATTAATTTGTCAGATTGGGGAAATATATCAGTGCTCCTCCAAGGTTTTTGTTCAACAGTCTGCTAAATCCAAATCTTACCAATATTATTGATATATAAAGATATTTCATCCTTTTAACAAGTTGGCGATCTCCGAACGTTTTTCTCAACAATGTGTTAAATCCCAGTTTTACCTATTTTGGTCAAAATATGTAAACATGTCATCCTTTTGACATGGCGTAAGATTTTCAATAGCATACAATCTTGTTACATGAACAAAGTATAACACAAGTTTTGGATGAATTCTCATAGAATCTTAAATAATCAACGTTCGGGTACTTAAAACTCTTGACATTTCAAGTAAAGGAGAAAATTTGACCTGATTTGTGATGGAAACCTGCAGCCACCATCCCCACGGACCCATAATAACTCACCACTAATCGCTTCTCTGAAATATCCTTCTTTAGACTCTTATAGAGCAAGTTGAGGAACATTGGCTGCTTTGAAGAGTTCTTCAGTCCTGGGTCTATCAACTTCCTGTAGAGAGCTGTATAATAACGGTCTGATATGGCCTCGCTTAAATCACAAATATGCAGCATCTCAGGATATTGTATATCTAACATGACAAAATGTCACCACCTAGTTGCTCACAATAGTATAAGTTCAATCTTAAGTCAGTTTTGAATTTCTGAAATTTTTGACCCTGAGAAGGTCATTGAAGGTGAAATCTCAAATCTAAAGTCAAATTTGAACTTCTGAGAACTTGTAGATGATTTTGAAAAAATGGGTCAATTTAAAGCAGGTTGAAAAAGGACCTTTTTGACCACTTTTTGGTGGTGACATAAAAACCTGTCATTTGGAATACCTCTATCAGTGAAACACCTCCAAAGTGGAACACTTCAACTAACACACGTTTACTCTGCATGATTATCTGGTGTACCTTCATTCAATTCAATTCAATTCAATTATTTATTTCATAATTCTTATATAATATACACTATAAAAAACAAGCCGCTAGACACCCTAGTGGGTATATGTTGCGGTTTAACAGAAATCATTAAAATGACAACTAGACTACATATAAAAGAAAACACTTATATTATGTTACATGTAGGTATATAAAAATGGTATTAACAATTAATCTAAGGATGTACAATGTAAAAATGTTACAAAAATCGGGTACCAGTATAAAATCAACAGTATAGTATGATATTGGTATTATACATTATCGATAGATGAGTAGTTTTTTATATGAAGATTTGAAAATATTTAGAGTGGAGCATTTTTTAATATCATGTGGTAGAGCATTCCAAAGATTAGGACCCAGATAGCGAAGGGAAAGTTTAGAGCATTTAGGGATATGAAAATAATGCAATTGTCTTGTGTAATGATGATGAATATTAATGTTGATATCAAACAAGTCTTGAAATAGATTTTTTGGAAGACTGGGGTGCTTATTAAAGATTTTGTACATGAACTGACCAGTACAATATCTGTTGACATCAAAAATATTTAATATTCTAAGATCTTTAAATAGGGGAGCGGAGTGAGAAAGTCTATCCTTATTTAAAGCTAGCCTTAAGAATTGTTTCTGCAGTTTATGTAGACGATCATAAAATGATTTAAATGTGTTACCCCAGATTATGTTGCAATAATTTAATTGAGAGTGTATCAATGAGTAGTAAATAGTTTTGAAACTGTCTATTTGAAGTAGATGTTTAATGTGATAAAGAGAACCAATGACGCGAGAAATCTTTGTTTCAACAGATTTTATGTGCTCTTTAAATTTCAAGTTTTTATCAATAATAATTCCAAGAAAGTCAATTTTTTCCCGGAAATTTATGTTCTCATTGCGTATTTTAAGATTCAGATTTGTTTGATTTTTTTGGGGTCCAAATAGAATAGCATTGGTTTTGCCAATATTAAGTGAAAGTTTGTTTGCTTTTATCCAGTCATCTATTGAATTCAAGTTTGCATTAGTTCTAGTCATAAGTTCATTTAAATCATAATCACTATCAAGAAGATTGGTGTCATCAGCAAACATAATAAATTTTAGATTAGGGGCAACAAAAGGCAGATCATTTATGTAAAGAATAAATAATAGCGGTCCAAGTACCGAGCCCTGCGGAACACCACAATTTAGAGATGATTGTTTAGATTCATAATTGTTAATGGTGACATATTGTTTGCGGTCTTTTAAATAACTTTCAAACCAGGACTTAGCTATTCCTCTGATGCCATAATATTCAAGTTTTTGTATCAAAATGTCATGATTAATTGTGTCAAAGGCCTTGGAAAAATCTAATGTTATGCCAATGCTCGTTTTCCCCAAATCAGTTGATTTTCGAATTTGTTCAATGAAATATAAAATGGCCATGTAGGTAGAGTTGAATTTCTGAAATCCAAATTGATAAGTAAAAATAATTTCAAAACGTTCTAAAAAACCAGTGAGTTTGGCGTGCATGAGCTTTTCTAACAATTTAGAAAATACAGATAAAACTGAAATTGGTCTATAGTTCGGAGGATTTGTAGTGACACCTTTTTTAAATACAGGTGTTACTTTGGCCAATTTGAGGGCGTCTGGGAAAATACCAGATTTAAAAGATAAGTTAAATATATACAAGAGTGGATCAATTAAAAACTGTCTTGCAGACTTAATAAGTGATGGTAGAATCCCATCAGGTCCAGGCGAGGAAGATTTTAGAAGACACATTTCTAATTCAAGCTCAGTTTTTGAGGTCTTTTTGAGATAAATAGATGATTGAACTTTTTGAGCTCTTGCTAGGTATTCATTAAAGCATTTTTTGGATTTTGGAATCTCCTTGGCTAGATTTTTACCAATATTGGTAAAAAAATTATTAAATCCATTGGAAATGATTTCATGATCTGTTGTTTCCTTTCCATTTATAGTGAATTTAGATGGCAATGCAGCTTTTTTGTTTTTTCCAAGTAGTTCATTAATGATAGACCAAGACTTTTTAATGTTACCACTTACTTCGGCAAACTTATTTTGATAATGTGTACGTTTTGAGTATTTAATTATGTGCTATTCATGGATAAATGTGTTTTTGAATTATTTTCCTCTGTTTTTGACTGAATCAGTACATAAATTTACAAAATATTGGTTCAGATTAATCAAGATCTTAATCACTTCAAATGTCTACGCTGCGCTTAATGGTATGCTAATATACCACTCATAAAAGCCTAATAGTACCTTTGTAATAGAATTTGAGAATCACAACCTAAATGTGATCAAACATCTGTTGAAGTTATAATTTTCAAAAATATCAAATACATAGTGACACAAAATTTTGTAAAGTAGCTTACTTGGAGTCCATAACCTGGTAGAGTAACATAAGGGCCTGTATACTGGTGTTAAAGTTCACTATGTGGACAACCTTGTACAGTGTGTTCAGTTCCTCATCTATGTTCAACTTGCCACCTGTAATATCAAATGTACATTGTGGCATATGTTAATTCACTCAGGGGTGTGGAGGGTGAGTGGGGGGTTTAATTACCAATCACGGACACAATTTATGGTACACAATGTATTTGAAGTTTAAAATGAAAACTTCAAGATAAACTTTTTGAAGAAACTTCATATTATACATGTATTGACGTAAATCTCACAGTGGTTGATTGTGTGAAGTTTAGATTTGATATATTCAAATTGCTACCTTTAAGCAAACAAATTGCCCTATTAAACAAATGTTTACCTTTGGCATAGGGGTAGGCCCTATTAACCCCAGTCAATAGTGAGCTCAGCATCTTGCCATCGACCTCACCCTTCTTTACAAAATACTGAAAATTAAAAACATTACATATAAGAATTCTTTCCAGACATTGAACTTTTTTTGTATCCACCGATTCTTTCAAAAGTTCTAATGGGTAAAAAATGGATAAAAACTAAAAACATGAAGAGATAGTCACTCTCCAATGGTACTGCAGCTATTTTTCAACTATCCCACCTTTACATTGTTCCATTTTTGAAATATGTAATTGTTCTGCACCTATACCTCTTACTCTATGGTATAGCCTTCCATCAAGCCTCTGCCCCTCCATTATCTATTTCCATATAGATGTTATATCAGTGTTTTAAACAGGTGTTTAATGCAAGACAATTAAAAATAAATCTTAATTACTCAGAGGGAGGCAAGGTCCAGAAAAAAGCCCAAAACTTGAATTCTGTACAGAGTTCAATCATGATTTATATATAATTTCAAATATCACAGCTATACTAACTGACCTTGAAGAACGAGAAATAGACTTTTATAAGTCTTGCTGCTAGCTCCTTGTCATCTTCACTCAATATTAACTGGTTCAGGAAACATATCGCATAGTACCTGAAATACAAGGCATTAACATATAAAATGTCACCACATACCATTTGTTACATGAGCCAAACTCAGAACGCCGACCATCAGACACCAATGACAAAATTAAGCAAGTCTGTTCAGAATCAATTCACTATCAAAAATATTTACTTCAGACATTTTGTAACATGATGAAATGCCATCAGTAAAAAAGATTCTACATTTTGAAACTTAAGAGTAAAGTCATAGAAGGAATATGAGTCCAAATCCAATATGGATGGGGTGACCTTTCTTATTTAGCAATTCTGTGTTTTCAAATATCGTTTTCGAACTGTGAGAATTTTAGAATGTTATTTTATGATATAGTACTGATAAGACTAGAATATACTAATGAATAAACATAATATTATATGGTATGTTATAGTCTACTTACTGTGCCTTCACAGAGATGTTAGGTCTGTAGAGTAGTCTCTCAACATCAAGGACCACAACAAACGTCATGTTTGGATGCTTAGCAACTGGAACACAAAATTTAACATAAGAATCTATACGCCTAATACATATGAGTTTATCTCGATACCTTTTGGAAAAATTATAAAACAAGAAATTATTGAGAAATAAAATAATTATGCTGCAAGGGTAATACATATACATGTACACTTTTAGATATTCTGTTAAATTTTATAGCACTCACCTAGTTTAGTAAGGAAATGGGCAGCCTGTGAGGCCAGTTTTCTGTCAGGGTCACCAAGTTTGTTGACTAGCATAGACAATAGAATCTGCAATGAAATAGATATACCATATACATGTAGTTACTTATGGAACACCTTACTTACATATTGTATATTTCAAGTCAGCATTATTAGATTTCATCTCAGTAATCATGGTTTTCTCGCAAATTGCAAAGTTATGCATCAAGTAAAGCCATTCATAAGCTTTGTAAATTGTAGACTATATATTATATCACATAAATAAATCAAATAGCAATTTCAATATATGTAGTCTCAGCTGAAAACTGCTCTCTGTTAATGCTTTTTGCCATTTAGAGTGGAGCCTGTAAAGTGGAACACCTCTTTAAGTGGAACACCTCTGTAAGTGGAACACTTCAGAGTCCCAAGACCAATTGACAATAAATTAAATGAACTTCTTTAACTGGAAAACCTCCCAAATGAAGCACTTCCTATGAGTACCAAAGGTATTCCACTTAGACAGGTTTTACTGTATTCAACTTTCTCTAAATCTAGCATTACTGTCAAATAGCTATCATCTTCTCTAAAGAATCTATAATTAAAATACATTCTCACCTTTTCTTGTTCTGGGTTTGAAGATAGTAACTCGAACATTGTACCTAAATACATAAAGAAAATATTTTGACTTCAAAGAAACATCTAAAGTATATTGTACACTTTGCACAGACCTTAAATAAACAAGTTTGCAAAAACATTTTGACCAATTTATGAATAAATGAGGAGGGAAGTTAGCGCAACAGATTTTGGACAGTCATATGTTTGATTTTGGCCATTTCCTGGGGATTTAAACAGGTGCATATGTTAGGCCAATGCATTGCCTCCCTGAAAATCACTTCTAGAGATGATAAAATAATTTCAACTTTGAGACAGGGTAGATGCAAACAACCCACCCACATGTTTTTTCTGAAATGTTTTCTTTTTCAACCCCTTCCATCCTTGCTTTTTTAATTTTTCTTGCATCAATGTGTTGCGTTTTGGCACAAAGTTAATCCCTTAAAAGGAATAAATGATTCCTTTTAGATAAAGTGGAAAACAATATTTCCCATGTTATTTTCCATTGGAAAAATCATTGCTTTCAGCTAAGTTTGGTCACCCATAATGGATATCTTTAAAACCCCTGAAGGAATCACTTATTCCTTTTAAGTGGTTAACTATGTGTCAAAATGCAACATATTGATGCAAGAAAAATTTAAAAAGCAGGGGTGGAAGGGGTCCAAAATTAGGAAAACATTTCAGAAAAAACATGTGGGTGGGTTGTTTGCATCTACCCTGTCTCAAAGTCGAAATTATTTCATCACCTCTAGTAGTGATTTTCCTGGAGGTAATGCATTGGCCTAAGGGGCGGGGTCAAAATATCGATGTTCATATGGAGACGAAAGTACTTTCGCGAGGGGGGAGGGGGTTTTTGGGCACTTTCGTTGACCAAAAAAACATCGATAATTCGGATCTGATATACAAAAAATAATTGGACTTACCCACTTTTTCTGGCGCTATGTTCTGATAAAAAGGCTTGTTTTCAATAGTTTGTGAGCTTTTTTGTGTGATAGGTCCAAAATATCGGTAGATAAAGACGATAATTCGATCATTTTTCAAATAAATTCCGTACTTTTCCCTCCTCCTTTTGAAGAGTTCAATGCAGTTAAATTGCGAACGTGTGTTAATTCACCGTAATAATAACCCGGCAAATAGGATACGATTATTAATCAATGTTTTTTTGAAGTGACCTAAGCTTTCGTCTAGAGGGGGGGGTGGGGGGGTTGTTGTCTAAACGAAATTACTTTCGTCTCCATATGAACATTGATATTTTGACCCCGCCCCTAACATATGCAGTTGTTTAAATCCTCAGAAAATGGCCAAAATCCAACATATGACTGTCCAAAATCTGTTGCGCTAATTTCCCTCCTCCTTTGAGTCTTAAACAATTTCAGGTTACAAAATTTTTCATTTCATATCTTTTTACAACACCTAGGTTATTTTTGTTTCTCTCAAGGTTCAATTTTGTTCTCTATAGCAACAATTTCTGAATAGAACGCTGAAAAAATCAACACTAACCAATCGCCTTCTTCTTGGTAGCAGAAATTGTATCATGGGAAATGGACTCCAGTGCATGAACAAATGTTGAATATTTGTCTTTAAGCTGAGCTTCAAAGTACCACATAAGTAGTCTCCTATCTCTGGAATCCCTATTGCCACTGGAGAGATCTTCTAAAAGGCTTAGGGGGTGCTGGTCAAATGTATGTAGCTTACGGTCTTCTGGTAGTAAATCATTGATAAACACTTCTTTTAGGGTATCTGAAACAAGGGAACAGTAATAATAATAATATAATAATAACATAAACGATGGAGATCTGACATAATTTCCCTTCAATTTTCTAATTCTTTAGTAGTAGGTGATAATTAATTCGTTTGATTTGATTGCATACCTCTATTGAATATATATATTATATATAAATAAGATGTATCAGTAAAACACAAAAACAACAAAGGTAAGCGTCGTGCTTAGGGTAATTAGCTTGTTTGGCAGTTTGAGTTTTAAGCTTGGCATGTCAACCTGACAAATTAGGTCTCAATCAGTCAGTGAAATCAAGTAAGCTTAGTCACGGCAGGATATTGAAGATTATCTTTTTGAGAATCAGTTAATTGAGTATTAAGAATCTTAATCGATTAAACCTGTGTCGATCAATTAATCGATGATCGATTAAAAATTCACACCTCTAATTAACATGCAAAATTTCACCACCTGTCATACGCTACAGATGCCAAACACCGAACACCAACTGCCAAACATCAAATGCTGAATGCCATCCACAAACTAGTGAGCGATTGTAAAAGCTCACCAAGTGAGACTATAACAATATCTCATCACTCCTGGTGGTGACAAAAGAACAGGCTAAAACTCTGTTTCCTCAATCCATATATCAATGGCATAACATTAAGCATATTTAATGCTACGTTTAATACAATATGATGTCGAATTTCCATTAAAGGCTCTAAGAATATTGCCATATAATTTTGGAAACTCTTCTTCGTTATCTCAACAGGAAGTATTTCCTTCACCAAGGAAAGATACATTACATGTGATTTACACCAAATACAATCTAAGAGGTATCTTTTTATTGAAATTGTTGCTCAACAGCTCAGAACGAGTTAAAAGACTGTGTTATAACCGTGTCATGCATTACCTACTGCTAGCAAACATTCACGTTTGCCTTTCATGTTCACCATGGAGATAAGCTTGTCCAGACTTGCCAGGTTATGAACAGGGGAGTCTTGAAACAACACAGTCAATGCAGCAAGTTTATCAGTCAGTGTTCCAGAAGAGGCAACTGTCTTCATCCACCTTGTGTCACTCCGCTTCTCTTTCTCTTTACCTGGAGAAAAGACACAGTGATAAATGTCATATATTTTTAATTAAAAAATTCAAGATGGCTGCCAAGTAATTTACACAGCATGCCAAGTACCTAATCAAATATTCAGATATTGGTATAAGTCTGTTTTTGCATCTGTAAAAAAATTCAAGTTAAACGAGCATTGGATTTTGAGGACAAGATTTATGTGTGCTGTTTAAAGAGCTTCACCAACACTTTGCAAAGTTATCCTTTTCAACTTTTCAAAACTCATTTTGAAATAAATGGCTCGATTTAGGTACGCAAATGCAAATGCACTGTGTAAATATAACATAGTACTACTTTATAGCATATTACCTTTAGAGTAGAGGTTGACTTCCTCCGCTAGTAACCTTACAGCAAACTTCTCTAGTTCTGTCACGACATAAACGGGCAGTTTTGGGAAAGACTTGGGATCTGATGGGTTCTACAACATTTACATAACAAAGTTTTGCAAATACTGGTACTACTATGGAAAGGTACTTTTTCTATAATCACAATTCATGATGCAAATAATACTAGGAATCCAATGGTAAATCGAAACTGCAGTGTATTCAATAATGGATGTTAAAGGCAACATTTTTCACATTTATATTTGAGAATTCACACAACATGGTAGAAATCAAAAACCAACATTAAATGCTGAAATGATATTGCCTATTGTTTATTTTTTAATTTTTCTAATTTTAATGAACAACCTTAATTTGAGTGGAACACAAATACATGAATCAACTAAAAATGTGAGTACCTGTAAACTCAATCATTTAGAGGTATTTTCACTATTTAATCACATGAAGATACAATTCTGAAATCTGGATGTGCTTACCAGATTTTCAAGCCAGTCTCCCTGCTTGACAAGCGTATACTTTCTAGGAATGTGCCTATCAGAGTACACTTTGGCCCCAGCCAGGACAAGGCCATGTGTATGTGTAGTACTGGACACCTCATCATGCTGTATGGATTCATCATCTGCATCAACATGTTCAGCAGCTTTCTTCTTGAATTTGTTCTTGGTTTCCTTCTTTTTCTTGCCTAATGCTAGAATGAGAAAAATGTGGAGCTCTTTTGATGTGCTTCAATTCAAAAAAATTATCAATAATTTACTATTAAACGATTATTGAAAATTTATGATATCAGTTATGGGTCACCTCTAAATGGGATTATAAATGTTTGACCATAATCTAAGATCATCAATACTACTGTACCAATCATTAATTTACCTTAAAAGTGAAAATATATATACAAAATAAATAGCTAATATTACATCTATATGTAAAATAGACTAAGATAGAGAGACAAAACTATGTTAAAAGACATTTTAACACAACCTGCAGTCAACTTACATTCAGCATGCTTTTTATCCTGTTCTTCCTGGTCCTGTTGTCTTTCCTCATCTGTCAATGGTCTCTCTGCCAACTTAATCTTTTCTTTCTTCTCAGGTCTACAATAAATGAGTATACAATTTGATGTGTATACAATAAATGAATCAGTATCTTCCAGCCTTTGAATAACAGGACTTAGAACACTCGGAAATGACCTTGCATCAAGTTGAAAATTAATTTACACCCAGTGCAGTTTTTCCAAAATGTCAGAATATTTGATGTTTGCAAAAATCGCAAAATATTTCGATGTTTGAGAAAATATTTAGGAGAGCATCTCTTGCATTTTTTGAAAATTTATGAGAGAGGTCAAGTTACATGTATTTTGGGGAACTTGAACGTGAATGTGATGTTTTATGACCAATAGGGATTACTGTCCCATTCTCAATTGATTTATACTGGGACCTAATTCTCAACTATCCTCATTCTAGCTATAGAAGGAAAGAAAGCAGTTCCCAGAGAATTTATTTATTCTTTTACTTTCTTTCATACATTGTGAAATTAGAATGATGAGTAACTACATGATTTTGAAAGAATATTTGGCCAGACATCGGGGTAACTCCCTTGGGTACGGGCCTGCAACTGTTTAAATGGTGAGAGTCTACATATGATTACCGGAATGTGGATATTCATTGTATTTGTACTCACATTTCATCCTTTTCTGGTCTGTATTTGGCCAAGCCCAACTCATTAATCAATTCTGCTATCTGAAAGATAAATACAGAATACTGAAATTCTAGAAGGGACATGGGAATTTCATATGAAAAATATGATTATTGACTTCAGAAGAAAAACATCCAACATATTTTTCATTCATTATTTTTATGTCACTGATCATAAACATAGAAAGATGTTAATGTCCACGAGTTTACTGTGTCTACTTGATAATTTTGAATGATAATTTTGAAAAAACACATAAAAATACAGAATATATTTATAAAGTAACTGTTCACATAATATCAACAAGGATTGATAAAAATAAACAAGGCTTACCTCAGACCTATGTATTGGTTCAGTTTCAAAGGCATCTGTGGTATTGTCATATACTTCAGTGTCATCATCTATATTTTCACAGAGCTGATAGTCCAACTGAAAAAATCAATGTAAAAACATTATTTAAAGATGAGTACAACTAGGGGTGGGATGATGACCCAATGAGTCGATTCCCCATGGGTTGAGGCCTTCGGGTTGACCCGAATCGACTCCTCTAGTTGAGGAGTCGACTCGTTCGGGTTGAAAATGATGATAACTTCCGGTTTATAATTCCAGGCAATTTTTGGTATCTAAACTAGATTTCAAGGCTTTCTTTCATGATCTAGCCCATCTATGTGTTTATATTAGATACAAGAAATATCCAGAGTATTATTAATGTAATAACATTACTTGTTTGTATGTAATGATTGGAATAAAATAGAAATTATAAACTTACGTTAGACTTGTTTTGTTTTTGTGTGATTAATTTACGAACGAAAATAAAATGACGTTCGTTATTTTATCTTTATTATTAATGTATGTTGTCATTCCCTGTGAGAAATTTTCTATGTTTTATGAGTAAACAATTGTTTATTATCCCCCCGAATACAAATATATGACAGGTAAAACGATAATAATGGGAACAAACTCCGACTTTTTTGTTCTGTTACGAAAGTTCTACACGTTCGTTAAATGTCTTATATACGAACGACCACAGGCTTTTGTGTTCGGTATTTGTTTTTAGATCTTAATTAAAGTTGTTGAAATTTGTGCTTTTTATCAGATTATATCCGAATTCTTTTCAACTCAAATACTTTAGAGTGTTTCTAGTATGAAAACTATGAGATAAATCACTGATTTATTGATAATCGTAAGTGTTGGGTGTGTTGTTGCAAACGCGCCGGTCGTTCGTAGATATATATGCATGATCATATCCGTTTGGAAAAATAAATACAACGAAGAGATTTGCAAGTTAAACATGTTTTATTCTCTATAAATAGTAAATACTATTAACAAGTAGTTATAATTCACCAAAAATCAGTCATGTACTCTTTAAGGAAATATAATATATAACAACAGGTGATTTTCACTATCGCCTGTTGTTTTTAAAGACTTTTCAACTTTTCCATGTTAAATTTATGATTTCCAATAATTTTGCATGTTCATTTATTTGTGAGAAATTCTAGTGAAACCCCTGCAGGCAACAGGCGATTTTCACTGGTTGTTTTCACTAAATTGCCTGTTGTTTTTAGAGACTTCAACTTTATGATTTCCATTAATTTTGCCTGTTGTTTTCATTTATTTAGCCTGTTGTTCTCGAGAAATTCTAGTGAAACCCCTGAATACTGTCACTACTCATGACACAAACAAGAATTGTTATATGAATGAATCTTGTAACAAACACAATTCTGACATGGTTGTAGCGCCTGTTACGCACAGGTGTACCAAATCGCTTCAAATACAACCAATTTCGAAATTTTCATGGCATCAGAACCCGAGACCCCTGAACGTTCAATACCACTTTGCTCAACTCATCTTCCAGTGGTTGCATACTACTCATAAAAATAGCGCTACACCCATGACTAACATTAGATTCTATCGATTCCAAAGGTGTTATGATATCACCTGGGGATTTCCAAAAGTACTCAATATTTCGTTCAGTGTATATTACCTCATTCAGGAGTAAGTTAGTAATAAATTGTATTCAAACTAAATATTCTTAGTCCGTACTTTAGATGATAATCTAACAACAGGGTCGGTCAGGAAGTCGAATTGAGGGGATCTTCTTATAATCTGCTCTCAGGTCAAATTGGACAATAATCTTGACTCACATTTATAAAAGTGGCTGTAAATGCTAGCTAGGTGTGCCCGGCATGAGCATTTAGAGATATTATGACTTGAGAAAAAAATGCTCAATCTTGAGTCTGCTGGAAAAAATGAAAAATTCTGAAACAAGATTCATCAAAAAATTAATTTCTGGTATTTACAATTATTTAGGATAATCAAATTCACAGAAATAGTGTAATAATATGTTACCTTATTTCCGCCAAGATCTGTGACATTCTTAAGGGAGAATACATCACTTGTTTCTTTAGATTTAGGCTTTTTAATTTTTTTCTGTTTTTCCATGCTGCTTCCAGAGTGAGGCTATGACCTTTACATATTGATTAAATAAATTAAAGGTACAAACTAGTTCAATCTTTCGTCATAATTTTTATATTTTACATCAAAATTTTCCACAAGGTAGAAAATTGAAGAAATTACACTTAAAATATCCAATGAGTATTTTAAAGAGTTACATCTGAGGGGTAATTTTGTATTCTGAGTTATTAACTAGTTCAATAGATTTTATTTTATGGAAATTCAACCTTAGCGCATGCGCTCTTGGCAAAGTAAAATTTTGCAGAGGAAGGAAGTATTAGTGTCTGTTGATTTTCTCCTTATTTGCAAGAATTTTCACTTTGAACGATGGCTGCGGTGCCTCAGACTGATCAAGACAGGCGAAAGCAAATCAGTGTTCGTGGGATTGCAGATGTTTCTAACGTTTCCAACGTGATAAAGACCTTCAATCGCCATCTCCATTACACTTTGGTGAAGGACAGAAATGTTGCCACTCCTCGGGATTATTTCTTTGCATTGGCTCATGCCGTGAGGGACCATCTCGTTGGAAGATGGATCAGGACTCAGCAGTATTATTACGAGAAAGATCCAAAGGTAAACCATTATGTTCAATAAAGATAAAGCATTATCTGTCAGTTTTGAAAGCATCCATCAAATTTGACCTTGTCAAGGTCCTTTGCATTGACTTTGAGTTGTGGCCAGTTCAAAGTTGGTTAAAAGTTCTTACAAGTGATTGCAGCTGTTTACACCTTTACCTTCTCATTATTCATGTCTGGGTTCACTTCTGTGATTCGGTTTAGTTGATTTCCAGATATTCTCTCTTCCTCTATGATGTCTTAAACACAGAAGGAAAGTTGTGGTCAAGTTTGTTTTAGCTCTGCCCCACAGTCGGAATGCAGTTGATTTGGGCTTTTTGTATTTTATTCGAGCGTCGAGTAAAAAATAGGTGTGGTTCAAAATGTTGCAATCTGATTGGTCATAATGGTGAATTTCAAAAAATTGTCCTGCAAGTCAGTTCTTCCAGGCTGCAGCCAGGTTTTACCAAGGGGTGGAGTGGTTTTACCAGGGGGAGCTCTTACCAAAGGGGAGGAGCTTTTTGACAATTTTGGCTAAAAAATCATGTGAAAAGTGCTCAGAATGGTGAAAGACTGCATGATTTTGTAAGAATTTCTTGCTAGTAGGGCAATGTGAATGACTGTTCCCCCCTGGCTTAGACTCACTGTATCCTTCGTCTGAATAAATTCAGACTGTAAGTCACCTATTGTAAAATGTGGTGTTGTATAAATGTTACAAATAAGTTTGTTTAATGATAAAATGATTACCTTATAATAAAGAACTTACAATATTATTTTTTAGTATATTGTCCTCTTACTGAAGATATTCATAAAATATACAGACGCTTCTTGTAGCGAAGCCATTGATTAGGTCAAGCCATTTTGGCAATGCCAATTCTCACGATAAACGAGATCAGTGACGTCAGTCTATTTGTAAACAAATAACACGTGGAGCGGACGGAGTAACATTACGGAAGCGTATTGATAAATTCCATTTGTGCGGGAATTTATTAGATCTAGTCATTTATTATCATTATCCCGATTAATTTTCGTCATTTATAGTAAATAGAGCGGAAATATTCATGAAGAAGGTTGAGGTAATCAAGTGGTCATGTGTTGTCAAAGTTCACAAAAATTTGCATATCTCGTTTGGATCTCGTGAACTCAAACGTCCTTGACATTGATTTCGCGATCTACTTATGAACACATCCTGAAGTTTTGGTGAGTCTGAACATTTCATTATTTTATATCAAGTTGTACCCGCCTTATACAAATATTTTTGCTTCTAGTTTAAGATGAACATCTCTTCAACATATTCACCAATTTTCAAGGTGAACATTCTTGTAATAAACGAGAAATTTATGTGCAAAAAATATCACCGCGATTTCCACAGGAAATATATCAATCATAACAGACCGAATATTATATTCGGTCTGTTGGATACATACTACCCCCTGGCTACAGGCCCATCTTGAATGTTTTGATGATTTAACTGCAATTTTTGTTCAAGTTCCTTTTCCTAATTTGGGCTTGCCTAAGTCAAACTGCAATTTGAAATTTTGACTGTGCTCTGCCTTGGATGTGTAAGGTATTAAGTAAGAAAAGATTGTTGTGTTATTTTCCAAATTTGTTTATATACTTTGTATTGATACAGGAAGATAGAGCTGAATTCTTTGTGAAACACTTACTGCTTAGTGTGTATGCAACCAACAACATAATTACTTTTTGAAGATATATTAAATACAACAAAAAAATCTTCTTCCTTTAAAACAATCATTATCTGGAATTTGAATATTTCCAAATTTTTCACAACTCATACCACTTTCTCACAAAATGAACCTTTAAAAGCTTAGAGTATACTCTTTTCTCTTAATTTTCTCATTTCATCATCATCTTGTTTTCATTAATGAATTTTTTGATGACTGTTTTCATTGATATCTGCATTATTTTCTACAGAACACCTCCCCAAAATATTTTAGGGATATACCTTCAGTATAGAGATTTCGCGAAAAAGATGTTGCTCGGAAAAGTGAAAACATTCTTGACTAGCCATTATAGATAATATCTTTTTTTTGTAACAGAGCATTCGAGTTTGTAAACATATTCCATTCACTGACTCCCAATTCATGAGGTAGAATGGTTTAAAGAATCTAACATTACAAAAATCGAAATAATCTGTATAACATGTATTCATCAGTTCTTCAGCTACTTTCTTCAGATACTTTCTCTAACTGACAATATTATCATGTTATGACGTACTATGAAGTTATTTTCTGGAATAAAATTTTGTAAGTCTAAGTACCATTTATCAAAACCTTCTTTGAAGGTGAAATCAAGTTCAACAAAAAGTATCCCTGAGTAAATGTTATCTTATTTCAAATATTTGACTTGAACTTTTTATGTTTGAGTATATCATATTACTTGTTAAAGTTCTACATAAGATTAAGAACACTGTCTTATACCACTCTTATTTCATAACAACTGAATTAAGAAAAAACCTAATTTGCACAAATGTTCATGAAACCTGTATTAATGAACACCTCTGTCTAGTGAACACCTGTCTCTCATAAACACCCTTCCTCCGGACATACTCTACTGACTTCTGTATAAATAACCCCTCTGTAATGAACACCTACCTACAGTGAACACATTTTTGTGGCTCCATAGGTGACACTTATTAGGTGTTCACTGTACACAGATTTTGCTTTAGTTATATAACCTCACATTATCTTACTAATATTTGACTTGCATTTTTTGTTGCAGCGCGTGTATTACCTCTCTTTGGAGTTCTACATGGGGAGAACATTATCCAATACCATGGTCAACCTGGGCATTCAGAGCTCCTGCGATGAAGCTATGTATCGGGTAAGTCTGATTATTATTATGTAAAGACATAGCATGAATCATAGACAATTTTTGTCATTGAAGCCCTATTGTCAATGAATGACAAATGCCAATCTTACTTCAAGACTGTGGACACCCCCCCCCCCCCCCCTAATTCACTTCACCAACACAACACAGGGGAGGTGTGAATGTAGGGGGGGGGGGCTCATTAGGCCTTGTAGCTAGAGTAGACAAATTCATGTTAATTCACAATATACCACCTGACAATGTAAAACCCCATCATAAAACAATTGTATGTGTCTAATAGGTAGACTCTATCATAAATCAGTGCTGTATGTTTGACATGTAAAGCCCATCTTGAAACTATGATTTATGTCTACTATGTTATATCCCTTCCTTCGACTAATGACATACAGTATTTAAATATTGAATCGATATGGAATATATTTCAAATGATCTATGTGAACATTGTTTAGATGATTAACAAATATGACTTTGATATAAAAATCAATTGACTATCAAAATCATGAGGCAAGATACAGCCACAAGTTCAGCATAATTTTGACACACAGTCCTCAATGACTAATCTAAATGAAATCAATATCTGTCAAAAAGGCTAGACAATTTTCAAACTATATATGAAACACTTGGCCCATATCAAGTAGGTTTCTTTATTTATTTTTTTTGTTGCTTTGAAAAGGGCTCCATAAGTTCTGATTTTACAGACCAACTTCCATTCCCAAAATGCTCCAATATACCAATTGGGGTACAGTACTATATATACTTCATGTTCTTTGCCTAACATGGTGGTATTTTGTTCAAATTGGAAACCTGGGATTCTCAGGCTATAGACCCTCTGATATGTTCACAGATGTTGAAGCTTGTACATATACCTGGATGTTCTATCTGTGAATTAGACAAAAAATGTTTTAGCATAGTGTGGAAACTGATAGGAAAGGTCATTACATGGCATATTCTGGACTAGTTGTGTAGTGCAGGGGTTTCAAATTAGCAGCAGGGAGCAGGTGATTTTATGGTTGTTTTTACGAAAACTACCTGATGTTTAAAGGAACTGTTTCCATGTTATAATAATTTCCTATGGGGTCTAATTTTGCCTGTTTTATTTTTCACTAGCCTGTTGTCAGAAATTTTAATGGAACCTTGAGTACAGTGTAGTTTGTTAAAATTGAAAAGCCAACATGCTGAAAAGCTTAGATTAAACGATTCGCTATTTGAGGCATGAATACATACATGTACATACTACATTATGACTGCTTAAGTTTATCTTATTACTATATTCATTTTTAAACCAGATAATACATGTACTAGACTAGTTAATATGTTTTTTCACCAAGTTGCCCTTTGAAAATAGTGATAAGTAGACAATTTTTTAGCAATATAGGGCAAGGTGTACTCCAGTTAGATGGTTACATTGACATTTGGATAAACTTTCACTAAAATATCAGATCATTTGCCAATTGCCACCTTCACGATTTCTTAATTTATTAGTTTAGGCTGTGCCAAAGTATAGTATATGTTAAAATTGGAAGTGCCCCAATCAATCATGAATTACATGAGCTTGAATATTTGAGTCAGTTTTTTTATTTATTTTATTTGTAAAAATATCTAGACATTGACTTGATTTTTATTATTTTATTTGTAAAAATATCTAGACATTGACTTGATTTTCATTTTTTATTCAAGTAACATTGAATATGTTCAGGTTGGATTATTAAATCACAAAACTATTTTTTTCTTTTTTTCACAACCTTTAATTTTGTAGTTTTGTAGCGCTTCAGTTCAGTTTTTATAAGAGTTGAAAAAGGATCCAGACAGGATCCCAAACGTCCTGTTTAGTAAAATAAAGGTTGTGAAAAGAAAAAAAGGTTTTGTGAACATGATTGATTATCAATATTGCTGTGATAGCATTTAAAATGTAATCAGAAATAATTATATTTGATGTATATAAACAGTTCAGTATTAACAAAATTAATATTAAGTAATAATGAATTAAAAGAATGGGATGGTTGTGACATTTCAAAGAGCACCAGGTTTTGAAATGATTTTTATGTCACCATCACAAGTTATAGTGGTCTCCAACCTTTTTGTGGATGGTGTTTTGTCGTTGGTATTTGGCATTTTGTGGTTGGTATTTGGCAGTTGGTATTTGTAACAAATGGCAGATGGTGACATTTTGCATGTAAATGCCTTTCTTCTTGATTGATTTTAGTTCAGATTTTGGTAATAAACCATTTGATTTATTACTTTTCATCATATTTCTGATGATGAACTCATCTTGGTTACCATGGCAATAAGAATTCCATCGGGGCTTGTCCAATGTAAAAAAGATCAGATGAGTGCCAGAACATTTGCATCTCCTTTCTGTCCTATGTCTTTAAAAATATGAAGTTTGATATTCTCTGCAAATATATGGCTCATAAATAAGGGTTATGTACTGGGAGGTTTTGGATATGCGGTTTATCCAGAGGGAGATAAGTCTACTTGGCATAGGATAAATTGGGTTATCTTGATGAACTTTGGTTAACATTTATACTTCAAAAAAATTGTTCCCACTTCGGGAAAAAATCATAGGGAGAAAACTGAGCCCTGAATAATGAATTTCCAATTGCATGTACATTAATTGAAAACATTATAATGTGATACAATGTTTGTTGCAGCTGGGTTTGGACATTGAAGAACTGGAAGAGATAGAAGAAGATGCGGGTCTTGGCAATGGAGGTCTCGGCCGATTGGCTGCCTGCTTTCTTGACTCCATGGCAACCCTCGGGCTTGCTGCCTATGGATACGGAATTCGTTATGACTATGGTATCTTCGCTCAAAAGATCAAGAACGGATGGCAGGTATGTCAGTTGTTTTGATGTCTGGTATAATATACATAGTCTCAGTGTCAAACATTTTGATAGCACCCAGTATAATAAGAGTAGGGAAAGCCCCAGAACTTTAGCGATGACTGACATAATACGTCTCTTGCGTACCACCTTCGTTTGCGCAAATTCTCACAAGTTAATTTTCGAACATAGTGCGTTGTCGTGATGTTTTAATTGATGTAAACATAATCTTTACATATTTATCCCATCGAACGAAGTTCGGAGGGATATAGGGAACGCCTCCGTCCGTCCGTCCGTACGTACGTCTGTACGTACGTCTGTACGTCCGTCCGTCCGTCTGTCCGTCCGTCCGGGCAATAACTCAAATACCGTTGGCCCGATTTTGTTCATATTTTCTACACATATACCCTATGGGGGTAGAAGTTCTGCTCGAAAGCCAATTTTCAAAATGGCCACTCATTTCAAAATGGCGGCCATTTTAGTGCCGATTTTACAGTAAATTAGGTGCAATATGTAAAACTGTAATAGCAATATGTTTTAAATGTAAAAAAATTATAAAGGACATTAATAATGCTACAAATGTAGATATTAAAGAAGCACATGGCAGCCATCTTGAAAAATGGCGGCCTTTACTCGTCATTTTACGATTTTTGCTATAACTCAAAAAATAGTGGAGCGATTTTGTTCATATTTGGTATGTGAATACTATAAGCACTGCACACTGTCTAAAGACAATTTTGGTAGAAGGCGGCCATTTTGAAAAATGGCCGCCATTTTAACGTATTTTACTATAACTCGAAAAGTAGTGGAGCGATTTTGTTCATATTTTGTATGTGAATACTATAAGCATGGCACACTGTCCTATGACAATTGAAATTGGCCGCCATTTTAATGTATTTTACTATAACTCGAAAAGTAGTGGAGCGATTTTGTTAATATTTGGTATGTGAATACTATAAGCATGGCACACTGTCTATTTCTGTTAATGACACTTTTGGTAGAAGGTGGCCATTTTGAAAAAAATGGCCGCCATTTTAACGTATTTTACTATAATTCGAAAAGTAGTGGAGCCATTTTGTTCATATTTGATATGTGAATGCTTTAAGCATGGCACATTGTCTAATAAAACTTTGGGGAGTAGTCGGCCATTTTGAAAAATGGCCACCATTTTTATGTGTGTTATTTTACAAGTACGTGTGCGATTTTTCAAAATTTTTAGAGGTGGCTACTTAAAAGCATATTATTTGTTCTGATGACAACTTGGCTAGTGAGCAACCATTTTGAAAATGGTGGCGTTTCTGGTGTGTTGTTTTATGATATTTGTCAGCCATTTCTGTTCGATGGGATTCGCTACGCTTTGGCGTTGCCGTTGTTCTGGTTCTTTATCTTGATGTGAAAAACCAAGCTATGGTATTGGTTAATACGCCAGGAATCAACATAATATTATTCGAAGCGTTATTAGAAAATTTTGAATCCGCCATTTTAGTTTATCGATTTGGACCAATCAGAGGTGTATGTCATCTCAATACAGGTTTACATTATAAGCGTATGTCATCTTTGAACTCTGGGGTTAATCCCCCTCTTAGTATAATAAGGAAGTGGAGTTAATGTTGCTAGGTTTAAACTTAATTCTTTAATAACTTTTTTTTTATATTAGAAACAAGTTAGATATCAAGAGTTCTCTTAAGACTATGGTTCTGGTGTGGCAATAAATTATTAACTCTATCTAAAGTCATGAATTTTCCTCTCATGACCAAACCATATTTGCAAAAAAATGTTTTTCCAGCTCAATATTCCCTTGAAAGTTGAATTAAAATCTGATGTTAGAAATGAGATTTGCTTCCTCTTATAAAATACAGTTGTCGACTAGCTTTTAGGCTTATTACTATGTCTGCAAAGGTCACATTGTCTTTGATTCGCATGCTGTTAATTAAGCCACTGAGTTAACCAGCAACGTGTACATTTAATTGCACCATCCACTAATTCTTTTTAACTCTCTTGATGTTAAAGCTGTGAAAATTACAGATCTCATCCGATCCATTACTTCTATCTATGTAATTAGTTACAGGAATAAGTGGTATCGTTTACTTTTCTAAGTGCATATTGATCAAGAAAGATTTTATTGAGTTGGAATATCGTTAATTATCTGCTATTTATCATACCCATTTGCTGATATGATTGACTTCTTCTGAAGAATAGTTTATTAGTGTATTGATTGATGTGACAGACAGTGACAAAATAGGGAAGTTCAGAAATGTCTTAATCAGTGGCTGTGTCTGAGTAACCATAGTATGATGCGAATGACAATAGGACGATCAGGAAATGTACAACCTTATACCTGCAGCCTAGAGCCTAATAGTAATAATAGCATTGAGGTACATGTAAATGTGAAAGAAGGAAAATCAACTTTTGAAAAGAATAGGAAATGTCTAGAAAGATGTGTTGTAGACAGACCACTTATACAGAGTGCTTCTTTATCAATCATATGGTTTAACATGTACCCTCCGAGCAGAGTCTAGTTAAACTACGAAGCTCTCTTTTAAGAAGTGAAGTTCAACAAATGCAATGTGATTTTAACATGCTGACATGGAAGTGGAATGTAGCCTCAGAATGATATATAGTTGACATATCAGACTTAGAAAGATTTTTTTTCCAAATGCTTAAATGAAAATAATCAATATAATCTTTGCTAATAATCATTCCATTTAATTACAGTAGACTCTTATCCCGTGTCATCTATAATTGAGCATTTGACATTTCAATAAACTTGTATTTAATATATTGAACATATGGTTTTACCATGGGCTTTCAACTAGCTAATTGAAAGCCCATGGTTTTACACAGTGCTCTCCTCAACGGCATCTCACAATTTGTTATTCTTGTTGATTATTTTAACAGAGTAAAATGTTTTATTGCACAGGATTCCATTCTTCATATACCTATCTGTCATTTAAATCAATTTGCTCAAAATTTCTGGAATTTGGTATTAAGGGTTTGGCATACATACTCAGGCCCGTAGCCAGGGGGGTTCGCAGGGTTTGGGCGATTTGAAAAATTCTTTCAAAATCATGCAGTTTTTCAAAATTTTGAGCACTTCTCGAGGGATTTTAGCCATATTTGGGCCAAAATTGTCAAATGTGAACCGCCCCCTGGAAATTTTTGAAAATTGAACCCCTCCTTGGCAAATCCTGGCTACGGGCCTGACACTGCTGCCTGCAGAGCAATGGTTGGTTGGTTTTTGGGCGGCCATGGACATGTCAAAGTACTAGCAACATCAAGTCTATCCCACACCATTGTCTCTCTCAGTAACTTCCTTCATTTCTTCCATCTCATTTTCTGTCACATCTAATCCCCTTGTCATTCCCCCATCCCCTCTTCATCATTATCTTTCACCCTTTTTTCCATCCTTACTCCAAATTTCCCCACTACCTTTCATCTTTGATACTAAGGTAGCATTCACAGATTCAACTGCTGGCTGACGATTTGACTATTTTATGTCCAACTAATATAAATATGAATAGTAGCAGGTACAGTCAAATCGTCAGCCAACAGCTGCCACTTGGATTCACAAATGCTAGCAAAGCCACCTTTCCCGCTTTATACAAGTTGATAATCACTCTACTCAGTTTTCATAGCTACTCTATAGTGAACTTGGCTACAGATCTAGATCAGTCATTTTTCCTTAATTTGTTAGAAAAAAACATGTTCGTGTACATGTAGTTCGTGTGTATCATGTATTCAACATGTATTTCATTTACATTACTTTGTATAGAGGGCAGAGTTTAAAATGCACAGATTCAATAGATTTCTACAATTAGCTCTGAATGTTGCATACATTAAACTTTATACTGTTACTCTTATTAGTTTTGAGGTTCCTGATTTTATCTAGTATTGGTATTATCAAGTTTCTGTCCCAGACCTAGGTTACATTTGGTTTAACTTAAATAATCACAGTACTATTTTTGTTGGCAGGAAATTTCTAATACGGATATTTTGTTACATTAACTGTAGGTGCGGCTGTCTCATAGATATCAATTGGTATAATATAGATTTTTGCGCTGTATGCTGTAGAATATTGAATAAACTACAGCATTGATTTAGCTATCTAAAGTACACTTGTATTACTGACCTTTAAAACACAACCAATTGTCCTTGGTTCTGTTTAACTTTGAGATTGTAAGTGATATATGTGTATAATATATTGCTATCAGAAGTATGTTCAAACACAAGCTCTCTTTCTCTTCTACACAATTCACACATTCAGTTGGTGGTATATATCCATGTTTATTGATTAAAAGGATCCTTTCATGTTCTAGTTCATGAAAATCAATACAGTTCAAGTGAAATACTGCATTCCAATATAACAATTTTTTAACGTATATGTACATCCAGTAGATTATAATGCATCTAAAAAACTCTACCATCTAACAGTAGTCTAGCTCGGACCCCTGTGACCCCCCCCCCCCCCCGGAATACACACCTTCTTATACAGGAGGGGGGGGGTGTAGTGGGAGTCTCATAAGGGCTTGTAGCTAACTACTATTAGAGCAAATAGCACCAAGATCAACTTGAGCATGAAGATTAGAGTATAGTTGAGATTTGCTTTATGGGAGAACCATCATTTTTTTATGGATGGTGTTTGTTGGTTGATGTTCAGCAGTCGGGGTCTGTAACAAATGGCAGGTGGTCACATGTAATGCCTTGTTATTAAGTTGGAGTAAAAAAGTTTTTACCTGCCTTACTAGAACATTCTCCTTTAATTCTTACATTTCATATTCTAATCAGTTTGTGGTTTTGTATCATGTATTTTATCGCCATCACTGCATATAGGTTCAAGTTCAAGAGGTTTGCTAGGCACCGATAAGGCTGCCAGTAAAGATTGGTTTTATATAAAAACTGGATGTGATATCGTCAAGACAGTTTCACATTTGATAATGGTGAAACATCCTTTATTAGACTATTATAATAGAAAGAAGATATCGAATTCTAGAGCTGATCAACTTATGGGTGGCGATCTTGTTTTTTGGTGGCCATTTTGGAAGTTTTTCCATAAATCTTATCATGCTTCCAGGAAAGCCATTCATTGGATTTTTTTCAAATTTGAATATTTGATAGAGGATCTTAATGTCTTGTGTGTCTGTTTGGTGGTGTGATTTAATTCACATCATGTGCCTTGTTTTACTTTGATAAGTATTACATATGAGTTCTCACCAGGAAATTTTTAGACCCCGGATTTAATAGCAATATACAATGAACATTTCTAAAATTCATTTTTACCACAAATAATTTGACAAAAATGTAAAATAAGACACCGGAAAAACACTTTAGACTCTGGAAAAGCTATTAGACTCTGGAGCGAGAGGGTCTAAAGACCATCATTAGACCCCAGAGAATCTCCAGAGTCTAAAGGCCTCGTGAGAACTCTGCATATATATTGTTAATGTTTACTCATTTTTATCAAAAAGGACATTGAAACATCCCAACTGATAATCAAATGTGTTCAGTGTTAAATGGCCTCTTCCAAAAGTTCTTCTGTGTTTGCTTCTATATGAAATATATACATGTTTATGTGAATTCAAAATCAGTCCATGTTTTGTAGTATTCCAGTAAAAAATAGAATGTTTGATCAATCATCATTTGCATAAAAAGTGTACTTCATTGTGAACTTGAACCCTGGATATGCCGGCTGAGGGAGTCTGATATACCGGCAGCCTAACTGCTACAGTAGGCAGCGTAGAACACTAAGGGCTAGTGGGGAGATCTAGAGGGAGGAAGGAGACGAGAGGAGGGGCCCAGAGACCTGGACAGGGGAAACAGTTTATATACGGACATCTAAGGTCTCTGGGCCCATGGTGGATGGAATTCATCGTTAGATTCATTAGTAATTTGTTCATTTGTGATCTGGTAGTTATTAGTTTATGTGAATATGGATAAAACATTCCAAGAGAAGAGAACCACATGAAGAATTTTTTGAAGGTCAGTATTCCATATGGTAAATTTTCATCTATATTTAGCTTGAAACTGTTGTAGGCTGGCTAAGAAATCTAATATCAAAGGCTGAAAGGGTGTTCTGGCTATGATATCAAACTCAGGTGGTTTTAATATAGAAATGAATGTAAAAAGAATAAATTGAATAGGTTCTTCGTCAAATACATGTATATATTACAGGCATTCTAAAGTGATCAATATTGCATTTGTGTTGTACATTGTAGTAGTAAGTAATTAACCTATATTTTATTGATTTTTTAGTACGGTCTTGTACTCTTAGTGAATGTGTTACCTTACAAGGCCAAAAAATCAGAGCTATTATAAAACGTTTATTTCATGTTTAGGGATAACATGGCCTTGTTTTTGGTTGTTAAATACAACGAAATACAAAAAAATATCTTTTGTATTATTAATTGGGTCATTTCATTTTGAATAAGTCAAGACTAAGGGAAATTATATAAAGTGGGTGATTGATGAGCTTATTATAAAGATATAGATCATTCATGGTTATAAGGCCTAGCATGAAAACCTTGTCCAGTGCCCAGAAACTTGAATAACTCCTGATCAGTTTTTCCCTTGTCTAAAAAGTCTGTGAATCTGAATGGATTGACTCTCTGTTTGGACCACTTTTGTTGAATTTCACCTTGACGGGTATTTTATAATAATGGGACATCAATTTGAATTTTTCATTCTGCTTTATGTTACTGGATGTCACAGGAGTCTCATTAGCAGCAGGCAACAGGCAATTTTCCGGTTGTTTATTCAAAATTGCCTGTTGTTTTTAGGGACTTTTCAACTTTTCCATGTGAAATTTTTGATTTCCATTAATTTTGTCTGTTGTTTCATTTAAAGCCTGTTGTGGGAAATTTTAGTGAAACCCCTGATGTCATATAAATTCATTTTTGTGTTCTGATATTTAAACATCACCTCATACTTGCCAGACTGTGAAACTTATTTTTAACTAAAAAGTGAGACAAGTCATGATTGTTGATCCAAGTGTTATTTCCATCATCGAGTAAAAATATAAATCATTTAGAAATGTTTATGAACAACTGAAAGTGTTGAACCAGGTGATTTTTGTTCAGTAATTTCACAAATTAGAGATACAGTCAAACCTGCCTAAGTAGAACACCTTTGGTACCTGGTAAAGTGTTCTACTTGGGAGGTGTTCCACTGTTTGAGGTTTATTTAACATTAATTAGACAGTTGGTCTTGGGATTTGGTAGTGTTTTGAACCATTCTAATTTTTTACTATTACCGTATAATCCTTAGGAACTGCTATATGACCTTTTAGCTTGAGAAATGGAATTAAAGCCATATTTCTTCTGAAATAGCATTTTATCTTTCAAAACATTTTTTATGACTCCAGGAAGAAGAACCAGATGATTGGCTGCGCTATGGCAACCCATGGGAGAAGGCACGTCCTGAATATACCCTCCCCGTCAATTTCTTTGGCAGAGTGATCACTGATGCGAATGGCAGGAGAAAATGGGTAGAAACCCAGGTAAGTGAAATGTTATATAATTATATTTTTGCTTTGGGAGTGTGCCCCATTGTTAACAATTAAATTTCTTTTAGTAGGACCCAGTAAATGACAATTTCCTGAGTGAAGAATGTTGATTTTTTGAGACAGTGGAGTTAACGGCAAATGAACATTTTCAAATTTGTTTAAATGGGAGAGAGCATGGGGTTAAACCATTATGGGACGAACTGTGTGTCTTCCATTGTCCCCTGAAGGAAACAGCTTTCAGTCATGTCTTTCATTGTGCCACCTGCCACCACCAAGAAGTTGTGACTTTTTTTTGTTAAAGCCACCATTTTTTGTAACTGACAGTCAGTACAGTATCCTGTACAAAATCATTATTATATTTTCATGTTTTAGGTAGTGTTTGCTATGCCTTATGACAGCCCTGTCCCAGGCTATGCCAACAATTGTGTTAACACCATGAGGCTATGGTCTGCCAAGGCACCTAACAGTTTTGATCTGAGATTCTGTAAGTACACATGTACCAATTCTTCCTTTATTTCTTGGTGAGTTGTATTATTTTATAGAATTATGTGTTCAATGATTTGAGGCTAGATCATTTGAACAAACTCTATGATGATTCTACCATGTGTCTGTTAAAATAAAAAAATTCTACAGACACATCTTTTCGAGCAGGATGTAATATAATCCTAACCTATCCCTGTCTGACATTTTACTAGATGAAACAAACATGGTTTTAATTATTGAAAATATCACATTTAATGCTTGGAGTTGTTAGGGTGATTCAATATGACCAGTTTCTTAAAGATATACCTATTTGGAAAATAAGGCCAAAATGAGATCAACGTATAGGCCAAAAATGAAAATATCCTTGATTACCAGGCTAATCATGCCTTTCACTGTAGCTACAAGGTCTAATATCATTGTTGTACAATTAGTCTAAAGTTGATAAAATGACACCTGATTTGTATTTCAGTCAACGATGGTGACTACATCAAAGCTGTATGTGACAGGAACACATCTGAGAATATCTCTAGAGTCCTCTATCCAAATGATAATGTAAGTGAGATACCCAGGTGGGAGTTAGATATTGGAATAAAAGCAATTAACCTGGTTTTATTGATTTATCTGCTACAGCCTTGCGTAGCTATTAGAGAAACAAAGTTTTGGTTTTAGTTACTGGGTAACTGTCAAAAATGAAATGAAAATGAGTTGGCTGAGATGGTGTATTATAGCCAAAAATTGAAAATGCTTATTCAGATGCATGTATAGAAACAAAACCATCTCTATGGTATATACAAATCAAACAAAAATGATCGAACAAGTCAGAAACAATTTTAGCATTTTGAGAAAATAATGTGTATTCCAGCGTGTAGTATTTCTGAAGAAAATCTAAAAATAAAATACAGATTATGGTAGAACTTCAGCATTGACGTCATTGAACTAATTTTTCTTTTTATGAATCTACAAATTTGAATTGCGAAAATGCTGTTTTTATTTTCGTTGGAATGTTTATTTGCAATGATTTTGCAAGAAAATACTTAGCTGGTGTATCTAATTAAATGAAAATATTATTGTTTTCTATATCTTGTTTATGTTTCTGCCAAAGATTTTCATAAACATAGGCATGTATTTTTACAAATAAGCTGTTTGTTTATAATAATAAGTGTGTATTTATTTATGTTTGAGCTGGAATTAGTAAAGCAGAAACGCATGTATATTTTAAGACTCCCACATACAATGTACAATTGTAATTAAATACAATTAAAAAATAAATAAATATTAAATAAAAGAATTTACAAGTGGTTCTTGCCACCACTCTCCAGGACATCATAATTTGAATTGTTCAAAAATTTATTTTACTTGTAGTTCTTTGAAGGCAAGGAGCTGAGACTGAAACAGGAGTATTTCTTGGTAGCTGCAACTCTTCAAGACATCATACGTAGGTTCAAGTCTTCAAAGTTTGGTTGCAGAGACCCCGTTAGGACACAATTTGACACCTTCCCAGAAAAGGTATGTTTTCATTAATTCCTGTTTCAATTTGCAATTTTTAAGTCTACATACAAATCGCTGTTACATATAACAATCAACATAGAAAATTTTTACTTTAAAATAATTTTATTTTGATTAGCTTCAAGCTTTGTTGTTTATGATATTTGATTTGTAGGATTTGAGCAATTTTGGGGGTTATTGGTTGGCATTAGATATGCTTGAGGATTTGAAGTGTTTTTGAAACAAAATTGCTTTCATAATCTTTAAATGTAAAGATAACTATGAATAAATATCTGGGGGGAATGGATAATTGATTGGTTTCACAAGGAATTTCAAATTGATTTTGATTTTATAGCTGGGGAATTTTGAAATTTCATAAGAATCTCTCAATGAACAATACATACATCATATTTCTGGTGATTCTATAGGCAGATGGGTTCCCTGACAAGGTAGATGTATACATGGCATACCCTGTAACACAGTACCATTGTGCTATGTACTTGTATAAGACTGACACATTGTATTATAATATAATTATTGTTACAATTTTGTGGTTTGCTTTCCATGTTGATAAAATCGATAAAAACAATGAATTATATGATTTTTTGATGAAATTGATAAAAACAATGAATTTTTTTGATTTGTTGATGATATTGTTAAAAACAATGAATCATTTTGATTTGTTGATGAAATTAATAAAAAACAATGATTTTTTTTTGATTTGTTGATGAAATCAATAAAAATAACAATGAATTATTTTGATTTGTAATGAAATTGATAAAAACAATGAATTATTTTGATTTGTTGATGAAATTGCGAAAAACAATGAATTATTTTGATTTGTTGATAAAATTGATAAAAACAATGAATTATTTTGATTTTTTGATGAAATCGATAAAAACAATGAATTTTTTTGATTTGTTGATGAAATTGATAAAAACAATGAATTATTTTGATTTGTTGATAAAATTGATAAAAACAATGAATTATTTTGATTTTTTGATGAAATCATTAAAACAATGAATTCTTTTGATTTGTTGATGAAATTGATAAAAATGTTTACTGTTCACAATGAGGGTAACCATTAAATGTTTTTTCTGGAACATTTACAAAAAAAGATATATTCATGCAATCTATTGCGAGAGGATGTATCCTAAAATCAGAATCAGAATTAATTATGTTGTTACCCACTGGTAAAGTGTTACCCCACAGTGTTTTGAACATTTGTAGTTATACCTGTTGATCATTACTGCTTGGTAAAGCGGCAAACATATCCATTCATTAATTGCATTAAGGATTTTTATAGATAGCAGGATACTATTGTCGCAAATGGCTATTCATCCAACCTGTTCCATTGGTTTTAGAAAAATGTTGCTATTTTAAAATTGCAACATAAATCTTAACTAATATTACTTTTTCTCTTGTTCTTGCATCTTTTGATTTTCCATTTCAAAAGGTTCTAAATAATTGCAATAATTTTGTTTTTTTAAGTCTACAGTTAATACAAAGACTCACATATATTTTGTAAGTTCATGATTAATCCCATTGAATTCTTCGCCATCTATTGACAATCTTTAAGGCTGTTATTTTGAAAATAATAAATATATGTATTTCATTTATTATGTTCCTGCTTTGTCTGATGTCCTGTGACACTCCCATACAAAACATGTGTTATGCCATTGTAAATATTTAATATTTGTAATGCATTAAAACCTCAGATCTCAACACATCTCAATGCGAATCTAGTTTAGACTTCCATGTTAAAAATTCTTGAAATGTGAACACCTGGCTGGTCCAAGTAGTTTTGTATAAGAAAGGTCTCACTGTACATGCGTATTTGTTTGAAAATGAATAATTGTTGGTATGTCTCTCTACATTGATTTGTGGCTTGTTCCACAGAATCTAATCTAAGCACAGCTTAAAATGTCTGATGTTCATTCATTTTTGCTTGTCAGTTATGTGTGAACTGTGTGACTGAGGCAAGGTGTATTTGTCAAATAGTTATTTTCTGACCATTTTCAAATACTGTATCATTGTTCAGGGTTTCTGTAGGTATTGCCTAAACAATTTGAATCTAATTCTCTACAACTGTTGTTGATGTTGTGATATTTACTATTTATTATTACAAATAAGGATTGTTTTATTTTACTTTAAACAGGTTGCCATCCAACTGAACGACACCCATCCTTCCCTGGCTATCCCAGAGCTTATGAGGATCTTGGTTGATATAGAGGGACTGGATTGGGATAAGGTACACTTGACAATCAATTCCTCAAAAAATATATCTGATCAACTTTTATTATCAAAGATCTGAGATTGGTTTTATTGAACATTATTATAGTTTTGATTCATGATGAGGTAATATTCTAAGAATTTTGAATTTAATTTTGAATTTAATTTGTTTGGTCTGTAATAAGAAATGTATAGAAAGGATTAATGTTATGGACAAAAGTTATCAATGCGCCATTAATGCTCTGATATAGGATTACATACTTTTTAAAATATGTATTTTGAATTATGATTTCTCTACTACTTTACACTATTCCTGCTTCAAATCTTATGTTATATGATTCATAATGATGCAAATTAGTACATTTATGAATATATTAAATTCTATAGTAGTAAAATCAATTTTTCGTTCAACTCTGTGTTGTTCTCCATCCATGTATTGTAATATGTCAGCATCTCATAGGCTTGGGCCATAACCACAAAAACCTTTGCCTATACCAACCACACAGTGCTACCAGAGGCCCTTGAGAGGTGGCCAGTACATCTACTACAAAATTCACTTCCAAGACATCTTGAGATCATTTATGAAATCAACGCCAACTTCCTCGAGGTGAGTTTTTAGCTGATGCGAGGCTTGCTTTTCTTGGTTGGATCTGCCTGACACTTGACATCGATTTTTGGGAACTTGAATATTTATCATTAACCTATAAAGAAGGCAAATATTTGTACAGCCTTTATTTTTTGGAAAGTGTTAAATGAAATGACCCAATTGCTTTATACATTCATATAAAAAATTCATACTTAAAATAATTTTTTGACTGTAAAGACTAGAAACCAGAAATTATCAGATTAAAAAGTATCTTTATGAAAAAGAACAAAAACTATATGTCAGGTGTCAAAAAAATGCAAACCAAGAAAAGCAAGTCTAAAAACTAATTGTAGTTCAATATCTTAATCAGAGATTTTATTTAGGCTTGGACAGTAACTGTGAAGACATGTGCCTATACAAACCACACGGTACTTCCTGAGGCCTTGGAGCGATGGTCTGTGAACACGCTGAGGAGTATCCTGCCCCGTCACTTGGAGATTCTCTATGAGATCAACTCAAAGCATTTAGCCGTGAGTCGGCTGCATGAAGCGCTCGCTGGCTTGATAATTGTAGCTTTTTAACATTTGTGTTTTTTATGTTTCTGAATTGAATGAAAATGTATTTTACCAAAATGGATTAAGAAATGTGCAGATGTTATTGAATTACCCTCATTTTCAATAAGTTTCAAATTCTCAGCTGGCTGCCTGGTTGCTTTAGGCTAGGGAATCACTGTCTAAATTTTATACACTATACAATAAGTTTATAATGATAATTGAAGAATATAATGTAAGCTGAAACCTCCTACTGCTTTTCTGTGTCTCCTTTGTACATAAATATTAGTTACTTCCAAAAATTGGATGCAAAAATGAAAGCAATTTATCATCATGTCAAAGAAGTGAAGTTTAAGAGCCTTCTATTTATCAGTACCTACTTTCAGTCCACCCGCTATGGCTCAGTGGCAGAGCCAAGGTTACCAATATCGCTTGGCCCTGGGTTTGATTCCCGGTTAGACAAGTTTGTTTGTGCGTTATGTAATTCTGGGTGTTCGACTGAGTGGTTCATGACTCGTATAAAAGGCTGTGGTGTGTACCTGTATGTCTGTGTACCTGTGCACACAAAAGAACACAGGGCTCCTCCAAGGAGGGGTTTCTGGCTCTATCTTCGAGTGTAAAATACGTAAAATACGGAATATACCAATGAGGTATTGCTCGCCAAATATGGCGGTAACCAAGATATAATAATAATAAAGGGTTACGCTAATGTTCTAAGAGCAGCTGGTCAAAATGGCATTAGCCAGTTGCCATGTTATCTTCCTATACCTATTGAAAAAATCAATTGGTCTGTATCGAATGTGACCTGGCAAATGACTGGTCCTTAGCTCAAGCCCTGCCCACTTTATGCAATTTTTTATGATCTTATGTGTCATTACCAGAACTTTTTTGAAAGTTAAGAATCCCTAAGTGTATTGTTCTCTTATTATGACATTATTATATCTATGGTTACACAACCATTGACGCAGGAATTATAAACTGACGCGGCTTCTTCTTTTAATGAGCCCATGACAAAGTTCAGCTCTCCTTTGTTCACTAGCCGCTGAATATAATTCAGAAACGTAAAAGTAAAAAATGAGGACATTTTTGCATGAACTTAATCATTAAGCTACATGGTACATAAAGCATCAAGTTAGATATTTATTATGTGTGTTTCGTCTGCTAATTATGTAACATTTACAGGGGTTGCCATTTCCATTGTGTGGAGCAGGATTACTATGTAGCTGTATAGCAGATTACCTAGCTTTACATTTGTGCTTTGTGTTGTATAATATTCAGGGTGTCCAGAAAATAATCAATTGAAGGTTTGGGACACCCTGTACATGTATATGGAGTTTTAATAAAATGTTTATTCTAGGTATAGTCCGGATGTGAAGTGCCATATTTTAAGTGAAGGTGGAAATGCTTATTATATGAACTTTTTTTGCATTTTCTGTTTAAACATGATATCCACATTCAGAAACTGTCGGATGCCCAACGGGCATCCTTGAGGAATTTTTTTGGCGGCCATTTTGAATTTTCACACATTTTATGTATTTTAGCCAGCATATTAGAACAGAAAACTAGCATACACATAAACAAATCTTGCTGTTTTTTCTATAATAGAGTTTTAATATGATGTATACCAATATTTTAGGTTCCAGAAATGTTTCTTGACAAAAATAAAAAAAATTCAAGATGGCCGCCAACCTTACAATTTATGAAATGTCTCATTCTGTGATAATATCAAATTGATATTAGTGTTTCCTACAAAATTATCAATAAATAATACTAAATACATCTGATTATGATCTCTTTCTCACATATAAAATATATGAAATGAGTAAAAAGTAACCTACATAATAATAATGATGTTCCACAAGGGTCATTTCTTGGTGCTATATATATCTTGAATTTATGAATTATCTTCTTTTACTAAGATTTCATCAAGGATTTCCCTCAATAAATCCTCATCTTTCTTCCAATTCCTGTTCAGTTACTGTATTTGTATGTTGGTTATTGCATTCATTCCCCTTGCAAACACAGAAACAATGTACATGGTAAAGATGCCTTAGAGCATGAACATCGCCCAGTTCTACATACATTGCCCTCTGATGCACATGTGCACTTAATGAGCTGGAGAATTCCTTCAGGGGCAAAGGGTGTATCCTTGGGCATTGTTGTTGGGACAAGTGAGCCCGTGCTGTTTATTTCCCAACCATAATCTGTTAGAAGGATAAGTGGGGGGTCAGGCATATCAGCATTTTTCCATATAGCTACTTGGAAATGAGCTCGCTTCACATGCTGGGAAAATGCTTCTGTTGTTGGTGGGAGGGATTTTAGCTTTGGTGCATTTGTAATGTGTTTTGCAGCATTTTATTTGCCCATACAGCATATCTCACATCAGATATTTTGTCTGTGACTTTAGGTGTAATTTCATAACATCTAGAAACAAATCTGTTGAAGTTTTCTCAACTTCAGTCATGTCTGCATTGACATCTCCCAAGTAAGCGAGTGAGTATCTATTTAACACCTTCAGGACTGTTAGCTTGCCAATTCCATGCATGCAAGATGTCGTATCACTGCCTGAGAGACCATGCGTAGCTAACAAGTTTGGGATTTTTAACTTGTGTTCATTTACGGTTGCATTAATGTTAATGTTTGCTCGGCCAGATGATGTTCCCTCCATTATGATGTTATTTTCCATTAACTTGTGCTTGAGACAGTCATGAAGAAATAGAAGGAAAACATCAGTATCATCACTGAGTACACTGATATTCTGTTGGCCTTTACTGGAAGCATGCAGAACCTGGTGTACGATAACAACATCTGCTTCTTCTTGAGTGTTCCTTAAGTCAACACGTTGGTCAATATTGCCTTGTGAATTTGTTCAGGTGTTGGATCAGGACCTGTGATAACAAGGCTGTTGGAGAATGATCCTTCACTAGCTTTTTGAGTGAGATGGTCGATAACACACTTTATCAACTGGACCTTATTCTCAGTCACATTCAGAACAACATTCTGTGCAGGGAGAGGTGTGTCAGAAGTGAACTACTCGGTTAGGAGTCTCAGGATGTACTTAGTGAAAGCAATACAGAAGTTTTCAATTTTGCCAGCCATCGGCCATGTTATGATCAAAAGGATGGCACACCCATCAACGACACGTACATTGCAATTGTTTCCTCTTGAGGTCACCTGAATCTGTAACTTTTGTTTCAGTGTTGATTTTGAAGTTGTGATATTAATTTCTCCATTTTCATCAAATAGTGATGATGGAGGGAACATCGTCTGGCCGAGCAAACATTAACATTAATGCAACCGTAAATGAACACAAATCCCAAACTTGTTAGCTGCGCATGGTCTCTCTGGCAGTGATACAACATCTTGCAGGCATGGAATTGGCAAGCTAATAGTCCTGAAGGTGTAAAATAGATACTCACTCGCTAACTTGGGAGATGTCAATGCAGACATGACTGAAGTTGAGAAAACTTCAACAGAATTTGTTTCTAGATGTTATGAAATTACACATAAAGTCACAGACAAAATGTCTGATGTGGGATATGCTGTATGGGCAAAGAAAATGCTGCAAAACACATTACAAATGCATCAAAGCTAAAATCCCTCCCATCAACAACAGAAGCATTTTCCCAGCATGTGAAGCGAGCTCATTTCCAAGTAGCTATATGGAAAAATGCTGATATGCCTGACCCCCCACTTATCCTTCCAACAGATTATGGTTGGGAAATTAACAGCACGGGCTGCCTTGTCCCAACAACAATGCCCAAGAATACACCCTGTATCCCTGAAGGAATTCTCCAGCTCATTAAGTGCACATGTGCATCAGAGGGCAATGTATGTGGAACTGGATGATGTTCATGCTCCAAGGCATCTTTATCATGTACATTGTTCTGTGTTTGCAAGGGAAATGAATGCAATAACCAAGATACAATGACAGTAACTGAACAGGAATTGGAAGAAACTGATGAGGATTTATTGAGGGAAATCCTTGATGAAATCTTAGTAAAAGAAGATAATTCATAAATTCAAGATATATATAGCACCAAGAAATGACCCTTGTGGAACATCATTAATATTATGTAGGTTACTTTTTACTCATTTCATATATTTTATATGTGAGAAAGAGATCATAATCAGATGTATTTAGTATTATTTATTGATAATTTTGTAGGAAACACTAATATCAATTTGATATTATCACAGAATGAGACATTTCATAAATTGTAAGGTTGGCGGCCATCTTGAATTTTTTTTTTGTCAAGAAACATTTCTGGAACCTAACATATTGGTATACATCATATTAAAACTCTATTATAGAAAAAACAGCAATATATGTTTATGTGTATGCTAGTTTTCTGTTCTAATATGCTGGCTAAAATACATAAAACGTGTGAAAATTCAAAATGGCCGCCAAAAAAATTCCTCAAGGATGCCCGTTGGGCATCCAACAGTTTCTGAATATTGATATCATGTTTAAACAGAAAATGCAAAAAAAGTTCATATAATAAGCATTTCCACCTCTATTGGCTCTACATCCAGACTAGTAGTGATAAACAATAAAATGCTACTTGTTAAATTTGATTAGATTAAATAGGAAAATAGATAATTCTCGTGCATGAATAATTAGAATTCCCTTATTACCATCCATATATTGTGTAGTATTTTACTAACACTTCATCTGTTTCTTGCTATTAATATATCAGCAAATGTCAAATCTCAGAAGTATTTCAAAAGTCAAAATAATGTAGTCAGTGTCCACTTCAATTAACAGTTCAATTTAATGAAATTACATTTCAAAATGGTAAAGTGGAATGATGGCTTTGGTTTTTTTTTGCTGCTTGATTCCTCAAATGTACACATATTTCCCTAGTAGGGGAAGTTGTCCTATTGTCCCACAGGTCATCCATAGCATAAAAACGTTCCAGTTGTTACAGAGAAAGATTTTCTCTAAAATCAAAATCAAATGTATTATCAATCCTAGAAGTATTTACTTTTTCTATTTATTTACCTATTAAGGATGATTGAATAGGAATTAGGACCATTTCCCACATTGTCTTCTCTTCACTCTTATGGTAATACTCTTACCTCCCAATTTAATGAAAAAATCATCCTTATTTTTTATACATGGATACTCTGATTTGCGTCATTCTTTTCTATACCAGCACCACTCGCAAAATATCTTCCACATTTTGGGAAACTGCGAAGAGTCCTTAATCCTATATTGTGTATAATGTTACAGGAGGTTGCACGTCTCTACCCCGGGGATAGTGATAGATTGAGGCGTATGTCCCTGGTAGAGGAGGGTGATGAAAAGAGGATTAATATGGCGTTCCTTGGTATCGTAGGATCACACACTATTAATGGAGTTGCTGCCATACACTCAGAAATCATCAAGAAAGACACGTGAGTTGTGCCTGAGTGCCTGATTTACTTTGCATTTTTCTGCATATCTATCATTAAATGTCAGTCTGTTTTTGTAGAATTTTTTTTACAGCTTATGTTGCCATAAAAATGAAACAAGCAAATGAATTTGTTGTTATGGTTTCAGTGTTTGATAACTGGAGCTCGATTTCCTTGAAAGCCTATGTTTTAACCCTGCTTTCACAAAATCGTGTAAAATTAATTTGATCTCATAATTTAGGTTCAAGGACTTTGCTGAGATGTGGCCAAACAAGTTCCAAAACAAGACGAATGGAATAACACCCCGCAGATGGCTTCTGTTATGTAACCCTAGTCTCTCTGACATCATAGCCGAGGTATGTAGACAGCCATTATGATGGGACGAGAGTCTACCAGTCGCTTCAAGAAAGCACATTTTCATTGGTCAATAATGGCTCACATGTTACAAAGCATGTTAGCATATTTTAACTGCTCAAAATTGGCTCAACATCCATCATTTCTAAGTACATTTTTATTGGTTAAGAATGGCCCAATTATTTCTTTGGAAATACATGGTGGCCGTATTCCATCCTCATCTGTCACAAATTGTGAATCGCTTTTCTATGTACATTTTCATTGGTCAAGAATGGCCCAATCATTTGTCGGAAAATTCATAGTGATTTAGAATTGCCCCCATTTTCTATATGGTCATCGTTGACATTTGATACAAAATGTAATTAAGCTAGCATTGTTTGAATAAAGGTTGTTTTGTTTGATTTCAGAAAATAGGTGAGGGTTGGGTGACAGACTTGTCAGAGCTGAGGAAATTGGAACAGTTTGCCAACAATGAAGCTTTCATTAGAGAAATCATGAGATGTAAACAGGTAAACACAACATTCTAACAAGTATATGCTATGTCACCAAATGTTGAAAGCGGTTTTGTGTGGAACAATGCGGGGTATTTATCTCTGTTATCAATAACAAAACCCTGTAACAAGTACAGTGTCAAAATCCTATAGTTTATTCATCCTTCATTGGCAAAGCCCAATGCAAACTATACAAGAATCCTATACAATGTGAAAACCCTGAAAAAACTATATTCTTTAATAACTGTATTCAGAAACCCTGTACTCAATACAATGGCAAAACCCTGTACTATATAATTCCAAAACCTCTATTCAATGTCATTATCTCATACTAATTCCTTGGCAAAAACCTTACACAATATTCAATTCCAGTTTCATGGCCAAAACTCTATACTGTAATACAATTCCAAACCCTCTACTGCACTTTCCAGGAGAACAAGATGAAGCTAGCAGCTTACATCGAGAAGAACTACAACATCACAGTGAACACAACATCCATGTTTGACATCCACGTGAAGAGAATCCACGAGTACAAGAGACAGCTTATGAATGCCCTACATATGGTGACACTGTATAACAGGCTTAAGAAGGACCCCAATGCACCATTTGTGCCTCGTACCATCATGGTAGGAGGAAAGGTAAATCGATAGTTCTCTGCTTTGATCTCATGTGAAACCTCCAGTCTATCCTCCCATGGGACTGGTAGGTTGATGATGAGAATGGTTTTGTGATATATATATTGTGTGTCTTGTTATACATGATGACACATGCACACATATATATATTATATGAAACATAAATATTTAGATATTTTGTAGTTGACTAGGTTATTAGATTTTCATTACATGTATGCAAATCAATTTCGCGGAAGCCACTCGCTCAGTGTAAATCAGTTTACATATGTTTCAACACTTGCATTCAACACTTGCATTGCAGGCGGCCCCAGGATACCACACAGCTAAGATGATTATCAAGCTAATCAACTGTATCGCACATGTAGTCAACACGGATCCAATCATAGGAGACAAACTAAAGATTGTCTACCTAGAGAACTATCGCGTGTCCCTTGCGGAGAAGATTATTCCCGCAGCAGATCTGAGTGAACAAATCTCGACAGCAGGAACTGAGGCCTCAGGAACTGGAAACATGAAATTCCAGGTGAGCTTAAACTTCCATGTTAACATTTTCATTTTCTTCTAAATATACAATTCTGATCATGAGGCTATGTTATGATGAAATATCTTTTATTGATATTTTTTTTTTTTCATGTTTCGAATCAGTCAATTTTTTTTTTTTCATACAAGGTCATCTTTTTCGAAAATATGTCTAACATTTTAAAAGCTGTGGGATCATAATTCAGATATTTAGAGAGTTGGACTGATAAATTTGTTATTCAAGCAACTCACTTGGAGGAAAACATTATTTGATGAGAGATGTTGTGTTTATGGAGAGCAAATGATCATGGTAAAAGATATCACCATCTCAAATCAGTTACCATACCTGGTCCTTTAAAAAAATATTGATTTTCATTCTATTTTTATAACCCATAGTTAAATGGAGCACTGACCATAGGAACTTTAGATGGCGCTAATGTTGAAATGAGAGAGGAGATGGGCGACGACAACATCTTCATATTTGGCATGACAGTAGATGACGTGGCTGAATTATGGCGCAAAGGGTGGGTGCAGAATTTACCCCTATATCACCCCTAAGAATACAATAACTATATGTGTTATTTTACCCCAGATAAACCCAATGAATACATTTAATATGTGTATATGTGTTATTTTACCCCAAATATCACCCCCATGAATACTTTACTATTTGTATATGTAATACATACATACATGTGTTATTTTATCCTAGATATAACCCCTCGGATTACTACAACAGCATCCCAGAGCTTAAGACCTGCTTGGATCAAATCAGAGGTGGATTCTTCTCACCCAATGAACCCAACTTGTTTGCTGACCTTGTTAATAAGCTTCTACACGATGACAGGTATATACTCATTCTCACTCATAACATTTGCTTTTATTTATTACACATATTCCAGTGCCATTTTACCAGAGATATGGGAGATTAGAATCTGTTTTCTTAAGGCTCCATGTTAAATTTAAACCAGTCATATTGTCATCTTACTTTACGCAGGATGATTAGTAGTATTGAAAATTGTATATGCTAGTATCAGTTTATATTCATATGTTGTGAAATGTTTTTATTTGCTCACTTAGAAAGAATGATAGGTTATTGTCTGAATTTATTTATAAGAATTTATTTGTTATTACTGCTATTATTATCTGGTGGCCAGATTCCATGAATAAAATGCCCTCTACATGTTGAATATTTGATGTTTCAGATTTGCCTTGTTGGCAGACTATAAGTCATATATAGAGTGCCAGGACCGAGTCAATGAAGTATACAAAGTAAGTAACATTATACAAAGCTTTTTAATCGTTACATTTTTTCTATATTTGATATTTAATGTGTCACCATCACAAGTGGTGAGATATTGTTAGTCTTCAGCCATTTTGTGGATGGTGTTTGGCAATTGATTTGCACAGTCGGTGTCTGTAACAAATGGCAGGTGGTGACTTTTTGCTTGTTAATGTCTTGCTTTATAATCAGATGGAGAGCTGCTAATCAGTTTTTTGCAAATAAGTCTTTATCTGAAATGACGGTTTCCCATATACAGTAGATGGTCATTTAATTTTTGCACTTTCAGAAACCACTAGAGTGGGCGAAGAAATGTATATACAACATAGCATCATCTGGCAAGTTCTCTAGTGATCGCACAATCGCTGAATACGCACGGGAAATCTGGGGTATAGAGCCTTCCAATATGAAACTACCTGAGCCACACGAGAAACCGCTGAGTTCAGGTGAAGTGATCCCAGATGTCCACCATTAAACTCTCAGTATTAGGAAATTGTACATATCTGTGCCTAATATAGATGACGCTAGTGACTAGAGTATTGGTGGTTTATAGTGTAGTTCGGAGGAAGGTTTCACAGGAGTGCCGATTCGGAGGGAAATACAGTATTCAAAGATACTGCTGTTTTGCATGGAGTGATCAACATTCATAGTCCTGCATGGAGTCCTTGTATTTCACATATATTTCCTCTGTTTTCTTTGTGAAGGAATTACAGCAGGTTAAAGGCTTGATGCGAAACTAATTAACTTCATTGTATTTCAAGAGTCTTAAGGTGATTGTTTACCATAATCACAATAATGTACAATGAAGTTGATTTCTCCCTATATGGTGGGATATCTCCTTATATTTACCTAATATGGTGCACCTCTCCTTATATGGTAGTATGGAGACCTTCCACTATGCCATGTCTACTTAGAGACCAAGGCGGACAATGTTGTGTGTATTCTGGGAATGAAATGTTATTAGTAGCTTATTGAAGCATAAGTTGTGATGTAGTTGTGGGATAGAAAACCATAAGATGAACAATCATCGTCGGGGACACTTGAATCATTGTATTCATAAGATGAACCATCGTCGGGGACACTTGAATCATTTTATTCATAAGATGAACCATCGTCGGGGACACTTTAATCATTTTATTCAGTTTCCCTCAACCTTCTCCATATGAATACAACCTTCTCTCATACTTTATCGAAAGGAAATCCAATTGAATGAATCTTCATGAAAGCATTGTTTAGTATTGCTTAATGACCTAGTGTGACGTTTACTGAATAGAAAAGATTTAAATATGCAATTAATGAGCTAGCGTAACTTTTACTGAAGAGTAAAAATTTAAATAGGCAAATTATTCCGGAGGTTGTAGATTGCCAACGTTGTATTGATTGGAATCTGAACAAAGTCCTACGCAGTATGGTGTTGTAGCTCATGAGCTGAACAGAACAAAGTTGTTAAAAGAGGTCATGAGGGTAAAACTTTCCCTCCAGGTATTTGCTATAAGGTTCAGGGTTCTGTGCTCCAAACCTATTCAAGCCCTAATTGCTGTGAGCATTAGTCAGGGGTCCGTGCTTCAAAGCTCTTCAAGCCCATTTGCTGCGCGCATTAGTCAGGGGTCTGTGCTTCAAATCTCTTCAAGCCCATTTGCTGTAAGCATCAGGGGTCAATGTGTCGATAGTCTCTCATTCGCTGTGACAAATATGTCGTTTATGTCAGGTTCAAAACTGCTAGATTAGTCTAACTATTGAGTGTTTAACACAACAACTAGATCACTCCCAATATTGTCAAAAAAGTTATCTGATCACAGATCATAAATAATTGTTTCTTAACAAACTTAACACAGGAGACAGTATGTACTATGTACCTCTGTAATAAATGTCTCAATATACAATCGCACATTTGTATATAAAACCTAAATACACAGAACTGTCAGTCATTAAAATCGGGATTATTTCCATTTTCCACTGTGATTGGGTTGTTTTTGTTAATGATGTGCAATGAACCGAGTGTAATTTTTGTCAGAATTGGGTATAAGCAGAGTCGCCACATGACATATTTCAACTGAGGCATTCATATCATTAAATCTTCATTTTTGCCAAATATACATCGTAAATGGAATGTACTACTGTTGCACTGATGGATCTGTGGTTCTCTATAGTGTAACATACACTATCTCTTAAGTGTAACACACTTTCTCTGAAGTGTAACATGCACTATTATTATAAATTATAATCAGTGTCATTTATTGAGTACCAGTGGATGCATTTATTTTGTTAACTAGTCTCCATATTGTATAAGTGGTAATTTTGCCTAATCATTTAATTTGCCTTTTGGCTCATTTTTGCCAGGTTCAGAAAATTAAATGTCGGAAATATTTATCTTCATAATGTTATCCAATAGGAAGTTTCTTGTCATTAGGAAAATTATAAAATTTGACCATTCAGCAAATTTTTGCCAGGTTGGGGAAATTAAGTGTCTGAAATATTTATCTTCATAATGTTATCCAATGAGAAGTTTCTTGTAATTAGGAAAATTAAAATTAGGGAAATGATCAAATTTGGCCATTCGGCAAATTAACTACTCGGATAAAATACCACTTATACAGTAGTGTACTATTGTGTAACATAGATTCAAGAAAAATGTTTATATTATAACACTATTTACTACATGTATATGCCTCTATACACGCATTAATGTAATGCCGTAATGGGAACAAAATTGCAAGATGGAATTTAACATTTGAACCTCGAAAAATGCTGGACAATTTAAAATGAATTTATATTTTTGTTTTGAATAAAAACATATCTCAAATTGATCTGTACCTTTACTTGTAGATATTAAATGAGAAATGTAATTATTATAAATGGAAATGTTAGCTGTATATTGAAATGAAAAGTATTGAATTTGTATATATATTAATCTTCTCTCAAAATTGCCAGTGTATTCATAAGATGTATAGCTTTACCAGCACTTTATCTACAGATGGATTTTGCTCAGTTCGAATCTAAACTGTTTATGTTGTTCAGCTTTAACATAGGAGCATGCACAAGCAAGACTAAGAAAAATATGTCCTTATTTATAAATTAGATGCCATTTTAATTTCTAATCCAGTCAGTTGTTTGAAAACAACATTTGTTTGCGAACTATGTACACACTTTACATTTAGACTCTTAATAATCTGACAAAAAGAAACTATTTTAGAATAAAATGAACAAAATTGGATCAACCTATAGTTTCTTCAGCATAATTTGTAGTTATTTGAAATATATTTAATACTTTCTCATTCAATCTACTTTTGCTTGTGCATCTTCTTATATCATAGATAATTTGCACTTAAATTACTGCGTACTTATAGAACCCATGTATTCATTATTCAAAGTTTTTCAGAAGCCCAAGGATGAAATATTCCGGTGATTGTATTTAAAAATAGATCTGTTTGTATGTACAAATTTTGGTGTTGGAATTTTGAAATGTTTGTAAAAATCGTAGGCTTGGCTTTTTTCTACTTGTATTTATGACGCTGTTAAACTAAGGTCATCGTAAGACCTACCATTATACTATCTCTACTTCCAAATTCATAATTGTCAGATAAATACAATTACATTTAAACCTGTCATTTCTGAACACCATCAAAATGGGCCAAAATGTTTAGATAAGTGTTCACCTTCAAGGTTTTTAACATGGAAGTCTATGGCGGATAAAAATAGGACGGGAAAAAAATGGGGCGGGAAAAAGCATTCAGAATCAAATTCTGCATCAAAATAGGGCATTGTTCGGAAAAACAGGTTTAACTGTACATGTGTTTTAGCAGTTTTATTTTTGGCAGTACGTGTAATTAGCAAACATTAGATTTCATCATGTAATCTTATTTCCTTAGGTTGTCTGGGCAAACATCAAAACAAATGTTACGAAATAATTCAAATTAATAAGTAGCATTGTAACCTATATGTTGAAAGTGTATAATTTTGAAACAAAACAAGTCCTGATTTTATGCTATTTACTGTTAATTGTGGTGCTTTTGTCAGTTGATTTAGGCATGCCGAGAAAAGCTCATAATCGACAACTGTGTTGTATGTTAAAATGATACGAGTTCACGAACAATGGAGCTATGAATTTGTACGAGACTCATTCTTATGACCTTTGACCTTAGTGTTGCATCTTGGTTTTGTTATCCTTCAGTGAGGAGATTTTATGAAGACTTAGTTGAAATTATTACTTATTTATCTTTGTTACCATATATAATATGCTTGTGTATTGTAGATATATTAATAGCATATGGCTATATATAATGAAATTAATAAAATAAAATGAAAAAAGTTTGTAAAGGAATCTGTTCTTTTATACTTTATTTGTCATCAGACAACATGTTCATGCCATTCATGTCACCAAGCATATGCTGCCCTGTCAACCCTCACGCATTTAGGCGTGATCGTCACGCATTTGCTTGAATAATTAAAATCACGCATCAATTTTGCGGGATCACCTCATTATACCAACGGGTATTATACCCAAACCCAGTATACCGACGCGCATTGTGCCGAAAACCAACATAGGCCTACCGGTGCACGTTGTACCGAAATCCGTGCCAGTGGGACGGCACATTGCTTAAACCCATCAGTTTTATGACGTGCACTTCCGCGTGGGGCTATATCTTTACAGCGGGAATTTCAAGTTTTTGTCAGTGTAGACATAAAAAGTTGCAGTCCTCATACTCGCGCGTTTTTCAATATTTTCATTTGAAACTCGCAAGAACGGTGCTTTGAATCTAGCTCTTTCAAAACGTCATGTAGACACATGATTATGTACATGTATGGCAGTGCACAGTAACATTATATAGGCATAGAATAATAAAAGTGGAGCCTGAAAAGTCAAATATGGTGCTATGTTGAAAAGCCAAGAGAAATTCTACTGTATCAGCATAGTAAAATAGATAGTTTTTATATTACTTTATCATACACCTTGGTTCAAATTATACATGATTTTTTTTCATTGAACAGACAAGTCTTGAAAACTAAAAATTCATTTTAATTTACTTCCACAATATTTTAACTTTTTAATATGAGACTGGATGTTAATCTGTTTTTTATATATTCATATTCAATTAAAAGTTCATCGCGCAAAGACATATTTTTAGATAAAGCTTAATTTAAAATCTTTGACTCTTTACATCTTAGTTGAGGCCAGAATTTTTTTAACTGATGCTAGGCGCTTCGGATTGAGGGGTCGTCTCAACAAACCTTATTCCAGTTAACCATCAATTTCTGTATTTCATAGAGGATAAAGTCATAGTTCTGTTATTTATGTTTGATTATGGTAAACCCTGTACTTCATAAAATATATTTAACCGTGGTAAATTCTGTATTCAATGAATTAAACATTTATTTATACTGCATTGTTTCATTGGTAGAAATAAATAATTGTGCTATTAAATATAAAGTTTCACATTTCTTATTGAACTTGATAATTACTGTATTATCGATCTTGTGCTGATGGGGCCAAAAATTGTTGTCATGGAGAGAGAGCAAGATATGTTGTCATGGAGATAGTAAGAAACGCATTCATTTGTTATACTTTAAATCTTTCCAAATCCAAGAGTGATTTTTATCAATGTGTGCCTCAATGATCCCATTAATTCTGAAGTTATTCCATTTTCTAACCATTTCACGAACATTTCTTTTCATATAATACTTTTAAAATGGTTACAGTTTTTGGCTACTGATATTATCTGTATCATCAGTTTTCATTCCACAAACGAAATATCAATTATTTTGCCCAATATTTCAGTTTCATTATTTTGAAACATTGAATACATGTTTTATTGGCAGTTTAAAATGGTGCTCATTAACTATAGCGTCATAACTGCTTCATTATTCGTTTAGAATAAATTCCCTTATACGAATATTAATGTAACGTTTACAAATAAAATTCCCAAATTACAAATACAAATATGATGTATCAAATAAACAAATATATACTAAATTCTGGTGCATTTTATGTTTGTAAGGACTAGAAACATTTGTAACTAACAATTTATTATTCGCCAACTACAGCTTACAA